GAGGAGAGAGAATAAGAGGGAGAGTATGCGGGGGAGGAAAAGCGGCAAAAAAAGAGAGGAGATGTGTTAGAGAAGAAGAAAAAGAGGTGACTACAGGAGCAGAGATACATAGAAAACGAGGGAGGAAGAGGGGGAGAAGGAACGAGAGGAAAGAATAAAAGGGGATTAAGGGATGTGTACTGAATGAAATGAAAAGAGAACAAATATAGTCAGGAGGAACAAGAAAAAAGGGAAGAGAAAGAAAGCATTTATAGGGAGTGAAAAGAAAGAAAAGGGATACTAATAGCAATCATTACAGGGAGGTAGGGGGTGCAAAAAAAGGAACGAACCAACAGGAATAGAGGAGAGAAAAGACAAACAAGAAAGAAAAGAGAAACTCCAGGTGTGTTCGTCATCTGTTCTCAGGTGCTCCAGATTTTCTGCAGGTGTTGAAAACCTGCTGCCCTCTGCTGCCGTCAGACCGCATCAGCATCCCACCACAGCACACGGTGACCTCCAGGCCTCCATCAGGTCCAGCAACAGTCAGCGGGGGAAAAGACAGGACAGAAACTTTGATTTGTTACTGTTCAGAAGTTTTTCTTCTTCTGCTCTGATGAACTGTCCCCCTCAGAGATCAGAAAGTCCTTTTTTTAGAATAAAAATCAGAGTTAGTAGACTCAAAGTAGTCTCATTTGGACAAAAAAGTCAAATTTCTTAAATAGATGGGCAGTTATGTGTAAATTCATATAGTTCGGTGACATTATAAAGATTAAAAAATGAAAAAGATAAAACTCTAGTCTGACAATGTTGTCTCAGTTATTACCAGCCGCTTTGGGATTTTGACCTCTGACCTTCTGGCTTTTAAAACTCATATTATGATATTCTGTTTTCATAATTTTGACATAAACTATTGAGACCAATCATCTGATAATGTAAACTTCATAATTTGGAATAACTTTCTTCTCATGACTTTTGGTGTCATGATATGGAGCCTGACAATAAAAAAAAATGGAAAAGAATTTAACTATATGGTTAAAATCTGGAATAAGCGGCTAAAGTTTGCAAGCTCAAAATGAAGATATTTCTCCTCATAGTAGAATTACTGTCATTAGTTGCAGGCCTGTGGTAATGTTACACTGGAGCTCTGACGGTCTGAAGACAATAAAATGCAGATCTTTCAGCGTACATGTTTCTCTTTTTTAAGCTAAGTCTGCGGAGATGATCTTTTAACTAAAATAACTAGATAAAATAACTGCTTTAAGTCCAGAGCTAAAGCCAAACCCTGGTTTACATTGAATGTTCTGTTGATGTCTATTGAGTTTTTGGAAGAACACCTCCGTTTTCCCCTTCATGATGAATTGTTTTAATGTGAGCAACTGACACTCAGCCTGTTTCACTGCAGTGTGTGTGTGTGTGTGTTTATTCTTTGTCGGTGTGAGAACATGTGGAGGTTTTATTAGAAATTGGGGGGCGGGGGTGTGTGCTATGATTTTATCCTTCTTTAAAGACAGAAAAAGAGAGAGAGAAGAGGAAGAGGGGGAAGGGGGAAAGATGGTGGAGGAGAAAGGTTGAAGAGCGGGGGGAGGCCGGTTGGATGGGATGCAGAGGTGGAGGTTGGGGGAGATGCAGCAGTTTTCAGTGTAGTGTGTGTGTGTGTGTGTGTGTGTGTGTGTGTGTGTGTGTGTGTGTGTGTGTGTTGGGGGAGGAGGGCCTCTGTCAAAGCCGATGGGGGTATATATTATGTTTTATGGTTACGAGGGGATGCATAAATCACTGTTTCATTAAACGGCTTCAGTCTCAGAGCAACCCCCTCCTCTTCACAGTGGGACATCCCTCTTTTCTCTCTTTCATTTCCCTCTATCCTTTCATCCATACTTTCCTCTCCATCTCTTGTGCTTTTTTCCCCTAAATTGCCTAAAAACATTTAAACCACTAGCCTGTACTTCTGATTATTTGAATATACAGTACATAAAGCACCCTGAGTTCAGTCTCAAGGTCGATTCGACTGACATTTAGTAATTTTAAGACTCATATTTGATCTTATGTGCATGAATTGGCTACACACATACAATAACTTTTTGAAGGGTAGTAATTAAATAACATCACGTGACAGGCTGTGATGTTATTCTGAATATCAGCACAGCTGTGATGCAGCTGTGGGCACCAAGCTCAAGCTGATATTCACCACAACTTACCAACAAGCAGCACAGCATCTCTGAGGCTCTTTGTACCACTGCACACCTGCCAGGTGTTCAGTCATTAATGTCACAAAACATGAGACATTAGACAATGCGCTGCTTCTGTAGAAATAAGAGTACTTCAGTATTAGAGTCGCAGTAAGACAATGGTTTGGAAGATATCAACGAAAATGTTACAATTTGTAAAGAATAATAACACCAAATCACAGTGTAAAAAAGGTTACTTGTGTTGTTCCACAGGGGTCAATACTGGGACCCAGGCCATTTGTACTTGTAATTTACTTTGTTCAATCAATCTTTGTTTACAAAGCACCAATTCACAACAAGTGTTATTTCAAGATGCTAAACAAAAAACTGGTCTAGACTGTACTCTGTTTATAAAGACATAATGGGATCAGATTGCATCCCATCTTGTCAGATCAGACCCACTCCCATCCCATCTTTATCTACATCAGTGACACACTTTGTAGCATCTGATTTGTTGTGATCAGAATATGACAGTTATTGAAAACTGTAGAAACTTAGTCGATTAAGTTAAAAATATGGTTTAGGATCAATAGGTTACCATTAAATGAGAATAAAACTAGATTGGCCTTAGAAATATGTGAAAAACTTTTTGCACTAAAGAATCACAGTCTGCCTGTTTACATCTAAAGTCATTTTAGAGGGATATGTGTGTTTAAATCGAGTAAAGATTTAAGGATATATATCAGATGTGTGTCAGGTTCTGGAGTTACTACTTTTAATTTCAAACTTTTAATTTCTGTATTGTAATGGATTTATAGATTATTGTGTAATAATTAAAACTAATTTTATGTCATAAAAAATCACAAGTACTCATATAATATTTCTGCTATATTTTTAAAACAATTCCTTCTTGATGGTCATGAAAATATATATATTTTTTCATTACCATCACACTCAAAGTCATGACTTTTTCCTTTTTTTTAATCACAGTCATGGCTTTTTTTCTTTTAAACTGACATTTCCCCCTCATTATCGTGGCTTTTATTTTATTTTTTTGTAATCAATTACTTCTTTTCATAATGGCTTTTTCTTGTAATCAATTACTTTTTGTCACAATGTTTTTTTCTTATAATCGATAACTTTTTTTTTCATGATTATGGCTTTTTCTTTTAAATCATGACTTTTTGTTTCATAGTCATGACTTTTTCATAACTATGAATAGAGATGATATGTGTTTTTGTTAACTGGTAAAGAAAGAACTAATGTAAAAATACAGGTGCCTTTGAGTTTCAGGAGTTAGACTCTGTGATAATCTTAGGTATGAGGTGAAGTTGTAAAAAGTTTCAAAAAAGTCTTAAAATGTGAAAAGATCAATGACATTAAAATCAATAAAAAATTATAATTATATTATTTAGAGGGAATCTGTTTTGTTCGTATGATGATCGTGGGAACTTTATTGTATGAAATGATGTTCTTTGTATCTTTAAAGTTTCACACAAACGGTTTTTTCTTCCTTTAAAATCAACAATCAAAAACAATATTATAAATTTATTAATTTAAAGCTGCTACCTTTATATCACATCACAGACTCCTCTTTACCCAGTTACATTATGATTAAAACGTAAAATGAAATGAACATAATATAGAATATCTGCTCTGTGGTTACCATAGAAACAATGTATAAAGAGTGCTGGAGGATGTTTGGGTTGCTTAGCAACAGTGCAGTTTCAATTAAGTGGTGGAATTTGCTTTAAAAGAAGAATACGACACAAATCTGTTGATTATTACTTTTTCTACACAACCTGTTGCTTTTATATTTAACTGCCATATGAAAGAAGAATCACAGAGGAGCTTTTCATGTTGTGCTGAAGTTAGTTAGTACATATCAAGAAGGCTGCAGAGCTGAAATATCAGCTGTAAATGCTAAAATGCTGAATCTTCGGTGATTTGGTAGCCTTAAAAAAGAAAACTGTAAAATTCTTGGAAATTTAGAGCCCACGTGTAAAGGCTAACACATGAATTATGACCTGTCTGATCAGAACTCTGCGATTTTTTTTTAGAAAAAAAAAAAAACAATTTAAAGGGTTTGCTCAGGTGTCTTCTTAGTCCACCTCGATCAAACTGTGACCTCCTCTTCAGACTAAAGGGGTCATATACTGACATCACATCTTTCACATAATTCTGCAGTTTCTAATGGTAGGAGCATACCTGCCCAGCATCCAATGTGACTTTAACACTCACTAGCGACGTGTAACTACGATAGCCTCCCTTCAAAGATATTGAAATATCTTTTTAACATCTCCTCACAGTGCCTTTAAAACAGCTGTTTTATTCAGCACAATCATGACCCTATTTTTGAGATTTAACAACCATTGAAACCCAAATCAGGGGAACCAAAACTGGGCCTTCATATGATGTTCTGGTGGACTATTTCTTAAACTCTTTATTATAATAAAAAAATAAGTTTACATTAAACCTTTTTAATATGATTCCTTAATTTTCACCAACATTTATATGTCATACATAGTGTTTTTTGTAAACAGGCTCTTTAACTTTCTTCCATTTTCTACAGCCCTGCATGCGCCCCCTGCTGACCCCCCTTTAAATACACAGACATAAATGTCTATTTTTCTAACTAACGATGAGACAGTCCCACAAAAAACAACCTCTTCCCATTAGTCCAACCGTCTCCTCTGAATCCCCTGTCCAACCCCCCACCTCCCCTCTATAATTCTGCCTTCCTCTCTGTCTCATTGAGTTGCCATCGCCCATCAACTCAGCCTGGAAGCGAGACAGCCGTGACAAAATGAGGTCAAAGGTCAGAGCAACAACAACAAGAAAAAACCCGAGCCAGTGTCAAGGTTGAAAGAGAGAAAAACAAGAGAGGAGAAACACTCTTTATTTAAATAAATAGGAAAAGGAAGCACTACTTTTTTTTCTGCTCTCAGGTGAGACGACATGAACCAAAACACCATCTGGTACTTTTCTTTTGACGTAAAATTCACAGGAATTCAACAATGAAGGAGACACTTTTTTTGGCAACAGTAACAAAAGATTTCTCTACAATCTACAAATAAAACAGTGACAACATCCTCTTCAACATATAAAAATACTATGACAAATCAAACGCATTATAAGCTGAGAATATATTACAATCTGTTAGGCTGTTACTGTGTTGGTGTATTGCAGTTATTACAATAATAAGAATAATAATAAAAGCTACATTAGTCATTTATGACACAACTCCAATTCTTCCAGGTTTCACTCATTTACTAAAGAAAAAACATGTTAAAATTAATACCACAAAGCTTTATTTTAGTTTCACATCCGTATAAATAATATGTCATCATTTATAGAAGCTACTTTTTCTGTGCGGCATCTGTGTGATGCATTCACTGGCTCTTCTGACAAATTGGAGGAAGCATTTGATCCAAGCAGGCGCGCCACATTGTCGTATAACGAAGCTCATTATCAGGGACAGCGTCCCGTTGTTGGAAGCGTCTGATGGTGATGAACACACACACATGCGCGCACACACACAAACACACACAAATGTACTTGTATGCTTGTGAGGAGCTTGATTCACTTAAAGCCCTAAACCTTCCTGTGTCCAGTTGTTATTTTTGCCTGTGTTGTTAAAATATTTTTATGTTTGAGTGAATTTCCTGTTTTTGTCCCTAACACATCAAATTAAGCAAAATATCCAGCTGCACAAATCAGTTTTTACTCATAACAAGAATAAAGAAGGGTTCAGCTGAGGCATAGATCACGTGTACAGAGATATACGTTGTGACTGTAACTGGATTTAACTCTGCCTGCAACGTACTGACTGTTTTATTCAATTCAGAAGGAACTTTTTCAATTAGGAAGCTTTAAAATCTAATGCTGGTCACATTCACATTAGGACCTGAAGAAACACAGTGTTACTTCAATCAAAAATCAAAAAGTTTAAACCAAAAACCTAACCTTCAAAGACTCAAACAGCAGGTCCTCACAAGGATACAAGTAAAAGATAAACACACACACACTCACCCCCATTAGAGTAAGATGGAAGAAAAGGCGTCTTGTGAGCAGCGATGGGAACATGATCATGAACTCTGTCACCTTTAACCCTCTGGCTGAACACTCTGAGGTGATGACCTTTTCGTTCACATCCAGATTACTCCAACATGAACTCACTGACCTGGCTTTGTCTTAAATTTAGCCTGTCTCTGCGGTGAGCATTCAAATCAACTGGTTCAAGGGTCACAACCTTCTAATCTTTTACGGTAAATTTTTGGAAGAAACACTAAGCAGTTCGTAAATCGTATATTCTCGACTATTATTCCCCATTCAAATGGAAGCATGACCACAGACTGTTTGAAGCATGGATGCAGTCTTACTGACATCATGTAGTTTCTGATCAAGTGTTATGAAGCCCAAAGAGTGTTCGCCATTTTGGAAACTATGATTCCAACTAACTTTTGGCTAATCAGGTGAACAGCAAAGAGGTGCAACTGAGGCAATGAGTCTGCCACCTGAGAAGCATGAAAAATGCATCTCCCTGTCAGTCAATTCAGCAGCACCTCCAAGTGTGCTTACACATGAATAACTCAGCCTCAATAACATATTCAAATGAGATCTGAACAAATGTAACCTTCACAAAGCTGTTAAGAATAAAAAAAAGGTGTAGAGGCCAAATCTGTTTCTGTACCAGGCTGCAAACAGGCCGTAAAAGAAGCATCGAACCTAAAGGGATTTCCTCCACTTTTGGAGTCAGCTTCTAGTGGACTTTGTGGAGTTTACAAGTTTCCCACACTGGTGTCATTTTTTAACACCATAGGTTGTTGCTTTATTATTGCAAAAGGCCAATGTAATGCTCAGGTCTGACTCTAGGTTTAAAAAAGGATAATAACCAGATCTAGCAGACGTAGAGTTGATAGTTTTACTCCCTGTAGTATGTTATAGTGAACGACAATCAAGGCCAGGTTTGGGACTCCTCATGACCTCCTGACAGATAGTGCGGTATGTTTGAGTTTTCTTTCTGCTTCCTAAGATGAGTCCCACCACGTCAGTGATGTTGACCAATGAGAGTACAGAGTGTTCTGCACGCGCAGAATACATGAGTGTAAAAATCAACATGGCGAGGAAGGAGAATGAAGTTAGTGCAGCAAGATGAAGTGTCGTCGAGAGACTTCCACGACTGACTGAAAGTGGGGACAGCTGAAATATTTGCAATGATGACTTAAAGTGAGTCTCTTTACGGGTCAAATTTGACTCAAATTTGAGTTAGGACCTTTAAGTCTGGAGAAAAATAGCGGCTAACCTGTGCAGCTGTGAGTGAATGAAGAGCAGCACACATACGAGAAGGCAAACAGGCTTCTCAACACAGAGCTGGCGTAGGTAGTATGAGCAGGTTTTCCTGCTGCAGATGATGAAGAGGAGGATGATGAAGATGAGGTTGACTCGTTGATTTCATGTTTGGAGAGGGAAGAACTGTCTTATGTTACAAAACTGCGTCTGTGCGCAGAAACACACAAAACAAACACCAAAATGTCTCTTTATCAGTGAGAGAATCCCTACAGTGTGTGTACTTCTTGGTGTGTGTTGCGTTTGAATGTATGTGTGTGTCTGCGTGTGTGAGCGCACCGTCTACCCACAGTGCTACACACACTCCTTGCAGCCACATTCCACAGGCTTCTCCACGTCCTGCGTGAACGAGGTCCCGTCATCGCACTCGAAGGTGAGCCGCCGGCGTCGGACCCTCAGAGGAGCGCAGCAGGAAGTGGCAGCGGTTGCGGGGTCAACGGGTTCTGTTCCCACCTGGCACCGACCTCGGCACTCCACCCAAGAGAAGGGCTTGGACGTCTGGCAGAGGACAGAGCCGTGCTGCAGCCGGTGGTAGTCTCTGACCGGCTCTCCTCGACACGGGGACTCTGTGTATGACGACCAATGATGTGTGTTAACACAGTGCTAGGCCCTCGGCAGTTAAAGGAACATTCCGGTGTAAAATTAATTTAGGGTCAAACACACCTTAACACCTGATTTCTTTAGCAAAGAGACTAAATACAACTCACCCACCCTCTTCCAGCAGCCGCTTGTTTGTAGTGAGACCTTGACCAGTCCATCATCGACTGAGGTGAGGGGGACGCAGCTCAAGGAAGAACATTTATGATCATTTCTTCATGGAAATGCAATCAGACCGAGACGCTAAGGCAGAAGAACTATCACGTCTGCAGTGCAAAATGATTGATATGATGATTATTACTTCAAGGAAATGATAAAGTAATGATCATAAATGTTCTTCTTTGAGCTGCGTCACCCCGCCTCAGTAGATGATGGACTGGTTGAGGTCTCGCTACAAACAAGCGGCTGCTGCAAGAGAGTAGGTGAGTTGTGTTTAGTCTCTTTGCCAAAGAAATCAGGCAAAGTTAAAAAGATGTTTGGTGGCTAGTGCTGTGGCTGGGACCCTATATGTACTGTTGATGAAGTTAGGTGCTGTTCTGAGCATTATTTGTGTCTATAGAGTGGCGTTTTGGTTGACTCGTTTATGGCTCCTCAGACCGTTGTGTATTGCTATCGTACGGTTGTTACTAAAGCTGGTATAACTAGAGAAGCAAGCGGTTGGCAACATTCATCTCTCGAGGGGGTGTCTAACTCTGTGTTATGGTGTGTTTGACCCTAAATTAATTTTACACCGGAATATCCCTTTAGAGGGCAATTTCAACATTTCTTAATCACTGCAAAACAATTAAAATCAATAACCAGATCGGATATGTAAACACATTTAAACCTAGGTTTCATTTTGACCACATGTAACAAAGTCGTAGTTGTTGATTTTAAACTTCTTGACACTGAGATCTGTTGATACAGAGTGAGTCCAAGGTCAACACAGTTGTCTACTCTGAGATTTCAGAGCACCTTCAGCCTCCATCTGCAGACAAGCTTTATGGAAATACTGATTTCCTCTCCCAGCAGGGCTTAGCACCTGCTCACAGCACCAGAACTGCTACCAAATGTTTGCTGACCATGGTATTACTGTGTTTGGTTGGCCAGCCAACTCATCTCATCTGAACCCCACAGAGGATCTTTGAGTGTCGTCAAGAAGAAGATGAGGAAGCTCAAACCAGAAAAAAAACCATGGAAGTATTATCAATGCAACATGAGCTGTTTGCATGTTAGTTATTGATGGTTTTAAACACTGTTTTATTTATTTATTCCATTCACTGGCGCCATTGTGGATGCAGTTCAGCATATGCAGCACTTGAGAAGAAATTTCCAAAAAGGCGTCTTGTATGTATTAGATCATTTAGTATCGTATCAGATAGTCTTGTAGTATTGAATTGTATCGTCTGATATTTTATCATGTCTTATTGTTATATACGGTTTTGTATAGTATGATGTTGTGATGTGTCCGATAATACCATCTCTTCCTGTCTCGTCCTGAAGCCTAACGCCTCAGCAGCTTCATACACCAATGGAAACTACAGTCTTTGCTCTTTGCTTGTTCAGTCTCTTACTTTGAACTTTCTGTTTTACAGAGTGGATCTTGAAATGGAGAAAATGAATTTTAGGTTACCTGCCCCTGCTGCTATGAATCTCTTGCATGAGGACCTGGGTCTGAGAGAGCTGCTCTCTGAAGTTGTTGGAGGAAGTTGCATCAGACTGTGGATGCTTTGAATGATGACTTTGTGTTGTATGATCCTGGATATGTTGACTTGTGTTTTTAATTGCTATTTGTTGTATGTCTGTGACTTAATTGAAACTTTCTCAGTTAAGTGAATTTAAATAAATAAGGGCAAGAAAAAAAAACCCACATACAAAAAGTCAAACATTTTGGAAAAAGCTAAGGGATTTAGGCCTTCCATCTTATTTTGAGAAGTAAATAGACAGTCTCTTCTCACCCATATCACAGCTTTCTCCGATGAATCCTGGCTCACACACACACTTCTCTCCTTCCTCAGTCTGCTGACAGAGGCCGTGCAAACACTGCAGACCCCGACACAGACCCACTGGCTCCTCCTTCAGGTTGCACAATGCTCCGCCAAATCCCTCCTCACAGTCACAGCGATAGGACTGTGCGTCTAACACCACACACATGCCCTTTACACACCTGGATCAAAAACAGTGCTCACAGTGAGGACTGGTGAATAGCAATAAAGGATAAAAAGCAAACTGAAGAGTGTGACAGTGCTTGACTTACTTGCTGCCCTCACACGGGCTGACACCAGCTGCAGAGGTGACGACGTTCACTCCAGTAAGGCTCAATGTCATTGGCTGATCACAGTGTTGTCCTGTCCAACCTTGCTGGCAGTGACACTGAGGACCCTGAAGAAGAAAACATGTTTACAACTCCACATCATTCATCATCTGTACAAGAGAACGGTTCATTTTTTTGTATAAATATGCAAAAAACGAAATAAAAAAACCTTAACCTTCTCCTGTCTCGTTCATTCTGTGTTCCTCATATTTTTTAAACTTTGGCATCATCTTATCCAGATAATAAAACCCCCTCAAAATTCAATATCATAAGTGTTTGAACATGCAATTTAAATTTAAATGAGATTCAGGTGTTCTTCAAACTCAAGGCAAAATAATCCTTTTAATGTAAAAGGAGAGGTCAGGGACAGCACAAAAGGTTCAAACTAACACAACTAAAAAGGAAAAGAAAATGTTTGAAATGTTTATAAATCCTTGTGACTACTCCTGAATTAAAGTTACGCTTATATAAACTTCTATCGTATGAGTTCTTCTACCTCTGCAGCGTTGGGCTGACAGACGCCATGCAGACAGTTGAGTTTTCTGCAGGCCTGACACCCCGGCACCACCCCTGGCTTCATGTGGCTGCGGGTGAAGTCCTGCAGCTCATGGTTGATGTAAAGGTTTCTGATGCAGCCATGGAAACTGGATGTATTGAGGGTCTGAGAGGAAAGACCAAGAGAGGAGGGCATCACTTCCTCAGGCATACCTGGAGAGACAGAAAATAAATCATCTTGGTCAGTTTGGAAACTTCTCCCAGTGAAAACAGAAATAAAAAGAGAATTAGAGCCCTATCTTTTAATATACAGTGCACAACTAAACTGAGACATGCTTCAAACTAAGTGCACAATGTCCAGGCAACCACATCCACATATCAAGCACTTAAACAGTCAGATGAACAAATGCACTGCACAGTTAAAGATAGATGTTGCATGGAAGTAGAGTAGTAGAAAATGATAGTTATCGGACAAAGGTAAGTTGTTTCTGTCTTTAGTGAGCTCATTTGTTTGAATTTTCCTTTATCCAGTGTTACCAAACATGTCAAGGGGCTTCCTCCGCTATTACAAATAAAGTCAGAGACTAACTGTTAGCCTCTATGGTTTGGCACTTTTGTTAAATTTGGCATTTGGATGGGATTACATATCCAAGAACTCAACTTGAATTAATTCTGATATGAAAAGGGAACTAGTTGACACAACCAAATTACTGGACCACATTTAACCTGTCAGGGCTGGCTCAGTTTCAGCACCAGCCCCCAAGTGCCCATGACAGGAACTGCAGTTTACCACCCCTCTGCTCTTACCTCCTACATATAGCGGTGTGTCTCCTATAACCTGCTGGCTCCGCCCCTGACTGTCCAGGGTCGTTGGCGTTCCTCCATCCACAGACAGGTTCACCATCCGGTTAAAGGTCACCAGCTCCACGGTGTGAAACTGACCGTCATTCACAGTTTCAGTGCTGTACATAAGAGGTGTTACACAGAGAGGTTTATCCAGAGGCAGCTGGTTAATAGGAGACGCAGGGGCGCTGCCCCACCACTCTTGGCATGGAAAATAGCGCACTTTTATTGAATTATATTTTTCTTTTTTTTTTCTTTTTTTTTGTGACAGCAAGTTCACCACTGTTTGCAGTAACAAATAGCATAACTAGTTACTTTTTAAAGATTTAAAAATAACATTATTATCAATACTGAAATTTTAAAGAGCTTGTTAATCGTTACTTTTGGTCAAATAGCCGATCTACAGACTCAGGACAGCTAATAATAATAATAATAATATACAATAAATCAGATTTCATATAGCGCTTTTATCAGAGACAGAGACATTGGATACATCATTCATTCATTCACACAGTCACACTCCGGTGGTGGTAAACTACTTTAGTAAACACAGCTGCCCTGGGGCAGATTGATGGAAACGTGGCTGCCAGTTTGTGCCTACAGCCTCTATGACCACCACCACACAACACTCACAATCATACACCAGTGGAGGACACACACTGGGAGCAAGGTGGGTTAAGTGTCTTGCCCAAGGACACAACTAACAAACTCAGGATAGGAGGGAATCGAACCACCAACCTTCTAGTTATTGGACAACTGCTCTATCTCCTGAGCTACTGCCCCCATTGGGGGGATTTTCTTTAGCCAGTCAGGTCCTCCTTGAGGGTGGTGGAGCTGTGGCACTCAAATACCTCGGATACTGTGGTGTTAGATTTCTGGAGCCATGGGCCTCCAACAACCATCCTCAACAAGGACCTTGTACCCATGTTTAACATCACTCAGGCTCTCAAATTATGTTGTCCTTTCTTCTCACCCTACATGGACTCTCCTTCAGGTCAACAAGATGCAAGCAGAATGTTTGGAGACGTGGATGGCTATATATACATAAACAGTCTCAGACCAGTCTTTGTTACACTTGTGGCATGATGAAGCTGTAACCCAGATGTGCAACCAGTAAAGCTTGTCAAACTGATCATTCGTGTGGACCTTCCATTCTTTCAAGTGTGAACATGGGCTAGGCATCCTTACAGCCCCCCAAAGCTAAGCCCAGCAACAGGTTGCAGGAGGAGAGCTTGCCTTCACTTCTCTCTGTGGGCATAAATGTACCAGACACACTTGACCCAGTGACCATTCTTGAGATCCTGAATGAAAACAGAACATTGTCTCTTGGGTACAAAGATGGAAGCAAAGAGAAGCTCAGGCCTTGTAGATAAATATGAAACTAATACCTGTCACATTGTACTTATAGAGGTGCCCAGCCCACCTTTTTTTTTTATATAAAACACAATGGTGAGTGGAGTAACTGTCACCTGTGATGAATCTGAGGCTGAGTGATAAATGGAATTTCAGTGAGCAGAGGCATTCCTATAAACAACATCACCATAATCTAAACCAGATAAAAAGACAGCCTTAATCATTCATTTTCTGCAGAAAACAGGGTCTTCGCCGGCTGAGAGTTAAATGGTTTGGAGCTGATCGGCTTTAGATTACAATCAAACAGTCAGAAAGATAATACTTTTTCTAAATCTAAATGGTAGGTGTGAAACCTCCCCTGAACCTTGGTCCGGACCAAAGGAGGTGGTCTCGGTCCAGACCAAACTGAACCACGGTCTGGTTCATGCCCAGAGTTAAAGCAGTTTTACAACACATACTTTCTCTCTCAAGTTGATATTGCAATGGTTCGCAGGATTGCATACTTTCTTCTCCCTTCCTGTCAATGATGATAAAGTTGTCGTCTTGTGATAAAATTCATAAGAATTTTATTCATGTACAGCTCTTTAAGTTGTCGCTGTTGGTAGTAGAAAATCAACAATAGTATAAGATGGATTGACCCAAGGTTGTATGAGGGGACTGGCTGGAATAAAAATAAGTTCAGTCTGAGAAAAGCTGTGCTGGAGGTGGTGTTCCTTTATCCATGTTCACATATCTGAAGGGCACAATGAAATCCAGGCTAAGGCAGTTGTGTCATCTGGTGGGAATGACATGAAGACCCTCATATCATCTGCACAACGGCAATATGAGGAACCATGAGAGCAGAGAACTGCACTGATTGAGATGGTGTATATGGAAAAAAAGAGGGGACCAAACACTGACCCTTGAAGGACTTCTGTTGCTAAGCAATGGAGTTTGGGCACGTCTCCTCTCCATGATACTCTAATAGATCTCCTAGTGAGGTCAGATATGTGAAGGGCAGATCCTGGGATGCCAAGCTCAGTGAGTGTGGGGTGAAGGATTTGATGGTTCATTGTGTTAGAAGTAGCAATGACACTAAGGAGGGACCAGCAACTCTAGAAAACTGCAGTGATTTTGTTATAAGAATAAGTGTAAATTATGTAGAGTGGTCCTTCTTAAAGCCAAACCAGTTTAGGTCACACAGGTCCTAAGTGGGCAGGACCTGGTTCAAGACTGTGTGTTCAATATTCTTGACAGGAAAGGCAGAGGGGACACAGGTCTACAGTTCTTAATCTGGGGTAGGATGTTTAGTGTATGTTTACAATAAGGAATAACATTACTACTACAAAGTCAAGGATAGGCAAAAGACTGGAACACTAGACGCAGAGCAGGAAAGTTTATTCTGTGTTTCTATGTCATAATTTTAACTTTTCGGACTGATTCATCTCTCCTCTCTCTACAACTCATTTTGTCTGGTTTTTGCACCACTTGTACCTGTCTCTGATCTATTCATCTTTCTCAGATGATTAACCATGCTCTCAGTCACCTCTTCTCTGCAGCTGCTTCTCATATAAATAGCCTCACTTAGTGTAAATGTGTGTGATTGTGGGTGTGTGTTTGTGTGTGTGTGTGTGGTTGGGCTGGTTGATCCCCATCCTCCTTAACTGTGAACCCTCCAAACATCGAAGCACTCGACACGCGATCAAGCAGACACTCTGCTTCAAGTGTCTTCTGTCCCTGTCTGTGTTTGATCCATCCACGTTCCCAAACCCTGCAGGACTCTCTCCGAGCAACCACACACATCAGACGTGCACACACTCGCCGGCAGCGTTGCTTGGCTACAAATGGCTGAGAGGCTGCTGAGGACCTGACAGGAGTCTACTGGATTGTTCTGCACAACCAACACTCCGATTTTAAATGTGATGATGAGGACGCGCTGATCAAGGTTGAGTGTTGTGTTAAAAACGTGGAGCCGGTCAAGTTCAGCAGACGGTGGCCGTGACTTCCACACCGGAAATTTGAACGCCGTTCAGCTCTTCAAGTGAATTTTCAACACAGTTCAAACTTTTGTCAAATTCCTGCTCACTTCTATCTGAAGCGTCCTAAATAAATGTGTTTCTGTAAGGGCTCCTTTTTGTTTATTTTGGGCATCTACACCCTTATTGTCATAATTTTCACGGACTAAAAGTATCAGAAATTTAATAAACCACACTTTAGCAAACCAGTAGATTCAAATGGATGTGTGTTTTCAAAGTAAGAGTTTGGCTCTTGTTGTTTTGTTTTTTATTGCACAATGACACAGCCCGTAGTCCACATGATATTTGACTGAAGGGGGAAGACTGAGCTGAAATAACAAACTCTGCAGACAGCACCCTATAAACCAGGTGATATTTGACTTTTGGTGCTTAAAATAACATCAAAGTCAGATGCAAAACTTTATAAATCCACAACATATCAGCACTGAGTTTACTCATGTTGCACTATTTTTACACTTTCACAATGCACTCTGAATTATAAGGTAGAAATGTCAATTCTGGGCAAAGCCCTGCCAAATTCTTTTGTTTTATTCTTTAATAATTAGCTTGATGCTGTTAATATATTTCTAGCATTTTGTTTAACTTTATTCTGTCTTTTAAAACTTTTTAACTGAGTCTTATTTTATTCTTCTTTTGTGCTGCATGCATCAGCTCTGTCCTCATGCTGCCTATGTACTGCACTGGACTGGGTTTAACCCTCCGCAACAACAGACATCACAGTGACAGTGAGAGTGTGTGTGAGCGTGTGTACCTGTAGATGGCTGTGGCAGGCTGGTTTCCAGGGTCATACGTGACTCTGACGTGACCCTGGTGGAGCTCTACAGCGATTGGCTCGTTGTCTCCGTTATAAAGCAATATACCATTATCCTCTGCTGTCGACACCTGAAACACACACACACACGCATGTAATCAGTGGGTGTGAGTGTGTAGCAGACTGTTATGTCTCACCTGCAGGATGACGTATGTCCTACCTGCAGTGTGATGTTGGCTTGAGGCCAGTTCTTCACATCCTGCAGCTGCACGTAAGAGTCTCTGTCTACAAAGTTAACGCTGACCAGCTTCTCACAGCTCTGGCCCTCAAAGCCTGGCAGACACTGACAGACGGCAGAGCCTGTCTTCTCAACACAGGGGGCGCCGTTCTGACACAGAGCCAACTGGCAGAGAGATGGAGGAGGAAGGGCCACTTCACAGAACTCACCACTGAGAGAAGTAGAGGACATATGAGAGAGTATCATCAGAGAGAGATTCTTAGAGCCTCAGAGGCTCTCCTAACAGAAAATGTAGGTGCTGCAAAAAAAAAAATATGAACAATTTTTTTGGACCTTTACCTTCCCTCAGAATAAAAAAAAAAAAAAAAAATTTAGGCTGTTTGGGCTGAATTTTAAGCAAGCCCACTTAAATGTAGTCAATCTGTGTTAAAACTCTGATGATAATGAGGCTCCTGGTCCAAATTTTTATGTTAATTCATTGTTTGTTCAAAGATTAAAATCAAACCCTTATTTTGCTCATGAAATACGTGGTTATATATAAGCTTTCTTTAAGCATGACATGATATAAAACATGTTTTTTTAGAGTGTCCCTTGAGTCCTTATAGTCTCTAGTTTCCATAGTGCAGCATCTCTAGCGTCCCCCAGAGTTTCCAGAATTCCCAGTTTCCCCTCTCTACCTGTATCCCTGTGGACAGACGCAGCTGTAGCCATCCAGATGGTCGACACACTGAGCTCCGTTCTGACAGCGATGGTCCGCACATTCATTATAATCTATACTGCAGTCCGGCCCCACCCACCCGGGAATGCACACACACCTACAACACAAAAACACACACACACACATATGCTACATGACACATGGTGCAGGATTTTGGGGAGTCAACACAGAGCTCAGCAACATTTACCTCCGTATGTGTCTGTATTCTTAACCTCAAGGGGGGGTCTGAAACTTTGCTGAGTCTGTCAGTGTTTAAGTGAGTGTGTGTTTTTTGAGTGTGTGTTTGTCGTCACCTGGGGCCTGCAGGAGTGCTGATGCAGGTGGACTGATGCTGACAAGGGTTTCTACCTGGAGCACACACATCCTCCTCTTCCTCACACAACAGACCTGAAAACAAGAGGAGAGAGTAGGAGGTCAAGAACGAGAAAGCCACTTTCAAAAGGATTTGGAGGCAGACTGTGACCGAATAAAACCAGTTTGAGACTATTTTTAAAAAAGATATATTTGTAGATATTTATAACTAGCGAGTGAAGAGAAGAAACTGTTATAAAAATGTAGCTAAAAATGTTGTTTATGACTAAAGTTACTCCTTCCAACAAAATGACACTGTAGTTTTGAACTAGAGGAAATGAAAATTATTCAAATGTGGATAAAAAACTTCACAAAGTCACAAAAAAGTCACAAAGAAGGGAATCTTTGCAGTGGAAGCATAATATATTGCTGTTGGGGGAGAGATCTTTGCAGGAAAAGCTGAGAGCTAAAGAGATTGGGACATCAAACTAAATTCTTTTGTTTTTAAGGAGCTGATGTGTTGAGATGATTCAGCTATGGGGGGATTGATGCTTTATTTAGATTCTCCTGCCTCCTCTTTTAGAAATCAGGATCAGGACTAGCATGAATGACGATTTAAAGTACTTCTCAGTGAAAACTACAAAACATGAACAACAATAAGGGTCCATACATCAAATACTTCATTCAGCTTAGCAGATGAATGTCTACATTTATTACAGCCTGTTTTTCAGCTGTCAGATTGGCCCAACAACATGAAAAAAAAATTTCTTGCATAAATTTGTCATTTAGACTCCAGAAGTATATGAAAATACTCACAAAATCTAGAAATAAAATGAAGTAAAGAATTCATAAATTACCTGCGTAATTTGGAGGACACAAGCAGGTGTAGTTGCCCACCCCATCCACACAAGTGGCACCGTTTTCACAGCCATGATCCTGACAGTCGTCCACGTTTACCTCACAGAAAGTGCCATGGAAACCAAAAGCACAAGCACAGCTAAAGAAATAAAAACAGACATGAATACAGTTAACAGATATTAACCACATTAAAGACAGATAGGCAGTTAAATAAAAGAGGAAAACAAGTATTAAAACTTGAATGATTAATTTAACATTTCACAACTTTTCAATTAAATAAACTTTGTTTAGTAAAACAAAGGAAATACAAAACCCTAACACTGTTAATGACCACAGAGGTACATTTTTTCCAATTATGAAAATATTTTCTCAATAAAATTCTCAGAAACTGTGTTAATCACTCCCTATTAAATATATTCATGAAAAAGCCAAGTACATTTTACTGTACAATTGATTTCAGACTGTAAAAAAATATTCTGACATAATTTACATTTTGTCCTTATTCGAGTCTTACAGAGTCAGGGATCTTTTTTTTCTGCAAATAGGTTCAAAACTAAATTATCAAATGAATTAAAATAAACCAGGGTCTCCTCCATGTTTATCCTGTCATTAATGAAGGTGAGGCGCTGTTACCTGAACCCTCTAGTTTGTTCATCACTGAGGCAGAATCCACCATTGGTGCAGGGATTACTGACACAGGCATCAACTGGAGTCTCACAGTGTTTACCCTGGAAGAACACGCACGCACGCACGCACGCACGCACGCACGCACGCACACACACACACACACAAAAAGCAAGGCATTATACATGGAGCACATTTTTGACTTGCAGTCAACATTAGATCAGGTCGAATGTACTGAGTAATTTGACAGGATTATCAGAGACCGCTGTGGGCAAAAATAATAACCATCGACACGCAAACACACATGAAAAATTGGATCAGTGGTTTTAAACATTCAGCTCTGGGTTTTTAATGGATTGCAGTTCGTCCACAGGGAGATGTTTTTTGATTAGATGTAACAAGGTGTAGGCTAAAATAGATAAAGTGCATCACGCAAGCCTCTCTGCAAGATTTAGACACACAAAAACATGCACATATGCACACACAAACACAGTTTCCTACCGTGAAGCCAGTCTTGCAGGTACAAGTGTATTGCTGTAAGTGGTGGTCTTGACATACGCCCTGATTCTGGCAGGGAGAGGACACACACGGGCTGCATTTAGCCTGGACAGATGCCTCCACTGGACCTGAAAATACACAAATACACGGATTTAACAACCAGACTATTGGACTTCCTCAAGGTCTTTGTCTGGATGGCAACGTGTGTTACTTCAAAACTGTGCTGGTTAGTGGTTAGCGTTAATTGAGGCCTCACAAATATGTAAACTGATTTCCGAAAGGACTTTCAAATCATGATTTGTAAGAACACAGAGTAGTTTTTTGCTTTGCTGCAGTCCATCTTAAACAGGTTTGAGCCCAGAGAAATACGTTTTTTCAAATTGCAAATGACTCTAACCTAAGTTAGTGGATGCAGCAATGAATTGTGTTCACAGACGGTCGTTTTTGAAAGGGACTTTGAGCAATTCAGGGGTTTCCACTCGATTCATCTGGTATTGGTCCTCAAATTCTTCTTATATTTTTGCCCTCAGGAACATAATTTCGAAATTGTTGCACTACTTGCTCACGCAGTTTCTCACAGAGTGAAAAGCTACTGCAAATCAGCCAAGGTAGTCAAGGTAGTCTGGAGTTGTTCAAGTATCAAATTTACTCAATGAAGCAAATGATTTACATGAAGCACAACAATTTTTAAGAATCAGTATTAGATAAGCTATCTTTTTAAGATTTTAAACTAAAAATAAGGTTTTAGTGATTTGTATACCAAAAAAATCAGCTCTTATCCAAACATTAGAAAGCATATCACATAATCCAGCGTACTTGCTGTCATGGCTGTTTTACTATGCTGATGATTGAGATGTTGATTTTCAAAGCTTTATTTTTACCTGAAACAAACAAGTTTAGTGTAGTTTATTTACACACATCATTATTCACACACATCATCATCAAAATGGGTAAAAATGAGAAGAGATGATGAGGAGATGAGTGCTAACTTTTTTCTCTGGATAAACAACAATAATTTACTGCATTTAAATAGACCGTCTTATTCTGTGTTGTCACTGTGGTGGGACAGTGTGCCAGTAATCTGTTCACTATGGAGTCACTCGGCAGAGTGTACATTTATCCTAACTTGTGATCATGCTCATTTAAGAGAGATCAGCATGAAGTTCAACCTATCTGACTGCTGCCTGTGACATGTGTTACTCTGTAAATGAGCAAGACACAGGTGACATCACCCACAGTGTGTGAAAGCCTCACAGTGAAGCTTCAACACAAAGACAATGCTGAGAAAGCAGCGCAGTCCTATTTCCAAGCAGGACTTAAAAGTCAGCGTTTCACAGTGAATTTGGGAGTATTGTGATGTTTAAAAATTCAAGGATTAGCGCCTCTGATAATACACACAGGGTCTGATGAAAGTGTCACTAATGGGAGGTTCACACCATCTTTGCACTCTACAGAGAGAGGGATCAAACCTTCAGACCCTGTTAGTGCTCCATGTTTTAGCTCTTATTATAGATCCTATTAAAATTAATTACCTCTGTAGTCTTTTCTGGATCGTACGTAGATTAATTAAGCTTTTTATCATCACAAAGATGACAGTTGAAAACAAATCCCCATGCAGAAATATAAAACACTGAATAAAAGATCAGTGTCTATACTGACACACAACTGAACCCGCAGTGGTGCCGAGAGCTGTGTTAGAAATCACACAAAATAAGATTAGAGCCCGAGTGAAACAGCATAGCATCAGATAATTTTTACTAAGTTAAATTCAATTGTAAAGCACTTTTTCTTAAAGTTGGTGGTTCACAGAGAAGATGCAGTTTGTGAGACTATCAGTTTATGCAGTGCGATCTAAAAGTGCAGCAGCAAGAGCTTAAAAACAGCTGTTTTATACTTGACATGAAACACTGATCAGAATCTTTGCATTAACAGGAGCGATATCCTAAAGAGGGTGGTGCTCTTAGATCACCAGGAGAGCTTGTCTTACACACTTTTTGCAACATGACCACATAAGGTATGGACAAGGGAGGGAGATCATTCACTTAAGGGGTATGGCCAACAATCTAAAGTAAGAATGATCAGTGGATACACTCCTCTTGCTCCTCTCCCTCCTCTCCTCTCTCCATATGTATTTGTGTTATTGTTCATACTGCTGGAGCACAATGTGGTGAAGATGCAGTGGGTAAATCTGCAACTTCCTCGCAAATCTTTGTTTTGTTGCACACTGATCTGAGCTCATGACAGTGACATGAAAGCCAGAGCTGTTTGAGGGGAGCAGTGGAGGACAGGACACGTCTGCTTTTAAGGAGGAAAGGGAGGTTGAACTTCATTAATCATGTCGGACAAAACAAGTGAGACACAGTGGACGCATCAATAGCCGTTCAGACTTGATTTTCACATTGTTATGATCGCGGGGAGCCGTAATTGTAATTAAAACCAGATTAATCGCCCTGCTCTAATGTAAGCTTTCGGTTGAAGTGACCTTTAGCAATGTGCAACCAGCAAAGGCATGTAGATGTTAACTCACAAAGACGACCAAAAGCTAAAGCACTCGCTCTGCTAATGTTAGTTACACCCAGCAAAAGAATTTGACATTCTCCACCCCTGGACTTGGTCACCAATAAAATGGTCAAATCAATGGTGCTGAATTTTGACTGCTTCCTGAGGGTTTTATGTCTTTATGACCAGTCTATCAAGATCTGACCCTTCAGATTCTCGAAACCCCTGATTCTATTGGTTGTGCAGAAAAATTGATATTTCTATTGTGATCAATGTTTTCCGATTTTAACTCAGTAAGAACACCAACCAGAGCTTTATGTACTGGTGTATGAATGTGAAATGACTCACAGAGCGTCAGAAAATTAGCTCAAGCTACATGCAGACTTTTTCTTTTCTGACCATAATTACGACCAATGAAAGCTCGGTCAATTGGTCACATGGTTGAAGCAGAACAAAGGTTACGCTCTGAGGTTCACATTCAATGATGCATTTAATAAGAAGAGCTGCTTGGCCCTGTCTGCAAACATAAAACTGTTCACCTTGTTTTCATTCTTTATTTGTAGGCTTAAGCTTTTAAAACCAGTAGGAATTTACCATCCCCTTTAAGAGCAGCACTTTGTTCTACATGTCTTTTATCAAGTATCTATTATAAAACATCAGGATGTGATTTTTTTCCCTCTCAGATCACTTTTCCAATGAAAGAAAATAATAAAAAAGCTTTTGAAAAGCAGTCGACATTGTCCTTGTGACAAATCGCTGAAAGAATGTGGATATACAGTATGATATTAGATTCTAGATGTAAGGTCACTTTGACTTTGAAAGTACTTTATCTGAGTAAAATCATTTACCTGAACTACAAAGTTAACAAAAATGGTAATAGGAAGAAAGAGAATAAGAAAGAGGGATCCTCTCCAGCTCCAATGAAAGCCAAGAGTTTCTGTGTCATGATTCATCTCTACTTCAAGATAGGCAGGGTCAGTATGTCAAGTGTTCTGGTCTGGTTCTTAGGTTCAGTGGTCTAGACCAATCATGCAGCAGCAGCAGGCATATGCAGGAAAAACAGTCAGTATGGAGAGCAAAAACAGGCTAAATCCACACATGTCTTTCTAACAGCTTACCCTGACACTGAAACTTTTCAGCGGGAGTGGTGAGCAGCAGTTTTCCCTCCATGCCACGGGGTCCAGCACAGCGAGCGATACCGGGCTCCTTGTAGCCGCTCTTCACCCAATCTGACAGCCAGAGCAGCCGGCAGTCACAGTACAGAGGGTTGGCTCCAATTGCTCTGAACGAAAAAACAAAAAGATAAACAGAGAAACAGTCAGTGTGTGATTGAAAAGAAGAGAAACTCTGTTCTAGGAAAAGAGGAGAAAGGAGAAAAATGTTTTTATTATCAGGAAATAGGAAAATGGATAAAGCAAAGAAGGCAAAGTAAGATAAACAGAGAAAGAGAAAGAGAAAAGAATGACAAAAGTAAAATATATATATATAAAAAGCAAGGTAAGAAGGGAACAAAATTTAATGAGGAGAAGCCAATAAAAGAAAAATATCAAAAGAAAAAAGATTAAACAGCTTTCAATGACTAAAAAGAGTAAAAAAAGAGAAAAAAACAAGGAAAATAGGGCCAAGGACATAAAGAAAAAGAAAAAAACAAAGCAGAAAAAAGTAATAAGGAAAGAAAGTAATAAAAAGAAAATAAGAAAGAAGCTAGAGAAATGTAGAAAGGAAAGAAAAAAGAAAGATGAGACAAAGAAAAATTGAAAAAAGAGAGAAAAATGAGAGAAAAAGAGAATTCAAAATAAAAATGAGAGAGAAACTGACAAAAAATAAAAAGACTAGAAAAAACAGCAAAAGAAAGATAAACTTTACGACAGAAAAAAGAAACAAAGTAAAGAAAACTTATATGGGGAAAAAAGTCAATTAAACATTCAAGAAAAAAATAAATAAAGAAAAATTTGTCTGGATTTTTGCAGTTATCATCAGAACCACAGAGTGGAGCTCTCAGCCCTATAAGTGTGTCCCAGTCCCGGACACACAAAGCAAGCATGAGTGAAAACACACACACACACACACACACACACACACACACACACACACACACACACACACACACACACACACACACACACACACACACACACACACACACACACACACACACACATAGAACACAATCACTTGAACGATGATGTTCATTTAGATCAGGTCCATTGTTTCACTTGATAAGATTATCAGAGACCACCATGGGATCAAATATCACACATGACAACACACTCTTACACACACACACACACACACACACACACACACACACACACACACACACACACACACACACACACACACACACACACACACACACACACACACACACACCCTCAGAACAAGGTCAAGGTATGAGAAGCTGATGTGGGTGCTTTCTTAATTCTCTTCAGTCGATTAAACTCCATCAGGATGAAGTGATGAGGAGGAAAAACACTCTCCGTCTTTCAATGAGACATTGACTTCACATCAGAGCTTCTAATCAAACTCAGATGATCAGGTCTCTGTGAGGTAAAGTGAGCACAGGAGACGCTTTCTGATAACTGGAGGCAAAATCCAGCAATCCAATGTCACAGTGGCTGTTTTATATGTATGGAGGAGAACGCCAAAGCCAACGGCATCCCTTCATAGACCACTATAAACTATTTTAAAACCTTTCCTTTGCTTTGAACAGAGAATAATATCAGATTTGACACCACCAGCCAAGTTCAGACCAGAATTGCAGACTTATGTTGCATTCAAAATGTGACCTTTGGTGTTATGCCATCTCTGGGTGAATAATGCCAGGGGACATTATTGGACATCTTTATGTCATTTCAATTTGTAAATTGATTAAAAAAAAAAAAAAACTGTTTGAGATTCTCAATTTCTAATTTTTTTGAGCTACAGACCAAAAACATCATGACACCAAAACACCACAAAGGTTTTTGCAAGAATCTGGATCAGATCAGGAGCATAAACAGGGATTTATTGATATGCTTCATATCAGGACAAATGTAGACTGATATTCCCTCTGCTACTTGTATCACAAAAGGATTCACTACCATTCTACTTTTGTGAGAAAAGGATTTAACTACTGTTGTAACCTTGTTCTCCTGAGGAAATGATTTTACAATAACTTAATTCTCATAGGACAATGATTTTACACTTCATGAGAATATAAGGCTCTTTTACTCAATTGTAGCTAATACCGCAATTTTACTGTGAGAGGTTAATGAAGTATCTATGTATCCTATGAGAGGGCATCAAAATAAAAACAAAAAAGGTTTGAAGATTTTCAGGTGGTGGATGCAAAATTTAGGAATGAGTACACAAACCTTTAAGGTGAACCTGAATGCACCACATATTGGATATTTGTCTTCATTGCAATGTTAAAACGCCACCCTGCATTAAATAAATAAAAGACAAGGAGCCTCTCAGAACAATCAAAATGAGGGCCATTTTACAGCCCGATTCATCACCTGAGTTAAAACTAGATCTTATTTCAGAACTGGAGTCAGAGTTCAGGAGACAAATACAAACACTCCCACTCTTCCTGACTGTTCCTCATCTTCACCCATCTCTCTTCTCCTCTTTCTGAGCTTACTGTAGATCCTAACATTGACTCACATAGGTCATGCTCATCTGAAGATGGTTATACTGTATGTGCGCGCGCACGCACGCACGCACGCACGCACGCACGCACGCACACACGCATGCACGCACACACACACACACACTTCTGATCAATAGACCCGTGGGGAAAACAATAGATCTCTCCAGCTAATTCAATCCGCCAGGCAGCCACTTGAAACCACTCACTCTACCAGCACTGGACTCTATGTGACTGCAGCCATGAAGGGAGTCATCTCACACACACCACACACACACACACACACACACACACACACACACTGAGAGACCTCATTCTGTCAGCAAGGACTGACCCTGCTGCCCGTTACACTCAGCCCGCGCTGTCATTACGTGTGTTCGTGTGCGTGCTCTACATGTATATTTGAGCGCTTACAGGTGAGACAGGGAGGCCACGTCGCTAAAGATGCCCTGCTGCAGCTCAGAGATGTCGTTGCCATGGAGAGAGCTGGAAGAAGGACACAGCAGAGGGTTAAAAATGGTCAAAGTGAAAAAACTCAAAGACGGCAATGAGTCTGACAGGCAGCAAGTTTCATCATGCTCAACAACAGAGAAATACTGGCAGTCCAGAAACAGATGAAGGGTTGTTGTAATAAAGCCAAAGGGGAGAGTGATGTGGTTTGGCTAGAGACAGCAGTGTGTGTCTGTCTGTGTGTGTGTGTGTGTTTGTATTTGTATTTCTGTATATGTGTGTGAGCTCACAGCAGCCTCAGAGAGCGCAGGCCACCCAGAGCCAGAGGAGGAATACAGCGCAGAGAGTTGTAGCTGAGGATCCTGCCGGAGGAGAAACGACACAATGTCAACGCAAAGATAAAATCACGACCTTTGATATCTTTGTGTAGTAGCTTTAGCCACACACATAATTAAAGGCAATATTTCCACAAGAGCAGAGTTTATATGTTTTCAATATATGACAGCAAAATGTTACAAGCTGAAAGCAACTTTATCTCTGGGGCTTTTCGAGCCAACTAGCAGGACAAAGCCGGATTTACATTCCAGGGTCTGTTTTAGTGCTCTGCCTGTTTGAACCCATCATCTTACAGACTTACTGAAAAATGCTTCTGGATATGGTAATGTTTCCAGCTGGAATGATAATATACTTATTTTGCAACAACATGACGGCAAAAAAGAGGTGATGACAGTTTCTGTTTATAAGATTATATTATTTTGCTGAAGAAAAGAGGAAACCCTGCAGAAACGACATGTACCGAAGAGGAACAGGATCAAGATTTGAACCTGTGACTGGTGAGGACCAAAATCTCTGTACATGAAATCAGTGTTACATGAAAAAGCCTTCTCTTGGTTTAGCAGTTTAAGCTCTTGAAAAACTAACATAAGGAGCGAGGAAGAAAGCAGATTTGAGTTCATTCCCCTTTTTTTTGGATTTGATCAAAAATGGTGACTTGAGTGAGGTGTTGGGATTGTGAGGTTGTAGTGAAATTTTAATGGGCTGGTATAAATGTTAGGGGGGAATCTTTGTCGGTTTCTTTGTTTGTAATTCCTAATAGATTTTTGTTCAATTCTTTGAATGGAAAAATGTTTTCTGTGAGGCTTTGTTTGACTCACTCCTCCTCAGTTTATGCACAACTACCTATTTACATTCAGTTCTCAGTGTTTGCGCAAAGTACTATATTTTCCTTTCATTTATAAATGTGTGTATTTATACGAGTATGTAGATGTGAACATATGTGTGCATTTTGTGTGTGTGGGTATTAGGGTTGGGTATTTCCTACAGTCTCATTATACCATACATATCACGATGCAGTGTCCAAGATACGATAACTTGTTATTTTTTTATTTCTTTTTCCTTTATTTAATTTTAACTTTATTTTTTATTTTATTTTATTAGTCTTTTAATTTGTAATGTATTTTTTTTTTGGTATGTGTTGTCATATTCAGACATTTGGGGGGGGTTCTATGTTATTCCAAGATGTCCCATAAACACCTTGTTATATGTAAAAATCAATAAATATATGTATACACAAACATTATATACTTCAGGACCTGTTTAGACTCCCAGAAAGCCAGAACCTCAGCCTAAAATTTTACAGCTACAGGTGTCTACTCTTAGAAATAACCTTGGAAAGACACAATACAAATGCCTGTGGTGCCAAAAAAATGATATAATATCTTGTTTAAAGTCCCCAAAACAATCTGAACCCAAGTAAAGAAGGAGATTTTTGATGATGATTTTAAATCATAGCTGCAGGTCTCTGTTACAGTCAGTGCTCTGTTTATTTGAGCAGAATCTTTACTATGTGTGTGCATGTATATTTGTGTATGTGTGGTGTGTGTGTGTATGTGCGTGGACTCACAGAGTGGTGAGCTGGCTCATGTTGTAGAAGGAGTCGTCAGACAGGGAGCTGATTTTATTGTTGCTCAGATCTCTGCAGAGGCAAGGGTCAGTCAGATCAATACAACCAATATACTGCAGAAGTCCCATTAGATACAAAGACACACACTTATAGCACACACACACGCACACACACACACACACACACATACCTTTATTAACTAATAACACATATTCGCTTTTTCTCTCCGTGGACCTCTCTTTCTCTCTGTGATCACAGAATAATTTCATGTTTCAGAGCAGCTAATGAATTATTTGTTTATTAATCAAACAGAGAAGTTAATGACTGATTGTGGCTCGGTCTGAATATATATCACTTTTAGACCAAGCTTGACAGAATAAATTACACAGTCCACAGTTCCCCCTGCTGGACATCTTCATGATTACACTGTGGCTGTCAGCACGTGCCTACTCCTCTGAATGCAGTGTAACTAATTTATGGAGATTTAAATGAAATTATTCAAAACTGAATACATAAATGGAAACAATAATTATTAGGTAATTGAAGACAAATTTCTTCATGTTTGGTCCAATGAAAAAGGGAGTTTGGTGTCCTACTCTGACTCATGAAAGTGAGATTTTTTTCTCTGTGCCAAAGATGAAGATGCTGACGTCGTTACCGCCGCTTGAAAATAGCAGTTGTTGTTATATGGAGTGGGCATGTATAAAATGATCAGCCTACCATCACGTGTCTGCTTAGTACTTGGTTAAAGTGCATGTTTCCAAAGAACACACATTTTCCTTTATCACTGTATCCTTGTGCAAGGGCAAATAAGCCTGTTGCACTTGGAAAATTGTTATTCTCCAACAAATGCTTAATATACATGCGCTAAATGATCATGTTTGCTATTTTACAACAGACTGGTTGCATGTCATCACCACCCACTGCACTGACATGCTTATGAGAGCATTTTTAACTATTTCTGTGCTGTCGTGTGGACAGGATTTTTTATAAGCCTATTTAAATCTACTGTGTAGTGGCTCTCCCATCTTGTACCACCATGTTTCCAAAGTAGCACATACTGAAAGTTTTGTTACCTAGCGCAATTTAAAACTTCTTTAAATATTTGTATTGTGTGGCCCTGTTTGTACACCTAAAACAAGAGTAAACAAGTCAGATTATATACAGTATATTACTCCGTTGGACAGGTGTTCTATATTAGCCTCTTACTATAGATGCTACTATGGATTTGTCATGTCTTACTTTGCATCCACACTCTCATTTCAGAGCTGAAACTTGAACACAGGAACTCAAACATGCAGTAACAAACACTCTTAGTCTTTGCTTCTCTTTGAATCGGATGTGTGCAGTCTGTCTGTGTGTCGGCTGCGTGTATATGAATAAAATCATCTCCATACGAAGCAGATGTGTTTATACAATCAGCAGAGATGACTAAAGTAAACACAGTAAGTGTCAGAGGTTTCAGTGGAGTGTGTGCGGACGTGTCTGAGGGTTTGTGGAGTGTAGGGATCAGTATGAGTGTTCACTCGAGTGTCTCTTACACCAGCTGCAGGTATTTAAAGGTAACCAGCTCCTTAGGAATGCTGGTGAACTGATTTCCATCCAGATACCTGAGAAGACACAAGAAACAGAGGCATTTGTTACAGATTTCTGATGAATATTAATTCAGAGGTCACTCCTGAATAATTCATCTCTAATTCATATGTAATTAAAGCTTCATAAAGTCAAGAGGTTCTTTTCATTTCTTTCTTCTTCATGAATTAATTAAAATGAACAAGATAATGACAATAGCAAAGCAATAACAGCAGGAAAATCAGAGCATTTCATTATCTTCTTTTTCAAATAAAATTCCATTTTACAATTACTATTTTAAATTGTTTTATCAGGTAAAAGTCATTTATATGTTTATAATTGTTTAACTATTTACTGAATCTATTTCAGCTACCAAAGAAATGATAAACACCAGAAATTACCTCCAAGTTCACCTTTAAAAACACAACTCAGTAACAATCTACAAATACAGCACTGGTCAAGTGTTTTTACCCCATCAAATTTCACTTTTTCATTTTGCAGTTATAAAAATTTAATTCCCTGTAAAATGACATACATATCTGCAAAGCACACGGCTAAAGTGGGGACACCGTACAACTGAATTTCATGGTTTGCATATTTAAAACCTATTTTAACTGATAGTTGTGCAAAGACAAGTTTAATATCAAAACTGTTTTATGCACATTATAAATTTACTGCTAATGACACAATAAACAGAGGAGACCAGTTTCTAAACTTTGGAAATGTCCCAGTCTTGTCTGATAAAAGATTGCAGCTGCTCAAGAGTTCAGAGTCTCCTTTGTTGTATTATTATTTCTTTGATGGTTTTCAACAGGTGACAAGTCCGGACTGCAGTCAGGCCAGTTTAGCAGCAGGACTCTTCTACTACAGAGCCCTGCTGTTGTAATCCCTGCAGAACATGGTTTGTCATTGTCTTGCTGAAATATGAAAGTCTTCCCTGAAAAGTTTTTGTCTGGATGGTGCTGCTGAACCTGTACAGATTGTTCAGCATTAATGGAGCCTTCACAGATGTGGAAGAATAAAGAGGACTTTAAGGCCCTGCTCCTTCCTCTTTGCATTAACGGGACAGAAGCTGAGTCAAACACCAGATAAGGTAAAAAAAAGTTCCTGTCTTCATGTTTTCAGACTCACAGTTCAGTGACGTTGCGGGGGAGTCCTTTGGGCAGGGCCTGCAGGTGTTTGTTGCTGCAGCGGACCACCGTGTCCATACAGGCACACTGACTGGGACACTGTGGCCCCAGAGCACAGCTGCTGTCCTCCAGAACGGAGCCTGAACACAGAAACAGAGGGGAGAGGTCAAAATATCTAAAGCCAAAAGTTCATTTCAAGTTTTTAATCATTTTTTTTTCTGATTCACTATCTTAAAAATTCATGTAGTCCATATAGTGCCAACTGTGCTCTTCATGAGCAAATTTGATCTCTAAGTATGCACATTACTTAAATTAACAGGGTAGAGACCATATGAGATACATATCGCCATTTATAGGTGCTAATAAGTATCAATAAAAACATATGCAAGACATGTATTCTTTCTTTTACACCCTTAAAGGCTCTCATTAGAAACTTTATAAGGGTTAGTTTCCACAGGAACCAAATACTTCCTGGTACTTTTTATCATAAAGCAGCTTCAGTTTGTATTCAAGTGTGTGTATCGTACCATCTTCACAGCGAAAGTCAGGCACAGCTACATCCTGCAGTGGGATCTCTCTGAGGAACGTGGGGCCCTGACAGCGAGGGTTCCCCGTCACGATTCGTCGGCTTCGAAGCCATGCCCCGAACCAGGACAGCCGGCAGTCACAGTTAAAAGGATTGGCCAGAAGATTTCTGTTGGAGGGGGAAAAGTCAAGTAAGACATGAAGAGGAGCATAAAGGATGAATCTGTCAGAGAGAGAGAGTGTGTGTGTGGGTGTGTGTGTGGGACTCACAGCGTGGACAGGTTGGGCAGAGTGTCGAAGGCTCCCGGCAGGATGGTGCTCAGCTGGTTGTCGTAGAGGGAGAGCAGCCGGACATTAGTGAGCCCAGTGAAGCTGCCGTTATGGATACAGCTGATTTTGTTGTTCCTCAGCATCCTACACACACACACACACACACACACACACACACACACACACACACATGAGGAAATAAACATAAAATCAGAACAGCCTGAGTCTGAAAACCTGCAGCTTCAGCCTCTTTTTATGTCCAGCCTCATCTTAAAGACGTTGGTCCATACAGACTATTTAATGGTTCAGAGGTATTCTTTTATTTTCGTGGACACAGAATGTGTTCAAATTGTCCCTCAGCTGTGGTTTGTGTGACTGTAATTGAACTCACAGCATCCGCAGCCCCTCCATGCCTTTGAACATGCTGCCCCTTACAGACTCCAGGTGATTGGCCGTCAGGTGAAGCTCCATCACTGATGATGCACCTTCAAAAGCCCCATCTTCAATCTCTGAGATTTTGTTGTTGCTTAGATTACTGCAAAAAAAAGAAAAAGCCAGTAAATTACAGAGATTTGTGTGGTCCCGTCTAAAAGCACTTGAAATGAAATTGTCTACTGGAGCCAACCTTTTAAGCACCCCTCCTTTATCATTTTCTTCTATTTTTTCCATATCTGTTTTTGTGTGTAAAAAAGGCATGAATGATCACACCAGTGATTAAACAACAATGAAATATACCGCTAATTTTAAAGGAAAATCTGGGGAAGTCAAAGCCATACTGAATTTCACAAGTACGTCTTCAAAACACACAGTAAACAGCTGCCTATTAAAGGGAAGTTTTTCCTTGCCACTGTCACTCTTGTTGGACGCGATGGGTCAAATATGTCCCATCTTAATGTCTCTTTTATACAACAAACAAAAAGCGTGGTCTAGGCTGCTCTTTTTGGAAAGCATCTTGGGATAACGACTGTTATAATTTGGCACTCTATAGATAAAAATTGATTGATTGACATACCTGCCAACATTTGGGTTATAAAATCTGGGAGATTTTTGTGGTGCGTGCCAGGCAGTTTTGGGTAATTAAATTGCTCATCCAAATAGGTATAAGTGAAGCTGCACACTTTTTTGTTCGAACAAAAACAAATGGTAATAAAAAAAATAATAGCTTCAATATGTCTTGAACTTATTTAGTCCACTAATATTAGAGTTAAAGTCCTCATATGTTTTACATGCTCTCCCGTATAAGTCTCTCTGAACATCTGTGTGAGCATTACAGCACTCTTTTATCTGAGGCTGTCCTGAACAAATCACTCCGAGATGGTGCAGGACTATCAATGAAAGTATTATATCTTGCGTTTGTTTCCCTTTCATTGAAGTATTCATTTTGCAACAAACACTGCTTAAATGTAGTTTGCAGCTTAAACCGACCTGAATCATCCCAAATTGTAAAGTACAAGTATCAATCCAGTGTCTGTGAGGCTCAGCAGAAACACAGGACTATCTTCAGTTGTCTGGAAACCTGGAAACTTTGGACAAATATAGTGATCCGATTCATGAATGAACGTGGACCATCAAACTACACGAGATTCCCGGGAGAAATGACAATACGGGAGGTGGGCGAGAGATGGGTCTGAGATACGGGAGAGTCCAAGGGAAAAACGGGAGTGTTGGCAGGTATGTTGATTGATTGATAAACAATACTTCTGGCCTTACAAATGTGTGTTTTTTGGTCAAGGTTGACAAATAAATCCATTAAAACACACATAATTAAAAACATACAGAGCACAAAGATGTTGAAACAGGACAGCAAGCTGAAGAAGACTACAATTATGACCGTCTATCTTTAGTTTTTCTCCGCAGTCAGGGCAAAATTAATATATACCTTGGATGTGAGGTTCTGAGTCTCCTCCTCTTACTTTGTTCTTGTGTGTGTGTGTCTGTCTCATTAGTCTCTCTTTACATGGAGCTGGATCAACTCTCCCTGCTGCAATCAAGTCCTCTCACCTGCTGCTTATCTGCAATCAAGCCACCCACACTCCCACACTCTCTGCAGTATAAAAGCCTGTCTCAGTCTTCCACTCACTGCCAGATCATCCATTTACCAAGCCTGGTATTCAGTCTCAGAATATTTTGTGAGACATTTTTGCAACCATCTCATTTTGTTTTGACTTTGTGCTCAGATCTTTGTGCAACTACCCTCCGGACTCAAGAACCTTTGGGAACTCTGACGCACACTCTCAGTAGGAGCTGCTAGAACCTTCACCTGTAACCCGGCTCAACATGGCAAGATCCATTTGAAAACCAGTTTGTGTCACTACTTTGGGTCCCAATCTGTTCATTACAACAACAGGTCATCACAAAATACTCATTTTGATTGAAACAGTGCCTGAAAATACACAAAACATACAAAATATATAGGCAAGTGTTAAATTTCCTAGTACCCAGCTACACCCTGACAGCAGCATACAAAATTTTAGTGAAGAATTAATAAATCTTGTGGCTGATGGTTTGGTATGTTTTGTGGCTAATGTAAAGGCACCAGTATAAACTTCAGTCTGTCTCATACCTAGTTCAAATCTTTTGAGGAGCTCAAGGCATTTTAAGACATACAAATGTAACTCATAAATACATTTCAAGTTTGCATATTATCCCTTGGATGTCTTAGACAGAAAACAGTTAAAGCCTGTTTTATTTTCCCATATGGCCAGATAGAGCTTCAAAGCTTTGTTGGCGGTCCTGTTGAAAATGCACACATGAACTGTAGTTTGGTCTGAACCTCCTCTCTCTCTTTTATGATCATTGTAAAAACAGACAATGAGATGGTCTGGGAGTGTCGTTTGATGTCTGAGTGTCATTGTTCAGTTTTTCTGAGTGACCTACATTTTCTTGAGCTGCGTCAGGCCCTTAAAGGCACCAGTGGCCTCCAGCACGGAGAGGTCGTTGTTGTTGAGACGCCTGAGAGCGGTCAGAGAGAGCGACCATGGAGAGGACAGAGCAAAAAAACATTGTTAGTTTGGAATGTGTGTGTGTGTTTGTCCACTGAGAGTGCATCCATGCAGGATGAGTCCATACACACATGTCAACATGGATTTCTATAAAGTGCCTCTATACAGCACATGTGTGTGTTCACGGGACTGTGTGTGCGCGCGCTTGTGTGTGTACAGAGTTTGAAAATAAGACTCCACAGGGATAACAGACACTAAAACACACTTTGAATAAAAGCAGTCTCAAAATAGAAAGTGTATCAGAGTCAGACTGATGTACCAGCAAGGTCAGTATGACTGACAACTGATTAAGTGTCCAGGTGATGCAACCTCACTCCATCACGTTTTGCTCTGTTCATAAACCAGGTGGCAAGGTAAGTTTCAGTTTGATGGACCACAGAACAGCTTCAGTCAGTCAAAGACAGGCCCAGAGAGGTCACCAGCTTTTCTGGATCATATTTATAAACCTACAAGTGGTTTTTCGAAGTGATTGTAAGCTGATGCAGTGACTTCCATTGCAGACTCCTTTTTTAATAATATATTGAGGCGTAGATGATGAACAGCGTTGCAACCTCTTCCCATCTTTATCATCTTTTTTATGTACAGCCTGGTTTCATCTTTGGATGGTATGGGTTTTAACGTGTATTTGTGCATCATACAATAATTGTATTCACAAATGATGGTGTGGAATTGATTTGCACCCAATGCAGGGATTTCCACTACAGAGGCCTGTGTGTCTTCAATGCAGTCCCACCCAGGGGATTTCTTCTTCTCTTATGGGCCGAGATTTCTCCAGATTCTCTGCATTTTTTCTGACATTTTGAACTGTAGATGATGAAATCTTGTTAGAACAGAATTTTAACATTATTCTAACATTCTTGAACTATTTGCTCACAGTCTCTCACAGAGTGATGAACTCAGTCAGTCTCACTAGAATGAATCCTTGTTTTAGGCAATTTTTGATTCCAAAAATAGCACCTGAATTTTAAGACCAATGACTTTCTGGTGATTTTTTACAGTGATTTTTTGTAATTTACACCACTGACCTTAAAGCTCCAGTTAATCAGTCTGACTCTGAGGGAACTGTAGAGGTATTATGTGTAAAACTGTGTATGTTATCGTGTGTATGTGTGTTTCTGTCTGAGTGTTTTATTCTCACAGCTCTTCGGTGGAGGTTGGCAGGTGTGCGGGGAACTTAGTGAGGCGGAGGTTGGAGCAGTCGACTACATTCGCCTCACAGCGACATTTAGCGGGACATACCGGTTTGCTGTTACACTCATAGCTCAGACGCCTGTCCTCAGCACCTGCACACACACACACAAACACACAGATCGGATTCTGTAAAAGCAACTTTAATCTGCTGACTTCAAAGTGAAAGTAGTGAGTAATGACAACAGTACATTATTTATCTTTTAAATGCAGTGCTGTAAAAGTCATAAGTTACCCCCAGATTTAGGACATCAAGTGTTTTTAATAATTGGCACTAAAAATCCCTATTTGTGTGAATAGGTGTTGCTATAGGAGCTTTGGCCTTCTTGCAGGATAGGCAACAAGAGCAAATGATCTGCAACAGCTCATTTGGTAGAAAAACTGGCTTCAAATAGATGATCTTCAAAAACGCATGCAAATGTCCAAAACAAACACAGTGGTGGAAATGTGCAGCAAATGATTTCAAAAAACGCTGCAAATGCACTACAGTGTGTATTTCACTTAAAACTTGATTACCTGGTATGTGGTACTGCTCCTTAGCTGTCATGAAGAAAAAGAGAAACAAAACTATGTCAGCTGAAGGGTTAAAAGTTTTATACACACATGAGCAAACACAGGAAACTGATTGAGAAATCTGGCAACAGGACTACAGTTAAACATTTTGAAAGAAAGAAGCAGGCGTGAAACAATCTGTCTTCATGTCGGGCTGTTTTATGGAGCATTGTGTCGTCAGTGTGCAGCCCTCCAGGCCTGGCAGGAGACTAAAGCAGTGAGGCTGGTTAATGTGGTGATCAGAGAGACAGTCATGGTTTCAGTGTCCAGAGGCTGGCTGCACACACTGGCACAACACAGGTGAAGGAAAAGATGGCCAGGACCTTTAGTTACAGACAACCACAAACATCAGAAGAGTTTTATATCAATACATTCTGTTACACTCTCTATCGTATCGTATCGTATTGTACCATATTACATCCTATGTTTTCGTATTGTATGATATTATAGCCTTTTATGTTATATTGTATCATATCGTACCTTTTATGTCATATCTCATCTTATCGTATCCTATCACATTTTATTTTGCTGTATTGCATTTTATCATGTTATACTGTATTTCATCCAACAGTACTGTATCAATGTGCCACATCATATTATAGTTTTGTATTGTTTTGTTTTGTATAGTTTCTTACTGAAATGTATCATGATGTATAATATATCATATATTTAGTATTGTCCCATACTATATAAGACCATACTATATGTTACATAATATTGATTTGGAGAATTTGATCAGATTTTAAAGCACTGTGTTGTATTGTGTCATATCATATTTGATCAAATTGCGTCTGATTGTGTTGCTTCATATGGTATCTTTGAAATTATACCATATCATATCATGTTGTATCACATTGTACAGTATTACATAGTATCATATCATATCATATATCATATTAAATCATATCATATCATATCATATCATATCATATCAAAGTACCGTCTCTTATCATCTCACACATATTGTATCATTTCTTATGGTTGTGTCGTATTGTATATAAAGTTGCTCCTTATTGTGTTGTTTGATATTGTAGCTTGAGGTATCATATCACATCTCATTGAATTGTATCATATCATGTGGTATTATATAGTATCATACTGTGTTGTAAAGTACTGCATGTCATTGTATCATATTCCATCGTATTGTATTATATCATATATTTTATCATATAGTATCATATCTTATTGTCTCTCACCTATGTTTCATTTCTTAGGGTCTCTTATTATATCCAATCTTATCTTGTCCGATAATTTCATGTCAAAAGTTAAAAAGTCAAAAGTTATATCTTATAGTATTGTATCATATTGTTTTAATCTTTTGGTTTAATTTATTGAATTGTCCCACGTTTCTTCAGATCATATCATGTCTTTAGTCATATTCCTTTGTGTACTATTGTATTGTATTTAATTTTTTGATGAACCTTTAGGACTGTATCAGGCTACATATGTGACAGAGGGCTAGGGCTATGAGCACTCCCTCCAGCAGGAGTGTTGTTTTTCCTCCTGCAGTGTTGATGGAGTCTGTAAACCCAATATCCCCCCCAAGCACACACACACACACACACACACACACACACACACACACACACACACACACACACACACACACACACACACACACACACACACACACAGGTGGAGGCACTGACCGGAGCAACGGAACTTGTTGCTTTTGATCTGTGCGATGCGTTTGTTGGCGAGGCGTCGTGGGCTGGCACAGCGAGCCCCACTGGTCTCGATGGGGTTCGAACGCAGGAAGTCAGCCAGCCACTTCACATTACAGTCACACACGAACGGGTTCTGGGCCAGGTGGCTGATGGGAAATCACAGGGGGCAGCACATCAGTCAGATCAGACTGGATGGAGTGGAACAGAGCAGAAGAAAGCTAAAAATAGCAGCAAGTGTGTTTTTCTTACAGAGTCTGGATGCTGTGCAGAGAGCTGAAGGTGCCTTTTGCCAGACTCTGGATCTTGTTGTCATAAAGCGACAGCAGAGCCAGATTCTCCAGATCCTTAAACGATGACGCTCTGATGCAGTGGATCTTGTTGGCATTCAGCAACCTGATACAATCAAAAATAATAACATAACAACAACTCACATTGAGTCAAATCCAATGAAGTTTATGAACAATATCAAACCTGAAAATAGAGAGAGGATTGTTTTCTGTTTAGAAATGTCAGGAATTTTAGAGGAGTAGGTCATTTGGAACAAAAGTTCTCATACTTGAGTAAGGCTTTCTGTATTTCTGCCAAAGTGTAGTAATGTTTTGTCCTTGTACACACAACTTGCAACAAAGGACAGTGGTTTTACAAAACAAAAAGAGGATATAATCCAGGGCTTCAGATAAAACAAGAAAATAAAAGGCTCAAAAGAAAACATGAAGAAGAAGACACAAGAAATTAGTGCAAAATAAAAAAGTAAAGATTGATAAAAGAAATATTAGATTAGATAATAAAGTAAACCAGAACGCATATGTGGGATAAAGAAACAGAAAATGTAAAAGAAAGAAAAATAAAGTAGGAAAAAAATGAGATCAAGAAAAACAAAAGAGGGAACAAATTTAAGCTTTTAACATTTCTTATCATAGTTGCAACAATCTCTAAAGAGAATAGAAGAAAAAGTAAATGAAAAGAAAAGATAAAGAAAATAAAACTTAAAGGGAAAATACTAGAAATAAAGCATACGAAATAAAAATAAAAAGGAAAAAAATGGGATTAGGGAAGCAAATGTGTTGCGGTTTCTTAGAAGACAGAGTGGTGCTACAACATGAAGCTCAACTCCACAAAGTAAACAGAGACAGAATTTACAAAAACAATATCATCACTTGGAGTCAAATGTTTAGGTAAAATGTGGGGAAAGTCGTTTTGTTGTGGTTTGGACTTACAGCAGCTCCAGAGAGGCCAGGCCGTCAAACACTCCACTGGGCAGCTCAGTGATCTTATTCCCATATAGAACCCTGCACACAGAGACTGTTTTCATTAACGGGTCATGTACATGTGTAAATATTGACAGCAACTTTCCAAAACCAGCGTCTTCATAGACCAGGCAATGCAAATAATTTGAATCACATATTTAATTTAAAAAAAGAAAACAAGGAAAAACTATTTTTAGATGTTTAATGAAAAATAGATGCTCATTTTGAAATTTAAGCCAAGGGGGACGAGGAGTTATTAAAGTGTAATGCTTAAAAAAACAGAGACACCTTCAAATTTGCAACAGGTTTGTAACATGGTATTTAAGGATGACCCCCAGTGTGACTAATCAAAATATGACATTCTTTTTGGGAGTCATGGATGCGGCATCCTTTGTTCTAAAGTGTGGAGGGGAACCATCATGCTTGTTATCAGTGCACAGTTTAGAAGCCAGCATCTATGATAGTATGTAAATCAGGCCTTAGTCCCCTTCTAATTTAGAGTCAATGTGATAAATATCAGCCACAGCAGCACATTTCTACATAAAAGCACAGATAAATGACACGCATGTATGAAGCCATGATCAAATATACTTGCAGAGGCCCCTAACAGTGCGAGCCTTGATGTTTTATCACAAATGTCTGTTTATAGAAAGCAGGCATCACTTTTGAATTATTCAGACACACAGAGGCAGCTAAACACACACTCTGTGCAGACATACAGAGGTACAAACAGGCTTAATCTAGACATATGTAAACACATATTGGTAGAGGCACTCTCCCAACACTGCAGCAGTTTACTCACACACCAGCACACACACACTGAGACACTGTTAGCACGTTACTCACAGGGAGTTGAGAGCTCGGAGACCGTGAAAAGCATCAGGAGCGATCTCAGATATCTGGTTGTTGCTGAGGTCTCTGGAAATCAAACACGTTAAACACATATTAAACACAGAAACACACATAGTGACAGGCTCAAACTGAAAAAAAAAAAAAAAAGGATTCGATGGTTTGCAAATCATTAGCATACTACATTCGAATGTCAAGTATTTGCCCTTTTTATGTTTCATTAATGTCTGACAATTCAAAAGCGTCCTCACTTTTTTTGGTGTAGAGAAAGACTTTGTTGTCTCCGCTTTAACAGTCTGAATTACCTTCTTGTAGATGCCAGAGTATGTGACTGCTACATTTTTAAACTCATAACTGGCTGCCTTGTGATTTTTTGTTATACCTTTTTTGTTTTACTTTAATATGACAGTTTAAAGCTCTTTTTAATCTTTGTATGCTGCTGAGACCTTTCCTAAAATGTTATTTAAAAAAAGTGTTGGGGAAATTAAGATCAAAAGCTGTGTAGTCTCCTCTTTTACGTAACATTTTTATGTGCTCCTCCAGTGTCAAGCACACAAGAATCATTTATAAAGAGAAGAAACCCCACTTAGCGACATGATTAGACTTTAAGTCAGCTTGACAAACTCAAAGGCAGACTGGGAGATCCAGAGTCTTCATGAGGCCAACTTTAGCTTTTTACATCACTGATTTGGGCATCTGGGCCAAACCTCAACATGTCAGATTTTAAATTCCTTGTCCTTCTGCCAGATGTCAGTCGCTCCACTGTCACAATAAATTTGAACACAAAACCACTTAAACCAGCATGGTAATGTAATCACACCCATCTCAGGACTGTCTCATAGTGATGATGTAAGAGGACCGAAATGGAGAGGAGAAGATAAACTAAAGGATGAAGAGAGAGAAGGTCTGAGGGTGGAAATGGGCAGAGGGAAAAAAAGAAAGATGCAGCGAGAGTGGACAGAAGAAAACCACAAAGATACAGAGAAGATAAAGAAAAATAAAGCTATTATTGTGGTCAAATGTGCATTTTCCTGAGATATCCCCTGATCACAGTGATATGTGCTTGATTCATCATGCAGGACCCCTAAAAGGCCTCTGATGGGGGCTGTATCTGGCTGCCGTCTGACATAAATCAAGCGCTCCTCCATGCTGAAAATCCTCGGGGTCTGTTTGTTATGTCGAGCAGGAAAACCACAGCCCGCTGAGCGCTGGAGACAGAGGAGAGAGGAGGAGAGGGATCCAGCTGGCAGAGCAGAGTTTACCCCTCCAGAGGCAGGAATTCTGTCATCTCATTGGTTAAAATCAGACTCAAAAGTTGGAGAAAAAAAATACATTTTTCCTGGCTTCACGGTGTTAGCTTAGCAGACATTTAAATTGCCTACAACGGGCCTGTTCAACTAACAGATATGGCCTTTTAAAATTCTCTGTGGCCCCGAGAGGCTGCCTACATATTTGACTGCTGTGTCTGCAAAATAATGAATAATGCAAGGAGGATAAACATCCAATTTTTTCCACACACAGACTCTAGATTAACAGTCACCTAGGAATGGGGATTGTTCATTTTTATTGATACAGATACCATTATCTGCTTTTACCTTATGAACCGTCACAGACCCTGCGCTCCTCTTGCAGCAGGCTCATAGTCATTCCAAAAGTCAGGACACACGCTCATGGCGAGACGTCTTTCCAGTATTACGGCCCTCGTCTATGGAACAGCCTTCCAGAGGACCTCAGGGCCGCAGAGAGCGTGTTCATGTTTTTAAGAGCAGGCTCAAGACCCACTTTTTTAACTTTGCTTTTGATTAATATTTATTTGTTTTATCTTCATTTATTCCATTTAGCCTAGGTTTATTTTAAATTCATTTGTATTTATTGTCACTAAGATGGTCTGTGTTTTGTTCATATTTTAGTTTTTACTTATTTTTATCCTTTCATCATTTTTAGGACCCCCGGTGTTTCCTCTGACAAAACCCTCAGCACTGGGAGCAGTGTTTGCTTGTGGTTGTAACATCTGTAATAGTTTTTGTTTTTAACTTGACTGTAAAGCACTTTGAGTTACATTCCTTGTAGAAAAAGTGTTTTTAATATTAAGTTTGATTGATTGATTGATTGATTGATTATTGATTATTGAGACTCTGCCTATCTGGGTGAAGAGGACGATGGCAGCTCTGCAGCAGCTGGAGTTGACAGAGTTGTTTCAAGCTGCAGACAGTCAAAGGTTATGCATTTTGGATTGATGTGATGCACAATGCTGATGTGCTAAGCCATGGAGGTTGTCCCCCTCCCCCATCAAAATGTTATTTTGCATCATAATTGCATTTCACTTCAACCCGATCTTCAGCTTGGTAAAATAGAGCCCACTTTGAACCGCTTTGCACCAAACTGACCACCTGAGTTCATCTTTGGGAAGTTTTTTACATGTTCACAGATGATATGGTGTATGGTAGAAAGGGTGATATACAGTACTTCAATATTTCCAGGTGAGCCCCCTATAACTCACTGCCACAACCCCTACCATGAACAGCAGTGCATCTTTAAGGACTCACATTCGACGCAGTTTCTTGTAGGAGGTGAAGGCGCCCGGAGGAACCGACTTGATGCCGTTCTGCTCCAAACGTCTGCAGACAGACAGGAACAGACAAAGACAGAGGCCGACAGAGACAGACAAAGAGAGAGAGACACACACACACACACACACACAGACAGAGACAGAGACAGACAGGCATTAATAATTTGCCTGCAGTAGATCAACACAAACATCACGGCTGTCAGCCAGATTACTTTCCATCACCAGGACTGTCTGAAGTTTCCATTAAAACTACTCCAACATTTGTCTGCATGCAACTTTGATTCAAAACTCCATCCTCCTGTGAAATATTTCAGCATGATTTTAATTCAAGATGAAACTAGAACTACTTTACTTTAGGGAAGTTTGGTGGGGAAAGCAACGTATGAAGTTTGGACTGAAAAATGTGCATGTTGTCTGTCTTTGCTTATAAATGAGATGTACGCAATGATCTAATTCAGTCCTACACATTTTTCTGAATAATGGAACTGTGGTATTTTTTGCAATTTTACTCGGACTGTTCTGTGGTTATTTTTTAATCTAATGTCAAACTGGATGTCACTGGCTTGCTGTAAAACACGTGTATCGGGTTTCTATGTGCAGTTACTCACATATTTCCCATCCTCTTGTTGACACTGTGGCAAAAACATAAGTTCCTGTCTCAGTCGGGTGTAAGACTTTGGGACATTTTGACATTTGCTGGTTAGATGTGTAGATGGTTAAAATGTCAGCTGACTGAAAACTGGTGTCAGAACCAGGTGATGTTCTTGGGGTGAAGCTTGACTTTCTGGCCTGCCTGGACTAGCACCTTGCTCAATAACACAGCATGTTATGTAAACTTTTTTCTTCTTGGATACTCACATCTCCGTCATTGCCTCAGGTAGATGGGCGGGAATAGCAGTGAGGCCCCTCCCCCTACAGTCTACGATGTTATTGCTGCAGGAGCACATAGGGGGACAGGAGCCAGATGCCAGGCTGCACGGCTGGACAAAGGCACTCCCACCATGTCCTGTGAACACACAAACAACACAAATCTATCAATCCCTAACTTCATCATCTGAGCTTTTACTGCAGCTTGTTTGTTTTCACTCTGCTGTTTCCTTACCTGAGCAGGCGAAGTCGCTCTTTCGCAGCTCGGCGAGGTTGAGGCCCCTCAATGCCGGAGGAGAGCTACACTGAGTGTAGAGGCCCAAAGCTGCCCGCTGCCGTAACCATGGAGACAGCCAGGCCAGGTGACAGTCACAACGCAAGGAGTTTGAGTGGAGACGACTTTGAGAGGAGGAACAAAGCAGGGTGGGGGTAAAAATGGAGAGAAAGGGAGAAAAGGAAAGGGATGAGAGAGGTGAGGAAGTACAAAAGAAGGACAAGGTGAAGAGGACAGGAAGGATGGAGGAAAAGTGGGAAAAGGAGGAATTGGGGTTGAAAGCAAAGGTGTAAAAGAAAGGGGTATAATGGAGAAAATATGAGGAAATGGGGGAATAATTAGAAGACAACAACAGAGATGGTAGTGAAGAAAAGAAAGTTAAGAGAGGAATCATACAGGAAAAATAAAAGAAGGGGTAAAATAAGAAAGGATAAAAGAAAGACTAACTAAATAAAACTAAGAAATAAACTTCTGACTGATCCATTGCTGTTAGGAGGGTTTGTTAAAAAATAAACAATTTGGAATTCTGGGTAATGTAGTCGTGTAGCCTCAGGGTGCAGCACTTACAATGTGCGGAGCTTCGGCATGTGGTTGAAACTGGAGACTGGAATACTGCTGATGTTGTTGTTGTTCAAAGTACTAGAGGAATGTGAGACATAAAGACGTCAAAAACAGGGAACAGCGAGAGAAAAAGGGAAGAGGACAGGTGAGTCAGAGGGAGAGAGGAACATAAAAAAGGAAAGGGGGAGAAGTCAGGACAGAAAGTCATCAATAAATTCTGACAAAAATGACATGCTCATTTTCAAATTTATGCCAGTGACCCTTTTCAAAAAAGTGGAGACAGAGACATGTTCACCTTTTTATCTCATCACCTTTTCTTTAAAAAAAAATAGGTAATTTTGTATTTCCCCGAGGAAACCTTCCCAAAAAAATAAATTAGTCTTCTGACATTCTGACAAAAATGGACAAAAAAAAAAAGAACTTTTCTGAATTTTGTAAGATATCAGGGATAAAGAGATACACTATTTAAAAAGATATGTGTGAGTACACTAGATGTTTGTGGTGAAATCTCACAATACTCACAGCACTTCCAGAGATCGTAGAGCTCTAAAGGCCCCCTCCTCTATACAGCTGATGCGGTTTTTATCCAGCTGACTGTTTACAAAAAGAAAACAACACCTAAATGATTTATAGCCAGATAACACATCTTTTTAGCAAACCAAACCGTCCATAAATGCTTTCTCTAAAGTTATAGTGAGAAATGTTCCTATTATGATGATTTAGCAGCTAAAAAAACTGTTACTCTCACTGACTGATCCTGTTCTTTACATGTAGTTCCCTCTCAAGAAAAATGTCCTTCTCATTATCTTCCTTTAAATTGACTGATTAAATTTAACAGCATTTATGCAGCATATTGGAACACTATATGTCTGTGCTCATATTTGTGTCTTTAATTGTGTTTGTGTGTATCCTTCACTCACAGGTTTTTGAGGTCTGTTGCTCCTCTGAAAGCCCTGCGTGGGATCACCTGGATGAAATTCTCACTCACATCCCTGAAAAATAAAGAAACAGAGAGAGCTGCAATGAGAAACAGAAATCTATGGTTATGAACAAAAGTGATGAATAAAGCGCACTCTGACCCTCTGCAGAGAAAAGTAGGGAGGTCAAAAGATTTGTTAATGCTCATTTGGAGCAAAGTTTGCCCCTTTCTAGGAAAGTGAGCTTTATTGCAAAAATAACCTAAGTTAAAAACATCAGCACCAACAACAAAATGCATCTAATCGTGATAAGTCATAATGCTTAAAATCTTTAGAAAATCAAGATACTTGTGCTGCGTTCGAGTTACCTTTAGAAGTCAGAAGTCCGAGCTGGGAATGACGTCACACCCAAGTTACCAGTTTTCAGTTACCAAGTCAGAAAAACAGCAAAATTTACAAAAGTTGTTTAGCGCTTGTCCTTGTAGATGTAGCCATCTTGTTTTCACTTCCGATTTTGATTTTTTACTGACTTGGCCCTGGTAACTCGGGTGTGACGTCATTCCAGACATCTGACTTCCCGAGGTAACTCGAATGCAGCATAATTCCACCGTAGGATAACTTTAAAATAATGTCTCTGTACAGTAACTCTCTTTTTACTTCAACAGTACTGTTTTGAGATAATAATCAGGGGCTGGGTCAGGGAAATAGACATTACAAGCATCCTGTAGGTCAAAAATCTAAACTATATTTAAGACACTAACTGCCTAAGCTTAACGCGGGAATCCAAAGGGTCACCCTGTAGCCTCTCTCCACTTTAAGTCCAGTAACTTTGAGGCTGATACGCACCATTAACGATCCCAGTCAGACCAATCTAAATACCAGTTTCTCTTTATCTTAATGCAGTTCCTTCCTCCTGCCTGGAGCAATCTAGAAGAACCAGATTTCTTAGCCCGGAAAAGGTCACAAGAGTAAAAAAAAGGTCAATATCACTGCCAACACAAAGTGCAGAGATACATCGTTAAGAAAAGAAAAAAAGTAAAAACTTGTAAGAAAAAAAAAGGACCCAGTGAACAAAAGCAAAGTGGTGTGTGTGTGCTGTGTGTCAGTGTGTGTGTGTATGTTATATTGACCACAGAGGAGGATGTACATCATCGCTGGCTGCCCTGTAGGACCTCAGACACACTCCATTAACGTCAGGGTCAGAGCAGACAGAGAACACCCACTGACTGTCTGAGACTCTGATAAAATAGATACCACTGCTTAACAACCAGACAAAAAAACAATGTCAATGATTGAATTCACATGGCAGCGCTCAACATCAGTGTTTTCTGCTGCAGAAAAATGGATCAAGTAATCGGTGAACCACTAAGGGCAATATGCCCTCTTTCAGTTGTTTATTATTGACCATCTCCTGGTTGTCCTATCATGTCACACTCCAAAACAATCTACAAACGCATTAGCAAGAGGCTGAGGGGCTGTCTTTCAAGTGAGTAAATCACAATGACTTTACTACTCTGTACTATTTGTATGAACAAAACAGCATCATCTTTTTTTACATCCTTTCCTCTTCTTCACCTGAGGTTTTGTTCACCACCCACTAGTGTCTTTACCGCATTTAAGCAGTTTAACCTCTCAGTAAGAGTTCAGTGAGCCAGCTGTGGAGCATATACATAACGCTGAGGACAGTTTAGGGTCTAACTGAGTTATATACACTGTATTCTCTATGAGAAAGTCGGTTGGTCTTCTCTGGCACACAGACAGGATAAACACTTGTGTCTTTTTATTTATAAATCCCTGATTGGACGCTCACCTGCATACAATACATCTATGCCGAGCTTGAACGCTAAGTATTACAAAACTGACTATCTAATGCTTCAAGTTACACAAGTTTTTTCAAAAATTGAAAAATGTGCTCTAAACTTTAAGCTCCAAAATGTGGAACTATTTCCAACAAAGACCAAAATTAACACTTAAGTTTCTCTGGGTCGATTGAAGCTGTTGATAACAAACCATTTTCCTGTCGTAAATGACTATTGTAAATGATTATTTTTGATAAATTTTGTTGTTGTAAATAATGGTTAACAATAATAATAATAATAATAATAATAATAATAATAATAAAATAAAAATAATAATAAAATAAAAATAATAATAATAATAATAATAATAATAATAATAATAATAATAATAATAATTATTATTATTATTATTATTATTATTATTATTATTATTATTTTATTATTATTATTATTATAGTAATAATAATACATGCAAGATGAAATAGACTCCCACCAGCATTATCTAGAACTATGAGATATCCGACTAACCTCTTGAAACGTATTTTTAAGGTCCGGTTTCAGTCAGGCCAATACAAGAAATCAATTTTTTTACATGATGTAAATGTATCGAGCGTCAGCTTCAAACAGACAAACTTGTTTTCAGCTGTGGAACCATACTGACCACAGAGACTTTTAATGAATCCAAAAAATGGATATGGCTATTACAAAGCCTCAAATTATTTCGATAAGATTCTCTTAATTGGTCGACAGCACTCGTTTTAAGTAAAAAGATCCTGAAACCTAGCCGTTGCTTTTACTCACTGCACTCTTCGCAGTGTTGTGTTGCTATGAATATCATGTTAATAACGTTTCGCAATACGTATTGTATCACGAGACTGCAGGAAATACCCAGCCAAAAATAAATTTTGAAAAATTAGGCCCAGTGTCAAGTTTTTCTTTTGTGCCACCTAAGAAATCAAACAACAACTTACAAGCTTGTGATTGCCTCAAACGACAATCTATCTCATCTCAGCAAGGAATCCCTCAAAAATGCTTATTGTACAGGTCAGTATGTCTGAGAAAAGTTGTTGTAAGTCTTGCAGGATTGAAGTAAAGAAAAGTTCCTCTTGATTTATTTTTTTTAATGTGCCTGATGAGTCAACATATTTCTTTATTGCATTGCAGAGCATTCTTTCAGGATGGCAGGCAGAGATGAAGTCAGTCTGTCTGTTACAGCTCGGCCACTGTCAATATTTTAGCGGTAAACCAGCGCATTTCTCTGTGCAGCCAAACCAAAGGAAGTATTACAGAGAGGTCAGCGGTTAGACGCAGAAACACAGGCTGGAATAAAAGACATCAGCAGGACTAAAAGAGAGCGTACTAACCTAAACTCAGCCTGACACTGTCTGAGGGCTGTGATAAAACCAGAGGTATCACCCCGCTGTTGAAGCATTACACTCTGCGGTGTCTGGGACATGAAACAACCACAGCAGGAGGTGATGAAGGATATACAGAGTGTGAGAACAGGAGGGGAAGGAGGACAAGTTCATAGAGGACAATAAGAAACAACAAGGAAGAAGGTGCAAGATGAGTTAGACAGGCTGAAGAAGAAACAAGCATCAACAAGAGTCTAAGTAGAGCTGGAGCAGAAGTGAAGGTCTGTTACAGTGGGATGGTGAGTCAGAGAGCGGCTTTGAGGTCCGATAGGAGGAGACAGAGGAGAAAAGAGAAGTCCAGTGGCACATCTAGTTCTTCTGCTTCATTTCAGAGAGAGCTCAGAGCCAGTGAATCAAACCAAATGCTTGTTTTTGCCTCTGTTTACGTCCAGTAAGTTTTATTTCCACTTGAGAACATTTGCAGCAGAAAATCATCATTTTTTAGAGGATTTATGGTGTGTCTGTCAAAATAATTCATGTACCTGCTTCACAAAGGTAGAACCAAGCAGAGCGGCTGTCAGAGGAGGACAAAACTCTAAGGATAAGAGGACTAACAAGTGCGATTCTATTCAATTTCTAAAGAGATGGTATTCTGTGTAAAATGAGGATAAAAAATAGGTTTTCATGTTCAGCAAATTACCAGTTGGGCACATCTCTAGCTAATGAGGTTATTTTCCAACAGGTTAGTAACATGGCTGGGTATAAAAAGGACATTCAGGTAGGCCGAGTGTCTCAGAAGGAAAGATGGAAGAGGTTTACCGCTCTGTGTGAGACTGTGTGAGCTGATAGTTCAACAGTTTTAGAATAATGTTCCTGAGTGTCAAATGTGAAAGAATGAGTGGATTTCATCATATACAAGGTTCAGCGAATCTGGAGAAATCTCTGGACAAAAGGGACAGGGACAAAAACCAATGCTTGATGGTTCTGATCTTTAGGCCTACAGACAGCACTGCATCAAAGACAGACATGACTCTTGGGTGGAAATCACTGCACTGGCTCCAAAAGTGGACCCCTATTTCTGGTCATTTTAATAAAACAAAAATCTTTTAGAAAATTTTCTTTTAGGGTCTTTTACCACAATGATACTTCAAATGTGACTTTTATTTTATTTTTTTTTAAATTGCCAAGAGGGGGCCTGGATCCTTGAGTGAGATCAACTTGTCTAACAGAGGACCTCCATTTAAGGCAGTGGAGCTGTCTGAACCCATTCACACTTCTGATGAGAGCTTGTTTACCACAATGACTTTTTTTGTTCCTTTCAAGAATGGCTGATTTAACCTATATGTGGTAATTATTTAAACATTTCTCTCTGAGAAAAATATTTAGAAAATATTTGGGGCCCATTCATCCTGTGGATTATATTTTCCTTTTATAGCTGCTCTAATAATGATTATTTGGTGTCAGGAGAAAACATTTCCTAGTCTTCCTAGGCAGATTTTTGAGTTTGTATTATTATTATTATTATTAGTAGTAGTAGTTGTAGAAGTAGTAGTAGAAGTAGTGGTAGTAGTAGAAGTAGTAGTAGTATTTGTCTGTAATTATTAGGTGACATTTGACCTTGTGATAAGTTGTGTGACTACTGGCAACAATTGTTGCCCGGGTAACAGTGGAAACACGGTCTCTGATTGGCCCGGTTATTTTCTGATCGGGAATACACGCTCTCTATGGGCCGAAGTCCAGACTGTGGTGGGAAGGAACGTCAAGTGATTCACGCAACAGGATGGCCCGGCCAGGCTACTGAAGAGTGGGGTGAAACAGGATTGTCCTCAATATTGGGTTTCAGGAATGGTTTGATTTGAATTTGAATTTGCATTTGCATTTAGTTCCGCCCTGGGTAACCAGGGGTTTAAAATAGGCTCAGGTGTTCAAACACAGTCATTGCCATTTGGACTCTGGATGATGAACTTTGGAAAGCCTCTCAGTGAAGAAATTATGTCCAGATTGTTTGGGAAGATGAAGAAATCGCCAAATGGTGAAGACAGTGTGAGTACTCTGTTCAACAACAGAAGGACCAGTGCTTACAGCAGTGAGTCCAGGATCCTAGACCTGCAGGAGACCAGGGATGAGGCTCTTCTTTTCCAAATACAGGCCACGTATAATCGTGACAGAGCACGCAAAAGAGCTATTCTAGAGAGACTCAATCTCCGTTTAGCACAGACCACAAATGGTCTTAAAGAGAGGCCTGAGGAGGAAGACGAGGGGTGTCTTGACAGAGACTGGGCCCACAGCCCCCTTGACACCCACACCCCAGATGAGCTGAGACGTATCCCGCTCATAAGAACACCTGTTGGTTTGTCACCTCCTGTGTCACACTTTGCAGCTGCAAAACCAAACAGGAGAGTATCCTTACTCCCTGTATTGAAGAAGAAACTCCACAGAACAAGTAAGTTCCTGTTTACAAACTATTGATTGCTCAAAGGGTATGATTTGAATACAGGCAGAAATGTGACTGATGGATTTTTTTCTCAAAAGACAAAGAAGTCCCAGGTGTAAATGAAGTACAAACAGAAAGAAGACAAGTAAAAATAACCCAGAAAGGACCAGAGCATGTTCGTCCAAACTCTCTTGTCCATGTACCTCAACCACCAGCGGGTCCAAGACCACTCAGAGTACGACTGCCACCTCTTCAGCCAGCTCCAACTCCAGAACCTACTCCTACAAAGAAGCAGTACCTTCATCCTAGACGGGCAGTTGTTGGCGCTAGAAAGCCAACAAGATCATGCAAAGAGCAGACAGTGGACAACATTAAATTGAAGGAGTTGAAGCCTCTTTATGACCCAGTGAGGGGTCTGTCCCTCTGCTTTGATCTTCTCAGCATAGATGACTGGTAAGTCTCTAGTACCCCAGTAGAAAACAAAAACTGCGGACAGCATCATCACTGTCTAAGCCAGTTTCAAATGGTTGTAGTTAGTACATCAGATCAGCCACTATTTATATGTGTGAGATTAGTTCTCACACATATAAATTCTCTAGTTGTCCTCTAAGGCTAGGTTTACATTGTGTGATTTTTCAAAAGTCTGTGACAAGCAAACTAACTCTGTGCAAGTGAATCATATACAAGGCACAACCGTTACAAAGTTCCAGTAAAAGACTGTAATCATAGACAAAGTTGAAGTTGTTATGTATATGATACATAACTTGGCAACATTTGCAGCTTTAGATAAATTGGTGGTTAATCTGGGATTGAAGTGCTTCTTCATTAATCTGTAATTTCTACACAGGGAGAAAAAGATAAAAGGACTGCGGATTGTCCAAGCTCTGGCGCAGCATCATGTAGACATCCTGAAGGTGAAGCTACATCAAGTGTGTTATGCCGTGATGAAGGAGGTATGAAAGTCATTTGTCTCTCTGCCTGTTTGTCTATATGTGTGCCGACTCAAGGATGTATGATTTCTAACTGGTGATGTTTGGTCTTCATCCCTAGGTTAAAAATCTGCGCTCTGCCGTGGCCTTTGTAGCTATAGACACCCTCAACTACCTGTATGTCTACCTTCAGACTGTCATGGACTGCATGGCAGAGAAGACAGGCTGTGCTCTGCTTTCGAAAATTGCACAGTCATCTGGTTTTGCCTCCCTTCAGAGGCGGGCGAGTAAGGCCCTCGTCTCCCTGGTGCAGAATTGTAGCCCAGGTCCTGTACTGAGTGTCCTGCTTAAAACAGGGTTAAAGTAAGTGCAGAGAGAGGGTTACAGTTCCGGCTTTAACATAAGATTTGGACATAAGAAATACTAACATTGAGGTTTACAATGTCAAAAATTTAGCCTTACATAAAGTGCAGATTACCTGTAAAAATGTATTAAAACAAAGTTGGTGAATTTGCTTGTTTCTTTCTACTCTCAGTCACTTGTGCGTAGAGGTGAGGGCTAGCGCAGCAGAAAAACTTCATATGTTGGCGGACACCCTGGGAGCCTCTACAATTTTAAAGGCAGGAAACAGCTTCGCTCAGAACTTCCTGATTGCTGTAAATAAGATGTCTGTTGATGCCTCAGCTGAAGTCAGGTAAATAACCTTGCTGTGGTTGTAATACACTAGATCACAAACCAATATCTGATGGTTTCCTACTTGTGCCACCTGAAGAACATTTACACTGTTTGATCTTGTGTTGATACACAAAACAATTAAAAAAAACTAAATCTCTCCTCAGGCCACATGGATTTGCCATACTTAAAGATCTGGCCCTTCAACCAAACTTCATGAATCTCTGTAAGAGTGTCGTCCATCAAAAAGATCAACGTCTTCTGGATAAAATTTTAAAGAAAATAAAGACTGCATAATGAGAGTGTTTTTTTTGTGAAGTGTTTCCTTAATGTTTCTCAAATTTAAAAAAAAAACATGTAGCATTACATTTGAGTTTTAGTCCAGTTATGAGTATTTAAAATCTGAACTCCACTTGACTTGAGTTTGAGTCTTCATATGCTGTTAAACTTCTCATAAACTGCTGTAGCATTTCAGTCACAAATGTCAAAAAAGGGAGTTGGTTCAAGTTGAAATACAGGTTCCTATTTTCTCTGCATGTTATATACAAATGTTACACACACCATTCAAAATGTAGTCTTTAATAGAAAGAGTGCTATAGAGCATTTATGTGCCAAATGTCACAGACTGCTTTGTTAAACTGGGTGTTTTCATTTTACAAAGTGATAAAATTAAAAAATGTATTTTCTTTTATTCAAAAATTCCCAGAGTACAGTCATCCTGTGATCAATGACCCAAATTGATCGGTTTGACATGTAGCTTCCAGACCTGACCATATCAAAAATCCTCTGATCCACTATTTTGGACTGAGAAAACATGTATTTTATAAATGTCAAACATCCAATCAAATCAAACTTTATTCATATAGCATTTTTCATGCAAAAAAGAAATAGAGCACAAAGTGCTTTACATGTTGAAAACCCCCACCGAGTCCCCACCCCAGTGCGCGTGCACACACACACACCCGCGCGCACAACAATATAAAAGATGCTTTCCCATCAGGTTGTCAGGATATCTGTTGCCGGGACAGCAGCAGGCTGGATAAGATGTTTACTGGAGGGAAACACAGACTGGTCACAGCTGGGCGTGTGTGTGCGTGAGCATACTTGTGTGTATGTGGACAGTAGGTAGTTTCACAATATTTGCTCTCTCTCTCTCTCTCTCTCCCTCTATCTCTCTCTCTCTTTCTCTCTCTCTCCTTGTCTCTGTCTCCTGCTATCTCCTCCATTCATTTTCTGATCCATCCTCTCGTCTGTTGTGTCCTCCCTTCCCTCTCTCCTTCCTCGTTCCTACTCATCCTCTCATTGTTCTGCAGTCCCTCCTGTCGATCTAATATCCTCCTCCCTCCGTCCCTCGCTCCCTGCTCCCAGCGGAGGGTGAGAAAGGTAAACTTTCCCTCTTGATCCCTGCTCATTCTCCCCTCGTCTCTGTGTGCAGCTTTGCCAGCAGAAGGTCAAGCAGGGGCTAGTTCAGTCAGGTTAGATGACTTATGCTTGAACCAGGTTTCTCTCTCCTGCTTTGGTATTCATACATATAATCTGACAATTTGTGTTGATTTGAAAAGAGTCAAGACGTGACAGAGAAACATATCCCTTCATACCTCAAGGTTTCTTCTGAATTAAGACCCCATATGACTGCTTTGGAATTCATTATTCTTCAATGCAGAGACCAAAATATCCCATTCCACTTTTAACAAACTGAAAAGCTCAAGACACATTCCAGCATAACTGCTCTAACCACTTTGAAAAAAAAAGGCATTCAAGCAGGAATGTGAAAACTGAATCTATGTAAAAACGTAACTACAAAACTAAGTAAACCTGGATGAGAGTCAAAAACAATACTAGCTGGCCATAATCCCCATAATCATTAAAAAAGACATGACTCTGTCGTGGGAATCACTTCATGAGCTTGAAATCTCTTCCAAAGCCAGCATCCCCTGATGGGAGGATCATAAGAGTCCATGTGACGGGTAGTTTCCCATATCCATGAAGGCTCTATTATTGCTGAACAGTATCTCCAGGTTTAGAAGCGACATCTGCTGCCATCCAGACAATAACTTTTTCAGGGAAGACCTGCATATTTCAGCAAGACAATGACAAACAACATTCTGCAGGGATTACAACAGCAATGCTGCTGCTGAACTGGCCAAAAGCATCCGGACACAAACCGTATTTTGGGCCAGCTGAAATCCTGTTCAGGCTTTATTGGGACAATCGTTCACCTTTAAAACGGCATCAACTGGTCTCTGCAGTTTGAAACACTGAGGCAACTTTTTAAAAACAAACTTTTAATCATTAATATTTATCAATTTCAACATCTGATGTGTTGTTGGACCATTGTCAATGACTTGCACATTTTAAGTGATTAGATCTGTGTTTGGGTTACCACTTTCTCATGCACACCAACACTACATATTTCACTCTCACTCCAAAACAAACACAAACTGTCATGTTTGACCCTCGCACAGGCGGGTCAGCAGACAGATTTTCAGCAACAACATGGTAAATATTTAATCATGATAGTCTGGCCCCCTCCTCAATCTGACGCAAACAAACACACACAGTACAAACAATATAAATAAGTTATCACCTGTGCAAAAAATACTAAAAAGGCAGAGGAGAAAAGAAAAGAAAGGGAAACAATACTAGAGGAGTAAAGAGAGGACTAAAAGTTAAAACCAGATGTGAGGGGAAAAAAACTGTAAATAACTGGAGTGATGCAGCACCACAAAGCAGACAACTGTGGTCAAACAGGAAACCACAGAGAGAGAGGATGACCCTGAAAAGACCTGCAAATGACACGCACACATGCAAGCAGCAAATTAGACTCAAATTATGAGAAACTTCATCAAACCAGCCAATCAGACTGATCTGTGCGCTTCCATTCAAATAACTTATAAACCAAGAAAAAATGTCATAAATGTTTTCGCCAAAAAAGAGAAAAACAGAAAAATGAGGTGAAAGAAAATCATCTTGTTTTACTTCTGAATCCACAAACATTCATTTCTCTCATTTCTATTCTGTTTGAGTTAGCCACAGAACTGCAAGACGAGAGTTCACACACACAAACACAGCATGAAGGGACCAAAAACAGGCTCACACACTCTGCACGGAAACAATAACACACCACACGCACATGCTTGATATTGGCCTCACACACAGAGTGCAGAAGAAACATGGCTGCCCCTGTAATTCAACACAAGCCGAGCATGTTACACCACAAACACGCTACGACAAACACTCACACACTTAACAGTGTATACGTGCTCACATGTTCCTATTCGTGCACATAAACACAACAACACTGAGTAAGTGTATATGACCCACACAGCCAGTGACCTGAAAAGGTTCATGACCTGATGAGACAAAAGAAAGCAAATACTGTGTCCCCTCACTACTCTTCTTTTCTTTTGCTCTCTGGCTTCAGTTTCATTATTTTTAAGTTAAATAAAATGAATCCAAGTGATAAACTAGTTTATTCCTTTTATATTTAATTGTCTTTGTAAAGCACCTGCATCAAAAATTAGTGGTGATATTAGTGCCCCCATTGGACGAAGCAGAACATTTTACTTCTTTAACCAGAGTTTGAGCAAGACAGGAGGAGCAGGAGATTGAGCTGCAGACCTTCCCAATTAAAGTGGACCACTCTACTTCTGAGCCACATACAGTAAGTGTTAACAGGGATCAACATGACTGTTCTGCCGCTCAGCCATATTTGTTGTTGTAGTTTCAGTCTAGGATTCACGTTTGAGCAGTCACATTTGTTTTTCTCCCTTCATGTGCTTTTTGTCTGCTCTAACTGAGTCAACTTGACTTTGGACAGACATGACAGAGAAAATCTCAGCTCCTCACCAAACCTCCACAAAACACTATATACAGACACACGCTGTGCTCAGGAATAACAGCAGAGGAGGTCTTATGAGAGGCAGTGCTGTTGTCCATCATCTCCTCAGATCCTGTGTCTCAGACTGAAACTGTTTCCACAAACGGCAGGGAGCGTCCCAGGATCTCTGCTTCGAGGAAAGTTGAATTCTGGGAAAGTCCTGCTTCTGTGTGTTCTGTGATGACTGATTTCACTCCTGTAGATTAAATAAATATAGAACTGTATGCATGTGCAAATGGACTGAACATATGCAGGAGTATCAGCTGTCACCTGGACCATTTCCACCCAAAGCCCTTTGTAACAGAAGGGTGGTTATATGTGAGGTTTCAACACGGATAGAGCTACTGGGAATAAGGTAAACATATGGTGCCTCCAATGAAAGACTGTTAATGAGAAGAAACCATACTTGTTTGTCAGCCTGTCAGAGTTTTCCATTTCTGTCATTGCTAGGAAGAAAATGCTTTGCTTCCAGCTCAATGATTGGTCTTTCAGAAATAAAAACTATTAATAGTCTTGTAACAGCGTTTCAGTGAGAGAACGATTTCTAATGACAGTTAAATTGACTGATCATATTCTCCTTTGAGTGGACAGGCTTTGTTGACACTATGCATCATGTCTCATTCACACAAAGCAAAAGGGAAGTCATAAATGTAAAGCAAATGCAAAGACATGATTAGAAGCACGTTCTAGTTGGGTGATGCAAATAACATGAATTATACGGCACAAAAAGAGCAGACTATTAGCACAAATGACACAAATTCGCATTGTGTTCAACATGCTACCCAGCCTGGCTGGGCCATCCAGTTGCGTGAATCACTTGCCGTTCCTTCCCACAACAGTCTGGACTTTGGCCAATTGGGAGCGTGTATTAGAAATCAGAAAATAACCGGGCCAATCAGAGACCGTGTTTCCACTGTTCCCCGGACAACAGGGAAAGGCTGCCCCCTGATTGGTCCATGTGAAGATGGTGACGTCTAACACATGCTGTGGGACTTTTCAAAGCGCTGTTCGTTCAGAACGCTGTTAATTCTGCAGTTGACTTTGCAAAGTTGGCAGAAATCGTTTATATCCGCAGAAGAAGACGTAAAAGACATTGTTTGCTCGCACACGTTGAAATACCACCAAACCTTTACTTGATGCTTGAGAGCGCAGCAGGGAACATAGTTGCGCACTGTGATGACGTCAGATGTTTGGTTACGGAGATTGGTTACAGTAGTCTGTCTATCAAAGAAAGTACTCCCGCCCACTTTTAGGGCTCCCAATTGGCCAAAGTCCAGACTGTTGTGGGAAGGAACGGCAAGTGATTCACGCAACTGGATGGCCCAGCCAGGCTACATGCTACTGGCCTCAAATGCCTATTTGCGACAGTTGAAAATATCTAAACTCAAGTTGATGGTGACTTACTCTGCAGACTTCATATGAACATGCAAATTAAGCAAGTCATTGACAGGAGTAAATACCAGACTGTATATAGTATGGAAAATGTGTCTCCGCCTCCCCTCATTATACCAATTTGAAGCCAAATTGCTCTTGGTATTTACAAGATTTCCTTCATTTCCTGAAACCAGCATTCGTGTAGTTGCGTAGCGTACACCCACAGACTGTATCAAGTGTCAATCATAGAAAACCTGGAACCCTAATAACTTTGAAAAAAAGAGGACTTAAGCACTAACCGGTATAACTACATGTCAACATCACAACCAAGTGGGAGAAAAAATTATATTCTGTGTAATTGAATGTCTAAAGTTTGTCCACGGCTCTATTCATTTGCTGGGAGCTGGGGGGAGGGTTATGACCAATACAGCATCCGTCACCAGGGGGTGCTGCTCTAGCGGAGGCTTCTCCCAGTGAGGAGGCAGATGACGTCCATTCTTACTATGGTCTATGGTTGATGAACAACATTCACGCTTTCTGACAAACACAAATGAAGTAAGTAGATAATTTTCCTCGCGACGGGTGTGAATGCGACATCAGTCACAAGCTAGCATGCAGTTATAATGCAGAAATAGATACAACAGGTACAAGCTATCATGCAGCTACAGGTGGAGAGAGGAGAGCAGGAAGAGGAGCAGGAGGAGGCAGGTGGAGGCAATTATCTCTGTAAACACAGTGAGCCAGCAGACAAACAAACTGCATAATTATCACACAGGAAAACAGACTGAAACTAATGAAGCGCAGATGCCAACAGACATTTTCTGCAGAAACACTAATAAATAATCATGTTACCAAAACACACTCTACACCTGGCACATGAACGCGTATGGAAAAAAAAACCCTGAAAAACTCACAAACAGGAAAACAGACTGTCATGCTGCATAATGGGAATACAAGCAAAGATCAGTGTACGCTCCCTCTCCCAGAATGAGTTGGTCATCTAAACAGTAAGGTCACAGTCTGGTCAGCATCTGAACAGCTGATATCACCACCTCTGTTAGCTTACAGCGTTAATTAGCCATGTTTAAACACCAATCACATGCACTAATGAGGACAGCTCTGCAGCTCTGCCTAATGAGAGAAACTCTACAAACATCCGAGGGAGAGATACTGTTACTGCAATAGATATAAAGAGATTGTTGAATAAAGATTTTTCTTCTTGAATTGCTTTATTGTTTTTCTGTGCTGTAGATATTTCTGGAACGGATTTACAAGACTGGTTGCCCAATAAATAATTAATATTTATGCTATATTCACCACTTAAAGAGAGAAATCATAACCTCTTCTTTAACTATCCAGCTGTCAACGCAGTCCTAAAAAGTTATTAGAAATGGTGCATTGTTCTTGCATTTCAAACCTGCATCTGCAGCCTTGTCTTCTGCACAGTCTATTCCAACACTTTGCCAAGTAGTTTGTGTAAAGGTGTACATCCTATCAGTCTGCGGCCACAAGCACACCTGCTGAAGCTCTGTTTCCGTGGGATAACTATACAGTTCACCTCCAGGTCAAGGTGAGTAGATGTGTGTGTGAGAGAGAGGCAATTAGCTACACTCCCATAACTCTTTGGTTCCCCTGGGCGAAAGGGAGGTGCTGTTAGGGGCACCCTCATACACACACAGATTCAGGCACCCTCTGGGTATTATCAAAACACACAAAGGACTATTACTGGGTGGGGAATGAACTTTTCTCACATCCACTCAGAGCCAACAAAAGACTGGGGAGTGAAAAAGAGAGGGATGAGAGTCTGGAAAATTCAAGAGAAGGAAGTGGGCGAACAACAGGACTGAGAAATAGAGGACAGAAAGGTAAATCATGGAAAATCGTGGAAACTAAGCAGAGGCCGAGGAGAAGGCTGTGATGATTAATTAATCTGACAAAAATAAACTTTTGGTCTCATGACAAAAACAAGACAAAGATGAGCTGATAATACATCACTGATAATTAGAATATCTGACAAATATATTCAAGTTTCAGTAAGTGAGACAATGATTGGGTGAAAATGTTTTGGGTGAAGCTTCGGACATCAAATATCCATTTTATTTCCCCCACTGTATGTTTAATTTACTGAAGGCCTTGCATTCCTGTAATGGACTGAACCAGGAGAGGGATGCAGTGCTCATTATGCCACTTAAAGGGATATTCCGGCGTAAAATTAATTTAGGGTCAAACACACCATAACACTGAGTTAGACACCCCCTCGAGAGATGACTGTTGCCAACTGCTTGCTTCTCTAGTTTTACCAACTTTAGTAACGACCGTGGTGACGCAGTTTAAGGAAGAACATTAATAATCATTTCTTTATCTTTTTCTTGAAGTAATAATCATCATATTAGTCATTTAGCACTGCAGACGTGGTAGTTCTTCTTCTGCCTTAGTGTCTTGGTCTGATTGCATTTCCATGAAGAAATGATCATAAATGTTCTTCCTTGAGCTGTGTCACCCTGCTGTAGTCAATGGACTTGCCCGGAGTTCTCTGTACAAACAAGCGGCTGCTGGAAGAGAGCAGGTGAGCTGTGTTTAGTCTCTTGGCTATAGAGTGGCATTTTGGTTGAAGATAGTAGAAGGTAGTTAGTAAACAAAACCCTGACAGACGAGGGAAAGATGTAAAAAAAAAAAAAAAAAAACGTTTCTATCATGCTAACAATACAGAGCTGTAAACACGACAGTGTTTTCATCGTTCCAACTCATTTATGTTGCGTTACCCATTCTGGACTTAAGTGATCTACCTGGATCTTTGGTAGGCTAACACATTGGTACAACTTCATTTATAAGATTTGGGCTGTGAAAACACAATCTTTGTGTTTTTGTAACTCAGAAAAGTGCTGTTGGGGAAAGCTGGCCTTAACTGTGCATGTAAACATGGATAATCATGGACTGAAGCACATAAGTTTTTAGGTGCAGACACAAGCACTCTGTTTTAACAGCATGCATAGAGGAAGCTTTATTATGCTGTATAGTATCTGCACACTTTTCAACCGAAGCTGGCCCGCATCTCAGCATATTCCAGCATCTAGAGAAGTCTTCCCATAGTATGATGCTGTACCTTTAAAATTTTTGAGTTAATGTAGTAATGTAGCAGTCAAACAGACTCCTTCCCGGCTGACACAGACTGCCTGATGAAAGTGTTTGATGTGCCAGTACAGAATCAATTCGTTTTCATCAGAGGTTTGCCAACTGGTCTAGAGGCGGATCAGGTAACAGATGCATTAGCTCTCAATGGTCCATAAATAAACAGGAGCTAAAGGACTGTTCTCCATGAGTGAAATCTATTCAGGCTTCATTTCATCAACAGTCTGCTCAGCAGCACATTTATTTTGACTGAGGTTTGTGTTACAATTTTTTTTCGAAGGGGAATTCCAGTATTGTTAAAACTGGGCTCTATGACATCAATTCATGGGGTTTAAACAACTTCTGGCAAGTTTTTAACATAGCTCCCTGTTCCTCTAATCAAAAAGTTTCTTAATGTCAAAAGATAAACTTAAGGATCATTAGCCCATCCTGAAGTATAGTTGCAGTAATCTTTGGAGCTCTGTATTGTCATCAAGGACTCTGCTGTATTGGATAGGATAGATAACAGGAAAAGATGACATTTTCAGATTTCCAGCAGACTTCAGAGGAGTCCACAGTTCACTCTGGAGAAAATTAGTCTCTAAACTCAGATAAGTTACTTATCTAAATAGCATTGGTTTTGTCAGCAGAAAGATGGGTGTTTTCCTTTGTCTTTTTTTTATAGGAACCTGCCGTTGAATGTAGAAGCCGGCTGATGGTGCCATGATCCAAAAGATGGAGGCAACAGCAAAATAAGGTATTTTTCCTGCAGACATGTTGCAGTACAGGCACATTCAGCTCCACTGCTGTTACAGGCCCCAATGTGAGTGAAGGTATAAAAGCCTGTTCGTTACTGCTTGCAGCTTTAATTTCTAAACGACTCCAGTACTGACCTGTAGGGCTGCAATGCAATTCTTAGGGACTGGATTACTGTAAATCTGCTTCATATTAATGAGTCGTTACATGTTCTAGTTGCCCACATCCTTATGCTGCATTCCAGTTGTACTTAGAAGTCGGGATTTCCGAGCTCCGAGTCAGAAATTCATCTGGAAAGCCCCCCTGAAGTTGAATTTCCGACTCGTAAAGTCAGACGATCCTCGCCAACCCCGACTTGACAACAATGTTATAATCTAAGATGCCAGCACAGTGCATTAACAGTTAAAAGTAACAGTGAAAGCTTTCATAATGTATTATTTATTAGCACTTGTGTTTTGTTTTTGTGAAATTACATAAGTGGTTTATATTGTACTGCCCAACGTCTAACTGTAAACATGGTGCTATGGTGTTTGTAAGAGTAAAATACTACGTTATACGTTGTTTACAACTGGTATAGCTAACAACAACTAACAACATCTGACAATGCCAAACGACAGCTGACAATTGTTAACAAAAGCTAACGACGGCTAACAGTAGGTGTCCATCATGGTTTTCCGATTTGCTTACTGGACCGCCATCGACTCGGGTGTAACGTCATTCCCAGCTCCGACTTCTGGAACGCAGCATTACACTTGACCATGTTCTCTGATTTCAACACTATAACCTCAATGATAACATGCTCTCTTGCTACTAACAAACTGACAGGTGCAATTATAACAAGATGATCACTTTACATGTGATGCCATAGCTGACTGATGTGCAGGTAACAGAAAATGTACATTTTCCTTTTTAATATAGCAAATCAGGCCCAGATACCTCGACAACCAAAGACGGACAAAAGAAAGAATTCAAGGGGAGGAGGAGGAGGAAAGACGGATGTGGAGGAAGAAATGTGGACAAAAGGTGACAGATGTACGGAAGGTAATTTAGACAAAGAGAGGAAAACTCACACAAACAAAAAGCAGCCCGATGTGTGTGTGTGTGTGTGTGTGTGTGTGTGTGTGTGTGTGTGTGTGTGTGTGTGTGTGTGTGTGTGTGTTGTGTGTGCTGATTGATCGAACACGCCAAGTCCATCTCGATATTCCCTGATGGGAGCCAGAGTGTGAAATTGCCAAAAAGGCAAACAGCAAATAATCAGGACAGAAAAACACACATTCACAATCCCCGCCACACACACACACACACACGCACTTCAGTTGACTATTTATTGCTCTCATACTTTCACACACTTGTGCTGCAGCTTCCCTCTGTTACTCGCTGCATTTTTCACGGCTGTTTTCCACTCCCTCGCCCTCTGTGCTCAGAGTAAAAGTAAGAGTGTCTTTCAGTCTCGAGTCATTTTCTGTGTCAGACACCACACACATTAACACTCACATACAAGTACCACATCACTATCATTCACATCATAAATCAGTCATTGAGGACTTATGAGAGTTAATGAGATAGTTCTGTGGTGTTTGCTTTGCTTTCTCCACTCCTGCTGTGTTTCTGTCTGTGTATCCAGGCGTCTCCAGGCAGTAGCGGATACCTTTGCTCTGCTACATAACAAAGACTTCAGGCCTGTGTGTGTGTGTGTGTGTGAACATGTATGTGTGTGACACAATTAGCCACATAGTGACCAACTGTGTCCAAGTTTGAAGTATTAAACAAGAAAAAAAGCTCTTTGTGTGTGTGTGTTTTAATGCGCGTGGGAGTCAAATTAAAGCTGGACTGCGCTCCCTGCCCCTCTGGGACTCTGCAAGTGATTTGTGTTGCCTATTTGCAGTGTTTTCTAGGTGAGAAAAATGGGTCAATTTGTGATTCCGAAGTCTAGCAGTCACTCAGCCTGAAGCTGCAGGAAGAATCTTAGTAACTCCTCTTCATATGTGACAACGTAATCCTTATAATCAAGCACATATCAACAAATTTAATTAATTTTCTATTAGTTATTATTCACTTGAGATAAATAATGTCAAATAAGGATATGGGTCAAAGCAAAATATAGCGGTGGTCTTTATACTGTCGTTTGAGCCACTTGACAAGACCGACTTGATATGAAGGCAAATAATCAGTATCCCTTCTAATCACACACATCATGATTTAATTCAAGAGCTATTAGCAACAGCTGGCCCAGACCTGTTACACCACAACAAAACTATAATTAGTCAAGGATGTGTTAGCTCCATAGCAACAGCCAAGATGGAAAAAAGGTTAGGAGGGAATGGTTCAAGTGTTAGATTGGAGGTTTTGGAGACAGTACTCACAGTCGAGACAGCGCCTCGTTCTTCTGAAACAGCAGCTCTGGAAGTTGGCTGAGGCGGTTTTTATTGAGGCGACTAGAAGGACAGAACAAAAGTGTGAATCCATGTGTTTATAAGTCACCTTTATACATACACAGTGTTTACATGCAAATGTGTTCGTGTGCTCTTACAGTCTCTCAAGCTCCTTGAGTTCATCAAAAGCTCCTCTCTCGACAATGCTGATCTGGTTCTCCATCAGATGACTGCAAGGGTTATTGAAAATTAGAGTTGAACATTGAAAAGTCGTGATTGAGGTATGGGTGGAGGAGAAAATAGTTTTCTTGTGTTTTTATCAGTGAGGTTTCTGTATGTTTAGTTGTGTTGCTGCACACAGAAGTGCAGGGTAAACAGCAGGCTTTTAACTTAACAAACTGATTACATGATCTAGCAGTGCCCACCATGTACTACTTTTCCCAATACAGTCTGGCTGCAGACCTCATCCGTGGGGGCAGTGAATGTTCCACTAAGGCGTCCACTTACTCCAATATATAGTATTGACCCAGTAAATGCTGACTGAAGCGGTTTCAAGTGCTTCAGTATGGTCCATTAATACATCCTGCAGACTTCCATACCGTAAACCTCGGGTGTTACACTCAATCCTCTCCTGACAGAAAGGACCCCCAGACCCCCAGCAGGCTGCTAATCTGCTCTGAGGGGGGCTCTGGAGATGTCATTAGTCTCCTGACATGTCATCCCTCTCACACCTCATGTCTGTCAGTGACACTCACACAGTCCCAGACAGAAACCTCCACCCGTCAGCAACGTGTTTCCAGGTCAAAAGGTCACGATAAACCCCCTCTCTGTCGTAAATGTGACTGACACCGACACGAAACAAGAACCTCTGGGTGGCTCATGTGTCGCTGCAGAGCTTAAGGATCCTTCTGTTCCCTTTGGCTTTTGATGGCACCACAGGAATGACCACCACCTTCCGACCAGACCGAAAACCAGCAAAGAAATGTGAGAAAGAATCTCAGCGGACATAACAAGCTGTTGTCCTGTGAACAAAGAGCCAGAGAGCTGCAAAACGCGGTCTGGCCTCATTACTGACAGAAATACGTCTGTTTGAACTTTGGGTTGAGCTGAGAGGAAAGTTAAATTAGTAAATTAAGAATATACCAAGTCAACTATGAAGTTATTTTGGAGTATGATGGTTTCTTAAATAAAGCTTTACAAAAAAAAAAAAACTAAGTCCTCTTATAAGTCCAGCACAGTCAACATTTGGATTCATGAATTCAGACCCTTCTTAATTTCAGACCCTACACCAGGATGTTCATAACACAGCTAGCAAGCTGTACGATGGCTAGTACTTTGTCAGACAGTAAAATAAACCAACTGGGAGCTAGTTCTGGCAGGCCACTTTTCACATTTACCTTGCATCATCTTCATAATCATGAATTACCCTCCCAGTTAGGCAGTCTATTTAGACTGAAAGATGTCCACCTGCAGGATCCAACTACAGGGGGTCTTCAGGATATTATTTCCTCACTCCTTAATTCTGTATGTAAAATTAATCTGCATGGAGTGATCAGGTTCTGCTGCTGCAATGAAGCGTCAACAACGATACAGTCTGCTGTCTGTGTACAGTGAGAATGAGTTCATGATGATGTCTTAAAACGTATCTATTATATTTTTAATTTCTTTGAGGGAACTTTCCCAAAAGCATGAATAAAGATGTATCTGATCTAATCTAATATTCTAGATAGATACATCACTGATATTGATGCCATCACCATTTCTGCTTATTAATCTGATTCTTTATCAGTTCCCTTATCGATTCCTGGTTGTCTGTGTTTACAAGTCTCTGCACACACTGAGCAAAAAAATGGCTCTGTAGATTTACATTAAATCTTTTGATACAAGCAATTCTTGTGCAAAAAAAGATAATATTTGCTTTCTTTGGATCTCTACAGGCTTAATGTGTCTCCAGATGTAGAGAACAGAACTGCAGAACTCGGTCCAGCACCGCTATCACCTAAATGGACCAAACAAGAAAATGTTTGCACAGTATTTTTTCAAATTAAGGTCTTTAGTCAAATATATAATCTGTTGTTAAGCCTAGCCTGCATGCATCTCTGTCAGCATAGAGCATCTAACACATGGCACTCTTGATATCTAATGCCACGTTACATTGCCAAATGTTGAAGCATGTTGCTTGTATTCCCACCCTTCCTTAAGATCACACAGCTACAGATTTTGCACTTTGAGTTATTCGCATCAATTTGTGCAAGATGTCATTGTTTTTGCAAGGGTCGATAAAGGAACCATTAAGCAGAAAGGCAAATGATGTTGATGGCTTAAACTAGTAGGAACCGGTTCCAGGATCCAGTTTCAGATTTCTAGTCTCACTTTAGGGTATGATGTGACACTAAAGGAAGAAAGTTACTAACTCACAGGACTCGGAGGTGTCTGAGGCCAGAGAAGTCAGTCTTGCTTATCACTGTCAGGTTGTTTCCATTCAGATCACTGAAAAACAAAAAAGACAAAAGATAACAGCAGATTAGAGGAGAAGATGTAAAGACAGAGATCCCAATCAGTCCATTCAAATAATCAATGTCATTATCACTGAATGTAAAAAAGACAGATTACTGAAGTATCAGAGTAGTAAGATTCACAATGAGCTGTTGAGTAAAAAAAACTGAGCAAAGGCAGCAGTAAAATATTTCTACCTCCAAACCTTAACCTGGACAAACCACAAGGCCAAATGATGTTTAATAGATGTTTGAAAGTGTATGAGACCTGTAAAACCTCCAATCTAAATCAAAGACAGAAGTTTCAAGGGTGCTTTTATTATACATGGGTAACAAAAAAACCTTTAAGTAGCAGATGAAACTTGTTTAGTTTTATCCTTTGACTCCATCCCTCAGAAAAAAAAAAACAATTATCCACCAAAGTTTTCCTTCGATTTCTTTCTTTTATTTAACCTCACAGAAAGTAAGCTGCCTTCTAAAGAACTCACTAAATGAATTTAGTCTGCAGAAACACAATACAGCACATTGTTCCTGCTCTCTGAAATGACTTTCCATGATTTCCCAAAGTGAGAGTCTTTTTCGGGGGAAGTTCACTTTAAGGACATGGTGGTTTTCTACCATAAAGCTGTAATTGTCAGCTAAAAGTTTCAGGAAAACCAAAGAAAGACTTTCTGTGAGATGTTTGTTCAGACATACGGATTGTGACGAAACGGCTCCTGTTTGACTGGAGCATCATGTCTATCATCATTTTTCACAGTTTTCATACTTAGATTTGTGTCTTTTACTAGTTTTAGATTGAGTCTGCAGTTTTTTTCATACGCACACTAACAGTATAAACTCTGTGTGTTATGTGATATTGACTCGTACAGACGATCTATCTGGCGCAGTCAGGTTTAACCCTATGACCTTATTGTCTACCTTGATGGACAGCTGCAGAGAAAGAGGGGGGATGATGTCACTTTTCCCACGAGGCTTTGTGCTGGCAGAGGTAAACCGAACCCTATGTGCGTACCTGTGTGTGTGTGTGTGTGTGTGTGTGTGTGTGTGTGTGTGTGTGTGTGTGTGTGTGTGTGTGTGTGTGGAGTGTCATGTTCCTGGACTACTGTAAAGGGTGGAGCAGAGAGTGACCTTGTCCTGTCCTGAGTAAAGAGAGAAAGAAGGAGAGAGAGAGAGAGTGGAGGTTGTGGTTTGGGTGTGTGAACTGGATCAACACTTTGTCCATGGAAACCAAACGAAAACACCCTCTAAAGAAGAAAGGGAGAAAAATGCATGCCCATAAGAATAAATGAGAGTAGGATCGCACAATAAATTCAGAACCAAGACAGTATCCAATACCTTCTTTCAGAGACTTTATTTTCACAGTTCAGCACGTCTTTGTTCCACAAAGCAATAGATCTGTTTCTATTTATCCCGTACTTGTATAACCTGCACTCAAAGGTTTTTTACATGCTGAAATCAGTTTTCCACACCATGACTTGTAAGGCTGACACCTGAGAGTTGCACCGAGCAGGTTGTCAGGCAGAACCTGAGTGTTCACACTGTGTTATTTGGGACAGAAAAACAATAACCCTCAACAAAGTTAACTTTGAAAACTCCCACAGAATAAAAGCTGAAGTCAGAGGATGCAGCTTGAACACACCACGTACAGTTGTCACCTTACTGACATTTAAGGTCAACAACAAAAGCAGAAAAGTTTTCAAGCCCTCTAAAGGAAGGATCCATGTTAGAGCAGCTTTGTCGTGTGTATTTTGATTGTCTACGTCAAACTTGTCGCCACGGTACTTTCAGGCACTGTCTGCCCATTGGCAAATGCAGTCAGGAAAATGAGCTGTGAAGTTGCAGAATTAGCTCACAGCTATGATTTCACTGTGCAGGAATACAAACAGCCAACCTTACAGTAGCAGCTAATCTGGCTGTGATTAGCTCTCGTGATCCCTGAACACTCGAAAATACCATGCAAAAAACCTTATTTTGACCCAACTTTAAGATAAGTTGTGCAAATCAAAATGAGAGTCAGAATCATGATGGGACTTTACTCAGTTAGCTTTTGAGACTCCTGAGTATTGAGCACTGCTTTGCTCAGGCTAAGGTGGCCATTTTTTCAATATAGCAAGCCACACACTAACCTAAAAAAATCAGTGACCACAGTCTTTGCCTATGACCTACAGAGAAATGTATCTATTCAAACCGTCCATGTATGTGTAAATTAACCTTGTTATTGCAATTAGACAGGCCTTAAGTCACTTTAAAAAGTAAACCTTTTCTGAAGAAGGTCCTTCAATTCTTATTTGTTGACCCACGGTTGTGCTGTGTGCTATCATTATGTTACCTGTAGCGTATGGTTTGTTTGTGCTCCCTACCACTTGATCATGGTCTGAGCCTTGTTAAATAAATGAGGAATGTTATGTGCTTCGTCATATTAATCTGATTGGTTGTAGATCTGTTCAATTGATTCAAAAGACACATTCTTATGCAACCAAAGCCAACCCCACATCACCCCCTCTCCCTAAAAAACTGGATTAAATTGAACCAAGCCAAGACTGCTGATGAATTTAACTTAACCTAATGTAACTTATCATATGTTATCATATCGTATCATATCATATCATATCATATCATATCATATCGTATTGCATTGCATCATATTGTAATGTGATGTGACATCATGTACATATGCCAATTTATTTTTTGTATGGTATTGTACTATATATTAAATCGTATCATATTGTATGGTATTGTAATATAAACGTATTGATTAATTTATTTTCATGCCTAATTGTATTGTATAATGTCATACTGTAACACAAGATACCATATTCTTGTGTACTGTATTGTATCATATCAAATTTTATAGTATGGTATCATATCACACACACACACACACAAACACACACACACACACACACACACACACAGGTCCTAGCACGGGGGAGCATTTTAGCATTTAGGTTTTTATCTTATTTACTGTCATAACTATGTATTTTCGTATCTGCTGCTGCTGTGACAATATGAATTTCCACTTTGGAGGATCAATAAAGTTTTATTCTATTCTATTCTATTCTATCCTGTCATGTCCTATCATATCCTATTGTGTCAAAACGTACTAATGTTTTATAACACTGTATAATAATATAGCTTTGCTGTTACTAAAAGTTACAAGGTGTTTCACTACAGCTTACTAAACTTGCCAAAAAAAAAAAGGGAAAAAACCTGACAATAACAATATATGCTGGTACATAATTGGTGAATATTACTTGGGCTACAAACCCTGCTTTATTGTCTAAAATCAGAAAATAAAGACCTTTTTAGGTCTATACAGTTTGAGGATGGAGGAGGAGGTAGCTGTGATAGACAGCGGGAAAAAAAGCAGAAGCTAGGGGATTGGCTGGGACAGAGGGAGGGATGGAGGATGGATGGAGACAGGTCATGGCGGGGGGTCCAGAATAACTCCCTGGATGTGTGTGAAATTACCCTGACAGTTAGACTGCACGTGTTAAACAACCATCAGAAAGGGGGAAAAAAGCACAGCCAGTGATGATTGCATGGTCACACACTTTAAGTGCAGGCATGGGTGCTAAAAAACACACCAACTCTGAAAATAACAGCCACTAATGACCAGAAACTCCAAAGGTTTGTCTGTGTAGTGTGAGGAGGAGGACAGAGACACGAGGGAGTGCAGATACAGCCCTGATGAGGCGTGCTTAATTGAGTTTTGTGCCGCATGGCGGGGTCAGGGGTCAGCGGAGCGACAGACTCCCCTCGAGTGGCGACTCTGCCAAACAATAGCTCATTAAAGCAGAACGCGTCACACACACAGACACACACACAGACACACACACACACAAGCCTCAGTAGGCAGTGAGGCAGTTGATCCGCTCAGCTCTGCTCTGCTCTCCTCTGTTCGATCTGGCATGTAGGGAAAGAAGGAGGGGGCCAGCGGGTAAGATGATGGGATGTGTGGTGTGGGTTTGGGACGAAGAAATGAAGGAAGACGAAGCACAGTGAATGGAAGAAGCACTGATCTTTGAAAAGAGCTAGGTATCTAACCTGAGCACTGTCTGAGAAATATTAGACAGTTTCAAAATGCTACATCATATTCCTCTGTTTGCATGTGTGTTTTGGGGGTTTTATATCCAATACTATTAGCCTCCAATCATGAATTCTGAAGTAATACATGACCAAGAAGCACTCTTTCTAGGAGTGCTTCCTCCTAGGAGACACTGGTTTCAATGGGAAACTGTTTGATTAGGTAGTTTTACCTCTATGGATACTATATCCTGTGCTATTAAACTTCTGACCCATGAATTCTTAAGTTATCCATAACCAAGAGAAATGCTGAGTTTGCTGTAAGATTTTAGCCGCTCAGCTAGCAGCTCCCAAATGCCTGAGAGATACCAGTTTTAACATGAGACAGATTTTTCAAGTATTTACCTGTGTCATCAATTTATGCCATACTTTGAACTTCTTACACCAAGAGCATATGAGTAATACATAACCAAGATGTATGCCATAAGGTAGCTGCTGCTCAGCTTGCAGCCTCTCTCAGGACTTGTGTCCACGTAAGAAAGTCAGTTCCTAAACTTGCAACCTACATATTTACATTGCAAAGAAGAGCAGGCCTGCTTTGCTCCTTTGCTGACCAGTTGTGATGATATATCGATAAGATGTGTGTCACAGCCTTGTGATTGAGCATTGATGCCTCTCACCCATGTTACCTATGGACAGCAGGGATTCTGATGTAATCTGTACATCACTACTTGCTTATGACCTTGTATCATAAGCAAATCTTTTGGTTATGTGTTCTGTGCAGATCAGTACACAATGTTATGTACCTTGTTGTCAGATGTATAGTAGATTGAAGAGATCGGACTGTGGTGGTTTGAGGGAAACTGATTAGAGTAAATAAATGTGTCATATTGACTGATGTCCATGCTTCTGGTTTTTGGCTGGTCAGATCAATAAAAGGGTGACACAGATTGCCTGCTTTGTAGCAGTTCGGAGTGGTTATGTGTGTCTGTGTGTGTACATGAATGCAAGTGTGAGATCCTCTCCAGGGCAAGAGGAAGAGTCAAAAAAATGTATTTGAAATGGGGCCCATCCCAGTTATATTATACTACTGGGTGAAAAAAGTGAATAAGTTACAAGTTAAGAGGATACTAAATACCAGAACAATATTTCACACAACACTGCCTCAAACACACGGCCCAGCAGGATGCATTGAAGAACACAAATGGCCCATCAATACAAATGGTTTATTTTAATCTGCAAATCAATGGTGTATCCGTGCAGGATGGGGGGGACAGCAAGTATCAAGATACAAACACAAGCTATAAAAAACCCTGTCCTCTCAAAGCTAATGAGAGAGCGATCAAATCTCCAATCCTCAAAATCAATCAAAAAGAAACCAAACACATTTATTCTCCATCTACTATTTATTACACAACAATATCCATTGCATTTGAAGTGGAAAAGATGAATTATTACCACATAAAAGTGCTATTGTCAAAGTCCAGGCAGCCTGATTTCAACCTCATAACCTCAACCAAAGAACCAGCTTGTTTCAGCAATTTGAAGTCAGACAGTGTCAAGAGACTCAGTTCTTTCTGTTTAGTGTCTGTTTAACTATTTTTAGTCAGCATTAGATCACTAATTCACTTTAAAACAGACAAGAAACAGAGAGGTTTGCCGTTCTGCAAGAGACTGTGTGAGTAATTACTTTAACAATCTCAGAGTAATGTACCTTTGAAGAGAATTATACAGAATGAGTGGATTTCATCATCTACATTACATAATATCGTGAAAAGACCAGAACTAATACAGGATTATCATAATATTCGAGCCCTAGAGCAGCTCTGCATTAAAACCAGACAGGCTCTGTAGTTGAAGTCACTGCATGAGCTCAAAGTGAACTCCACAAGCCACTGTCTGTGAGCACGTTTGTTGCTGCATTCATAAGCGCAGGTTAAAACTGAACTATGGAAAGAGAGGGTCATATAAAAATTTGATCTGGGAAAGCTGACAACTTTTCTAAGCCTCAGTCAGTTCAAGATCGGCTTAAGTGAAGTGGAAACTGCCCTGTGGTCTGTGGAATTGACATTCTTTTTGGCATAATCGTGACACTGGTGTCTTTTCTGGGCTCCATCCAGGATGGACCAACGCAAAGTGGAAAACTTTCCTGTGGTCTAAAGAATCAAACTATAACATTCCTTTTGGAAATCATGGCCCATTCAGGATAGACCAAGAGAAAGTGTAAAAGAGTCCTGTGGTCGGACGGATCACTATCACTGAAAAGATTTTCATGGTGCTGATAAAAATTGTTTATTTCAAACTGACACCTACTTTTTTTATATAGAATATTATAAGGTCAACAGTCTACAGGTTTAAGCTGCATTTTTATTTATTACAGTAAAGAGGATGTGTTGTAATTTGGCAGGCAAAATTTCCTACAAGTGACTGTGTTTGTGGGCTGCAGCTCAGTTCATTGTAATCTATCACATTAAAACCCCATTAGGTTTATTTTCAGTGCAGACAAGCAACAATCAGTCTTTGCGTCAATCTTTGGTGAAAGCCTGCATTAAAGTGGAATACCTTTCACCATGACAAACAAACTAAATGAAAGACAGAAACTACAGAAACCATGGTAACTACTCCAAACAAACACCAAGGGAACCCTCTTTAATACCTTTACAAAGCAAGTCTTTGCAACCCTGTGGTGGTTTCCCTCTTTGTTTGGTCATATGGGAGCAAAGCAATCAGAACAAGATGTTGCAGAGCTGGCGGTTTCTCTTTCCAACCCTCTCTGGTGGAGTTCATTTGGACTGAGACCTGTCCATGACAATATCCACCTAGATACTCAGTAAATGAACCAAAAGTGGCTGCAGGCATTCAGCAGACCAGAACAGTTATTTCCAGACCAAGAGAGAAAACTGCTGAATCCAGAGGCCTTTTTCAATTACGTACATCTCACAGAAATCCCCGCTGTCACCCTCTTTCTTAAATCTAAGACAAATGTTTTCATTACCAGTGTTTCCTCTATCACTTTTTACTGCTTTCTCTTCTTCCCCTGACAGCCTGAAACATACTGTATCTCCTCTTTTCTGTGCCTTGCCCTCCTTTTTCCTGCTCACTTTTCTCTTTTCATCTTGATGCAGCAGAGTAGATGTGACAAATACATAAACAAACTCAACGCCACTTCATTAGTCGCATCTTTTCAACTGATGGGCTGTAGAGAGAACAGGAGGAAAATGAAAATCACTGGCCGTGAAGACTGAAAAATAAGGTGTATGTGTAGAAAGAGGGGGATTGGGGAGTGAAGGGCTGTGAAGGTTAGTTAGTTACTACTCAAACAAAAAAGACCACATGAACAACCTCTGCTCAATGTGTTCACAATATTCAAAGCCTTTTTTTTCCCGTTTTTCAGAAAGCTTTAAGCTCATAAGCTGTGTCCTGTCAGAGCCCATAGAGTCCAGTTTCCCATGAATGGAAATCATAATTACGTAACTGACAAATCATGATCGCCACAGCCTCTCTCTCCTCAGGCTCATTCTGTCCTTTGGCTTTTCAGACACACACAGATTCACACACCTGCCTCCTCCTGCTCCTCTCCCTGCTCTCCTCTCTCCACTTGAGGCTGCCTGATACCACCTTTATACCACTGTTGTACAACATGTTGAAGATACAGTAGTCCACCATGAATCTTAGCGGGAGTAGCAACTTCATCATGCTCCCAAACTTTGTGTCACATCGATCTGAGCTGCTTATGATGGAGTTAAGTGGAGCCGTCCTCATCAAAACTGAAATCCAATTTAATGCCAATAATACAATAAAGCCTTTTCTCTTTATTGAGATTTATCTGCATTTATATGCCGAATCTGTTTGTAGAATTCAGCCGTATCAAACTTTCAGCTGAAAATGTAAGCTGAACTTTAGACATGAGGATGCTGGAAGGGGAACTATTGATCTATATTTGTTACTCATTTTTCTTGAAGGCTCAAATTTTGGCAGAAAAAAAGCATCTGGTTTTCCAACGGCTAACACTCATCACTGGGTCTTGTTCTGAGGTCCAGGGTCATGTCTCTGATGAGTACATCAGCCAATACAATATCCTCATAAGTGGCTAAAACAAGTCTGCACTGTGTGTGTTTACGATTTGCTGTTTAAGCTTGCATGCGGCACCTCAGTTTCCTGCTGTCTGCCCGACTGTGTCCACGTTAACGCTAATACTCCTCACTCAATTAGACGCCTCACTGGCAGCTACGCTCACTGGCACACACACGTACTGGCACACACCCCTATGCATAGCTAGATGAATATTTTTCTCAATGAATCATGCCCAATTTATATAATGATGCATCCAGGAACAGAAATAAAGACACACACAGACTGAGAGTGTGTTTTTTCAATTAACTGTGCCACTGACTGCTCTCGGTAGTCTGGATGGTTTCATTTGTTTATGTTTGTGTTGTGGGTATCCAGGAAGTCTGCACTGGTGCCACACCACCACATACACACGCACGCACGCACGCACGCACGCACGCACGCACGCACGCACGCACGCACGCACGCACGCACGCACACACACACACACACACTAGATCTCACTTTCTCCTACTGATGGCATTTGTGTCAGCTACAGACCTCAACCTAAGCCTTCTCACTTTCCCCTTTGACCCCCCCAAACCCCCCCCACACACACACACACACACACACACACACACACACACACACACACACACACACACACACAGTTCCTTCAGGGTCAGACAGACAGTGTTAAAGCTGTGAAAAGCAAACAGTACAAACTTTGAGTTTCAACATCATTTAACAAAGAAAACCCTTAAAACAGCAGAAAGCAATCCTGTGGTAGCATTAGCAGCAGCTCTGGACGTGGAAACTGTCCCCCAAAAACACAGGTGTTCACACTTTCTCTCCTCTACCAACCCCTCCCATTGTTGTTGATAAAGACCTTATGAGAAGTCCCACCCTTTCTTCATTCTGAACTGGTCAGAGGCTTCGACACCAACCATCACCAACCACCTACCCACAAAGCCATTATTCTGCCATTGTGTTACCATGTTACCAACCCTGATCTATCTATCTATCTATCTATCTATCTATCTATCTATCTATCTATCTATCTATCTATGTTAGTTTAATCAGAGTTACAGATTCTAAGGATTCAGAGTATGTGAATCAATCATGACATTAAAAACAGTCAGAGTTATTGATTGTCAGACAGAATCGGCCTTTCAAACAGAGTTAAAACACTTTCTCCAATTCTCTTCTCCATTTTCACACACTTTCCTTTTTTCTCAGCTCAGATAACCACGATCATTGTGACCCAGAGGGACGTCCATTTTTCAGCGTTGCCATGACAAACCAACAGAGGAGGAGGTGTTTAGTTTGACTGCTGGAGTCACCTTGATAAATGACCCTCTTATTACCGCCTGTCTCCCAGGGAATACTGTACACACACTCCGTCTCTCTCGAAAACTCGCGCTGACTCTCTCTCCCCCAGTGGCGAGCCGTCCAGCTGACACACTCTCACACACACACACTCAGATCACTTTACATGCTAATTGGGTGACAAGCCCTTTAACAAATAGCTGTTTAATGAATTCTCCCTCTCTTCTATCCTCTGTCTGAGTCTGCAGGACGGCTCGCTGCTGACAGGAGGAAACAATCCTGGGGTCAAAAGGTAGCGCTGGCTATGTTTACACAAGCACAGTTACCCGTCATTGGCATTCCTGTGGTTACACAGAGACACATTTTACAGATAGAAAATGTCATCCCAATTAGAGAGGGGAGTTGTTAAAATTTTACTCATACTATAACCAATGCTATCGATCCAACTCTGTCTATTTCTGTATAGATAAATAAATGATTGTGGCACACCGCCATGCTTTGAGAATTATTTTCTTTTTTATTTTTAGATGTTTCAAATGTAAATTGTATGGCATCAATGGAGCCATATAAACACAAAGTCTATATTTGCACACATTTGCGGGCCATAATAAGAGTGTATAATTGTACTCATGAAATGTGACACTGCTCTGCAAATAACTTAATTTTTTTTAAAACCAACACTGGAGTCTCAACTTCCTGTCTGGCTCTTCTGTGGCTGCTCAAGAGCGGGAGGGAAGAGGCAACAGAGCGGAGTAAAGGGCGAGAAAGGTACCTAAGCAGGGATAAGTTTAAAAAATAATTAGCTCAAGCCTATGAAAATGACCCTGATGTTAACGTCAATGATAATAATAATGTAACCCCCAACAGTTTCAAAAAACCCTGGAGGAAACCCTGTGGCCTATACAAGTATTTTTGTGTCGGTAACACATACTTTATAACATTGATCTTCTCTGTGAGACAGAAAAGCCAATCAAAGTCTTGGACACAGTTTATTGCCAGAAAGCTGCCTGTCTCACGGCATGAGTAGATACACCACTGTGTATTGCTAATGTGTGGTCTTTGCTGGAGGTGGTGGAACTAGAGAAGCTAGCGGTCGGCAAAATTCATCTCTTGAGGGGGGTCTAACTTGGTGCTAAGGTGTGTTTGACCATGACTTAAACTTACGCCGGAATATAAGTGTCAAGTAGTGCCGCATGTAGCAGGCAGAGGACCCTGCTCTGATGTGAGCACCAGAAAGACTAAACAACATAAATTCACAATTGTTTATCATATTCACACTTGTATATATTCACACTCGTAAGGGACATCTGTCAGACATGGTCAAACTCTTTTTAGCTCATACCAATTTCAACACCAGTGCTGATACTGATACAGATGATAGAAATTTTTTTAGCTTTGATAACTTTGCAGTAAAAGTCTGATATCCTGCAGTATTTTTTCACTTTCCTCACCCTGTCAGCTGTTATTACTTTGTAGAGCCTGACACCCTCCAGCATAGAATCAGTTACCGTCTCAGGGATATTAGAGACAAACGAGCAAGTGGGTCTGCAGGCTCACAGTTTTTTCCGGGCCATTTCTCTTTGACTGGGGGGGGCGAGACCTCGTCCTCAACCATAAAGCTATCTGGCTCGGAGGGGAAAAAGCATCCTCCATGCTACAGTAAACCAGAGAGCAAGGGGGATAATGTATCTGTGCTGACAATCATCAATTATTCACACACAGCCACTCTAGAACCTGAAATAAACACACACACACACTTAGAGTATATAAACCAATACATGTTCACCACGCACCGAGGGTCTCATACAGCACAAACAGAACATACAGTACATTCAGAACAAACAGGGCACACAAAGACTGAACACACAAAGTGTTTCCTTCTCCATATAAGATAAAGTCTACGCTGAAATGTTCAATCCAAATTAAAAAGATCAATACTCTGTCCATGTGTTTGATCTTCATCTTCTGATGGTCTATATCTAAAATGATATGTCGCACTCTAAACCAAGTATCAACAGAGAGTTGAGTTCATTTTTTTGAGCTTTTAGGCTTATTTATGGTCGCCATTGTTTTAGACACAAAAAGGGGCCTTGAAGAGAGTACGAGGATTTGGGGGTCCTCCTCAGGTGAGGCTGCAGTTGAAAGGCAAAAAAAATAACAACGTAAAAAGAAACTCTCTCTTAGTCATGTTTGTGCTACCAGGTAATGTAAACCCAATGACACCCTAAAAAAAGTTAACTGTGCAATATTCTATTGAACTGTACAATACTATGTGCAATAGCCTACAGTGCAACACTGCAAACTGGGTTTGTATGCACTCCCTACTCTATGCTTGTACATAGCTCATTTCTCTGCACTTTATAACCAGCTTTATCTAATCTTTTGCAATTCTTACCAACCATTGCAATTTCTGATTTAATTCCCATTTCTATTCTCCCTCAATTAATATTTGTATTTTTTAAGAGCAAGTGTAAAGGTGTAATGACTGAATTTAAACAAAGTATTCTGATTCAGATTAAAAACAGGATTTCTAAGGTGAGGGTGCAAAAAACCCAAAAGCCCCTCAACAAATTTCTGTACAATCTTTTGGGCTGGAGAGCATGATAAAGTGCTGCCAGCATGAACACTGTCCAGCTCTTTCTTTGTGTGACAAAAAGTCGAAGATACTGTGTTAACAGGCAAAGAGATGCCTTATAAATGAAGGTTAACCACTGTGTTAGCCAACCAAATATCCAGATAGATCTCCAAAGTCCAGTATGGGTAAGAAAAGGCTGCAGCAACAAGACACTTTTTTACAAAAAAAAAAAAAAAAGTTTGGAAAATAGTCTCAGTTTTTCCACTAAGTGCAGCACATGATGTTTCAAATTTAGCCAGTTATCAACTAGAATACCAGATTCTTGTAAGTGCTTATAACCCCCATCTCCTTTCTGAGGAGACCACAGGTACATTTGGTGACCCGGCCTTTGAGCTGGTGAACAACATGAGGTTCAAATGAAGGTTTAAATTTTCTGAACCACATCAAACACATTTTGCAAGTATTTAACAGCCTGTACAAGACTGTTTGTAACCCTGTCACCAGCAGAAAAGAGTAACATAGCATCTGATTCATTTTGCTCCTGATTGTTCACATTCATAGTAAACTAATGGGGAACTAATACAGAGCCCTGTGGCACACCTTTATGAACGGTTATAATGTCAGAGTATAGACCATCATGACTGATGCACTGAGACCAATCACTATGAAAATGTGAGAACAAGCATCTTCAGAGAGTCTCATACTCATAAAGCTTACAGTTACCTGTGCTGATAGCTTTGGACAAAAAAAGGAAGAGAGCTGCACAGGTGCACCAGTTTCATCGGTGTATCAAAAGTCAGAAGATATTTACTACAAAGACATTCATGTAATACCCTAAACATTCATGTAGTCAGGTTAATCAGCAGGTACAGCCCCACAAAACAAGATCATAATGTCACTTTTCTCAACTTTGTAGAGTTCTTTTGGTGAAGCTGAACCCAGATACAGCGAAGAATTAAGTAGAAGATGTAAGTAGGTGAAGAGGAGTTTGAAGAAGAAAGAAAGAAAACCTGCAGGAGAGAGCAGTGAGGCAACACACTGTCACTCTGAATCCTGAGAGACAAGTGGACAGTTAAAGTGTGTGTGATAAGAAGTTAAGCAGACGACTGCAAAGAGAGCAGGAGAGAGGGAACACTGCAACAAACCTGGAATTACACACAAACATGTGCAGAGAAACACACACATACACGCACACAGATACTTGAGGATGAAGTAACTGCTCAGCGGGTGAGTCATAAATAATCAAAAGGAGCACCACAGAGCAGTTTTCACTCAGACTCACATATCCCATGCTTTCTTTCAAGTTTGACACACATCTGGACAAACAGAGATTGATGCATGTTTGACATACTTGTGAGGACCTAATTCTTTTTAAAGCTCTGTACTCCTTTAAGTGTGGAGCTTCACTATGCCGTCACTCTGAAGGATTCCCCTCATCTATGCATCTCTCAATCCTCACAAGTAAAGGAGAATCTGAACACACACGTGGTCAATCTATGGTTACTCACAGCCTCTCGGTCCCTCTGGGGATGTTTTTGGGCACAGTGTGGATCCCCAGACCGTGACAGTCCACTGTGTTCCCCAGGCAGCTGCAGGGAGCGGGGCATGCCTCCACAAATCCCGGTCCTGCCACCAGCACCAGGACGACCCATGCCAGCAGCATTCTGCAGCCTCCTGACCCGGTTCCATCCCTGCTTCTCGCAGCAGGCATCCTGCTTTGCTGCTGCACTGCAGAAACCAGATAAAAGATCCTATCAGCTTCCTTCCTCTTGTGATGAGCGACCATCAACAGTCGCAATACAACCTCTTCAAAAAGTGGAGGAATTGCTTCAAGTGCGAAAAGTAAAAAGATTTAAAGGCAGAGACAGACGGAGGCAAAAACAGGTGAAGTATACTTCACTCTGATCTGCTGCCACTTGATCCCAAAGTAGTCTTTTAGTAAGAGAAAGAGAGAAGTAAAAAGACAAGTATATCCTCTCTTTCTTCTTCTTGTCCCTGGCTTTAGTGCTTCCTCCAACTGGCTCCTCTTCTTCTACTCTCCTGTGTGTGAGTGTGTGTGTGTCTCCCTCTCTCTCTCTCTCTCTCCTGCAGCCGTACAGTGTGTTTGCCTCTCCCCTCCACTTTTCATTGAGTCATTGTGCGCTGAACAGTGAGCCACTAGAAAAAAAAAAGAAAGGGGGGACTCCCTCACTCCCTCTATCTCTCTCTCTCACACACACACACAGCAATCATCCATCAAAAGCCTTTACAAATAACAGCACAGAGACTCCTCCCACACCCCACACCCCCCTCCACCCATACACATACATGTACACACACTCATCCACGCACCAACACAAACACCGAAGCAGCAGCAGCACCCAGAGTGAACTCACATCTATTCAGTGACAGCAGAAGTGGGAGCCACCACCTCAAGTGACGGCAGCCTTTTCCTCCCTCTCTTTCCCCCTCTCCCTCTTTCTATCCATCTCTCTCGCCCACATGCGCTCTCCTCTCTTCCCTGGGGGGGCTGCATGGACACGATGAGAAAGAAATAAAAGAGAGAAAAGGGAGGGAGGGAGGGAGAAGGGAGAGGAAATCGTGATCTCGCTGAAGCATCCGACCGGGGAGCTCTGGTGAGAAAAGTGAGGCCAGAGGAGGAGGGAAGATTTGTGGAGAAATGTGGAATAAAAGAAGCATTGAGGGAGTTCTGCTGTGTGTGAAAAATGATAATATTATTTTGCTGAGGATCAGTGCCAAGGCAGCACACCGGGGCTGCAGGAACTTGGTTTGGTTAAGACGGGGGAGGAAGGATGGGATGGGGGGGGGGGGGGTTCTTATGAGGCTGGCATAAGTGGAATGCCATAAGCTGCCAGAGAGCTCACTCAGAAGTCTATTATGAATTCACTGGCAAAGCTTTAAAATTCAAATGGAGCCTGGCTGAGTTTTTTAATCCCCAGAGAAATGCTGGTTTCGGCTTTTGTGACTGCCATATCACCAGGGGAGAGAGGGGAGAGAAGAAGTGTGAATCATCAAGGAAAAAGCCACCGAAACCAGCCAACAGAACAGTTTCATGGTGTCAAAAATGCAAAAGAGCTGCAACAACATTTTAGTTGGATAGATACGCTAAAAAGTGAAATAGTCATGAATTTATCACGTGTACAAGTAATTTACTCAAAAAGCTTTTAACCTTTAATTAAAAAAAAAACGACTTCCTCCTCTTTGAAGCAAACCTCTCCTTTGCAAATACTGTGAATGTTTTGTTCATATTCTGTTGATATAATTTCTATATTTGAATCATTTTGGTCCTTGACAGATGTAGCACTGCTTTAAAAAAAATCTTTATACACGTTTCTTGATTTTTGCTTTGAAATATTTCTGTTTCTTATTCCTGTTTTTGTCCTGTGATCAGGTGTGTGCTCCAGATGTTTGCAGACTGGTGAGAAATGAAAGGGCATCGACTTTATTTAATGCAGACTGAGAAACGTATTCTTAGGACACAGATTGGAAAAATGCGAAACATAAAATCAGGAAAAAATACCAATTCGGCACTTTATCACATTTCATTCATCAAACAAGCAACTACACTTTGACTGCTTTTTGTGCACCAACAGAACCACCAGGGGGCGTTCTGTTTCATACAATACTGCATATCCACTGGAAAGAGCCACCCACTGGCACTCAGTTTACATTTACACGCTCAGGGGGCAAGCAAGGGCACTTTGTTTAATACTGTATATACCTGTACACACACGCAACCTTTATGCTCTCAAAGGGCATCCAGAGGATACTTGGTTTACATTTTTGTAGACTGGAAGGGTAGCCAGAGTCATTTTTGAAATGTTAATCCTCTTTGGGATTTGGATGGCTAGTTTGACAAAAGACACAACCTGAAGACGCCTTTTAGGAATTATGACCGCCTATTTTTGAGCAAATTCTTGGCATTTTGCAGACTTAAGGATAAATCCCTTAAACATAAAAGTAACTGAGAATTAAGGAGACGTTAAATCATCATAAATTTTAGCCCCAGAGGATTTAGTTGATCTGATTTAGGGATAAAGGCTTCTTTGGAGGAGGAAATGGCAGTTTCAACTGTTTCTATGAAATTAGGTATCTGTAGGATGTCTCTGCTTTATAGTTATATGAGGTTTTTCTGGTTCAATTAAGCCTGCGCTGCAGTGTAAAGACCAGCAGCTGGAGGGCACAGTTTACCCAGCTTTTTATTTACCACCATACATGAGTGATTATTGCTCCTAGCCTCACTTTGTCTCCTCCCTGCAGACTCGGTATGACAGGTTAATTTAACCAGCCACTCCACACAATTGATGGAAAACAAATTGGCCACAGGCAGCGCCCATCTGCAGCTGAACTGAATGACTCATTTGGACGATAATCTTGACAAGGGGAGGGACAAGATGTTGACATCTCAGGGGGGTAAGACCCCTTATTCCTGGAGGCCATAAAAGCTGTCTGAGGCTGGGGTGGGCATGAGATGCGTCTGAATTGATTTCTGGGAAAACAGAGCAGATGCTTTTGTCTGGAACATGTCAATTCACAAAACCACTAGGTTAAAAGAAAAGGATCTGCAAATTAAATCATCAAGGAGGGAAACTTGTGAAGGCCGAAATAAGAGAAGACTACAAATAAAGCTGATGAAAATAATTCTTGATGTAATTATCGAACCAGCGCTGCACGAGACTTCTGCCAACAGTCCAGTAAGAGATTTAGGACAAGGTCTGAGAAATAATAAAAGGAGGATACTATTTTTATTTTGCGCTTTGAGGGGAAGTCCATGTTACAAGGATAAAGTCAAAATCGTAGAAAAAAGTAAAGACCAAAAACCCTTTCAGGAAATGGCTTTGTGGGTGTTTGATGTGCTGTAACATCAGGAATTTTACTGTGTTTTCATATTTTGATATTACATATTATTGTAAACTAAGAAAATATGTTCATGCTGATAAAACCCTTTAAACTGAACTAATACGGCATCTCTAAATAAAGCCTTAAATATCACCTTGAGCTCTAGAAACAATTTAACTGCAGGTGAAAATACTGAAGCCCAGGCCTAATTAAAGCACCTGTCAGATTTCCCTTTAAAGCATGCGAATACAGTGAAGTATAAGTAAGGTTAAGGCTAAAAATCCACTTTAATGTTCTGTTTTCTAGGATTTTATACTGTATATATATTACAATCTTGAAAAGTATATTAGTTTTAGCTGACACATTTGCAGGTCTCAAAAGCTAACCTCTCCTAAAAAGACTTGTCCAGTTCTCCACAGGGCTTAAGGGTGAAAGTCTATGAGAAAAACGAGAAGCTTAAAGCTACCTGTCAAAGTGAAGATGGCTCCTCTCTGAAGCATAAGAGTCCCTCTGTCAGCACTCGTGCATCTTTCACAGATGGCTGAACCTGGTCTCTAATTAACCTACAGGGAAGGAAAGAGAAATCATTCAACAGATGTCCATATAATATGATTTTACAATCTGTTTTATCACATTCAAATAGTAAAGATAAAGAAAAAAGGTTAAAAAAAAATAACTGAACCCCTTTAGAACAGAATTATATTCGATTCCTAATTCCTCTCCCATTAACATTGAATAAATAAATGTGTGTCTTATTTTTTTTTTTACATCAAATTGCTCCCAAGTGTATGAAATGTTGTATTTTCTAGATTTATACAACATTCACCATGTGGCTTTATTTTTCCACCTCACAATTATACCACAGCACCCTCTAGTGGGCTGGAGAAGCAACACACTGACGTGAGACTGATCCAACAGTGTGATAACAGTTTTTCTCAGTCGCTTTGATGCATTTCTCTGATCAGAATTAAAACTCTCAGAACAGTTAGTTCAACCTCTACAACATTTATTTTTTTTGCACATCATAGTAGCAGTTCCTTATTCCTTCCAACAAATTGCAAATGCTTTCGGACATGCATCAATTGCTTTCATACAATTCTCTGCTGTTTTATAACATTATTTGCTTATTTCATGTCAGTCAGATGAATTATACTTTTGAATGATGATGAATGGTCATTTCCTATTAAACTATCAGTCCTTATTTCATTGCTTGAGACATTACATACAAAAATGTTGAACTAGTTGTCAAAAACTCCTGAATGATTGATTTCTCTCAGGTGAACCTCAGCTTTCACTGACAAGGAGGGCTGTGTGAAGCATTAGTTGCTACCTCTGATAAGCCATTTCTCAACAGTCACTCAGGGCTGAATCCCATGAACCTTCACTTGGCTTGCATATATGAACTGAGCAGGACATAGTGTGTACCATTTCTACAATACCGTGACACAGAAAGGGAAAGTCAGCATGGTGGAGGAGGAGTGAGGATGCAAGGAGGAAGGGGAGTTACAGTTAAGGTTTGCCATATTTACAGTATAATAATGTCATGTAGCGTTTACAAGTGGGAAGCACTATGTTGTACTATGTAATATGTAGCAAAATCCGGCAGACTCTTCCTATAAAAACATATTTGACAACCTGTTTTTTAAATTGTCCAGTTGTGTTTTACATTTTCTACCACCTTTATGGCCCGCCATAGTTTTTTAATCAACCAGCAATGAATGAAAAACTTAAGACAGGCTAATGCAGAGAGAGTTTATTACATACTTGCATGCTAATACAGCAAAATTGCTCAGGGCCTCTATTTGAATTTTTAACTGTGACTTATCACCCTCTGGGCTGATTCTTATGCCATATTACTCTGAAGCTGAATCATACAAAAGACTTTGTGCCACCAACAGCAAACCATAACCTATCCTGTGTACTGGTTCTCTCTGCAGTTTCTCATTAAAAAAGCAGTTTGTTCTCTTTTGAGTGCTACATTTCCTCTTCCTCTTTGATCCAGCTATAAAACATTGAAACTACAAACAGACAGACAGTTGTAAGGTAGAAAATGAAGAAGACTTTGTTGATTGCTTTGGCCATTCTGGTCCAGTAACCGATCGGTCCGTCTTCCTTCCTGCTGCTTCCTGTCATCACCTCTTTTTCAGAGTCATGTGACTCCCCAGTCAGCTGGCCGCTGCTAACCTGCAACAGGTGTTAAATAGGCTGTGAATAAATAACTTGTTTATTAAGTGGCTGTCTAGTCACCATTTTCCTGTTTTTCTGACAGATGCTGATTCCACCTCTGAAAGGGATTTGCAGTCAATTAAAGTGTCCCCATTTTTAGGTTTAGAAACATGGTCACCTCAGCTAACACTGATATTATTGCTCACTATGTTAAATCACCCGTCTGCACCAACTGTATAACTGTGTGACTTTGACAGCATTTACCAAACAAAGCTTTAATATCTCATTCGACTATGGTCACTTCTGTCTTCATATACACTACAAAGAATGCTGTTTTGTTTTAGACATTTCATAGCGCCACCTAGGCACAGTAACACGAAATATGGTGCTGATTTTTGTGCCTATGAACAAATCTCAGCTGCATCCCATCAATAAAGAAGGGATTCCAGGCCATTAACTGGAAAACGTGTGGCCAGGTGGCGCTACAATATACAGACACAAGTTTGGTGTCAAATTGTCCAATGCCAGACTCTTATCAAACGACTAAAATCTGGTGGAGCTGGAACCAGCGTACGGCAAGTACTACAAGAAACTCCCCCAGTGTGATAATCTGTAGGGTGCGCTTGTGGGTCATTTTTTGCCTGTCTAGGGTTTTTTTTTTAAGTTAATGATAACAATAATTAATTCCTACAATTAGCTCTTGCCCACTGCTTGCAGCGTTGCCTCGGGCCCTAATAACAATAATGGTAGAGGACTATTTTTGGACCCACTATTATCATAGGTTCCACTTTATACAGACCTGTCTTGCCAATGGAAGCAGCTGTGATGGTGTTTCACCAGCAGATCCACTACAGCAAAGAAGTCTTTGTACACCTAAAACAATTAATGAGACAGATTAGTGCACCTTAAAAAACTAAGACATACATGTTTTACGACCCTTTGTGGGTCACTGACAACTACATCTTGAGAACCAAATTACTGATCAGATGACTGATTAAAACCATAATACTTAGTACTCATTAAAATATTTGTTGTGGTTAATCTCATCTCTGAAACTGTTACAACCGCACACTTTGCCTTGTTTTTCTCCACATCTCTCACTCTGGTTTTGGTCTTTGTCTGCCCCACTTTCTTTGGACACAGAATCTTTCTCCATCAGATGCATCACCAAAATTGTCTCCAAGAGGCTCAGCATCATGAGACCAAAGATACCAATACAGAAGACCACTACAGTGACAAGAGAGCAGGGTTAATGCACTGTTTATGAAAAACTTTCCAAAATAGACCACTTGTCCTGCTTTTTTTATTTTATTTATTTTTTTACCTATGACTGGAATCTTGTCTGAGGAGGAGGGCAGGATTTCATTCAAAATGAGCTGCATCACTGTGACAGCGAGCAGCACTGTGACCTTAAAGCTGAGCTTCTCTCCCCCGCTCTCTGAGATCATGAAGGAGGCCAAATCCAGACACAGGAACAACATGACAGGAAGTATAAAGTTGACAATGTAGAGCACAGGTCGTCTCTTCATGGTGATCTGTAAGATAAGGTTCAGGATTCAGTTGGTTGAACTATGTATTTGAAGAATGACTGGACTAAAGTAGATATTAACAGCCTTTGTTTAAATCCAGACAGCATGCTGTCCACACTATCCCGGCCATAGAACAATCATATGTAAGCTCTGAATGGTCTCTAATGACCCTAATGATGATCATTTACCAGCATAAAAAAACAACAACAATCTCATGATTTTTAACGTAATTAAAGTAATGACTAATATGATTGTGCGCTTGTTCAATACACTGTGGGTCATTTTAAAAACACATAGTTTTCGTTGCTATTTTGACAATTATTTCCATAAATCCAGTACAAGCAGTGGAGTCCTCCCGGTATCTTACTGTGGTGAGATTTTTCTTTGAATTTCATCCTGATCAACTAGCAGATAGGAGCTAATGCTGATAGGTGCTGTGTATGAGCAGTGTGTTTTCACATGCACATATTAGCTGCACTCTGGCTGCCAGTATGGGAGTCACTTTTTTATTTTACTGTCTTTATGAGACAGAAGTTGAAGTTTGGTCAAATTTTCTTTGGTTCTCCAAAAATCACCTGTGAAATATTTCATGAAGCTTTTGTTTCTCAAACTTGAAAGTCTGACAGTGCTCAAACCCTGCTGTTTCCTTTGTGCTGCTTTGCAGGGGTGGGTCCAGACTCTTGACTGGGGTGAGACAGTAGGGAAATGACAAAAATAGGGGTGGCCATGTTATAGGTGCTCAGACCGATTATTAGCATTTACCGACCAATATTTATGACTGACTTTTGAAACTATTAATTATATGTCATATTCCTGTGTATAACTTTATTACGACTTTAGTATCATAAGTAAATGTGTATTAGGCAATTTAGTGAACTTAAAGTTTATCTTTTTGGGTCTAGTAGATAAGAAGAAGATAAAATAATCCTTTGTTATGATCACAATGTGTAAATCTGCATTGTTACAGTGGTACTGGCAGGGACACATTAAAATTTTTTCTTGTCACATTACACAATTAATCAACAGAGTAATCAATATAGTTGATCAATGCAGCCCTACTCAATATTAGATACTTACGGTGTACACAACCAGGCTCCTAGAGATGCCATATTTGTGAATAGCACCCTTGATGGATGTAATGCTAATTAAGAGCCAATCAGACTGGGTGCCTGTCATCTCTTTCGACCAATTTGTCGTCCACTTTGAGTTATTGAACAAAACAAGCTGTATTTCATAATCTGAGGGGGGAAAAAACATAACAGTTTAAGGTTTGATTGATAGTCAAAGAAACATGTTTTTGTTGATTGTTAGTTGTTACAGGACAAATGTTTAAACTCAAACCTCCATGAGAAGTCGTGTAAGAAATGGTTAACTTGAAAACAGAGATCAAAGGCTTATCAAAGGTTTTACTCACCCATTTCCTACCAATACTGCATTCAACCATATTTTTATCCTATTCAACCAGTCACAACAAACATATCTTTTAAAAGATATCCATGTATCTACAGTCATGGAAAACATTATTAGACCACCCTTGTTTTCTTCAATTTCTTGTTTATGTTAATGCCTGATACCACTTAAGGTTTATTACCTGAAGAATACGATGAACATAGCTAAAAATGCAGCTGATTCCATAATATTTCATGTCCTATTTGACAGGTTTAAGATTATTTGTATTCCCAGTCCCTCCAGGATTTCACAGGCTCTTTTGTGGTTGTTGCGGCCTAAAATGCCTGTTTTTGCGGCAGCTTTTTTTAAAAATTACGGTGAAAGTTGCGATCTTTTTTTTTTTATTCAAAATCACAGGATCAAGGGCAGTTGCAAATATCTGAAACACAGACAGACACACAGAGAAACCGGCACACATGGCAGCCAAACTTGGGTTGCATTCTATCTTACAATTTAGAGAAAACATAAATATAAGCATCAAGTTGAATTACTATTTTCATTTGCGAGCTTGTTTTTTTTTTCACACACACTCATGCTCACACGCGCGCGCACACACACACACACACATACACTAGATGATATACAAATAAAAGCATTCATCTACACGTTTTTTATTCTTCTCTCATTTAGCTTTAAAGAGTATATTAGCGCATACCTTGACCCTACTATAGCCACTGCTATAGTTCTGGATGCAACAGCCGCTGTTACTGTGCCTTGCCTCGTCTGTCCTCTTTCAGCTGTTCTCCTTCGTGTTTTGCGGTTAAAAACTGTCTGTCGAGCGACGACTTACGCATGTGTTGTACCACAATATTGCAGGCAGCGCCGAGGAGTTTACCACCGCTTACATGTAACACATCTGGAGATAGACTTGCACGAACTTTGGCGGTGATATTCGTTGGTAAATTTGGCGTCGCACGTCTTCATCTTCTCAACGTAAACAAGGAAGTGAATATGATGACATACATGTCACGAAGAGGCGTGGTGAAGGAGGGCTTAGTTTATTGGTCAAATTTGCGGGAAATCCGCGGTGATTGGACGAAAATTCAGCGCCTTAACGGAATTAACGGTGATTGGTTGAATTTGTGTTAATAGTTGCGATTGCAACATCGCGAATTCCTGAAGGGACTGATAAGAGGCCATTTCATGTCATTATCACTACTGCACATGCAAAGACCTAGAGTTGTTTACCGCTTACATTCAAGCCATAGCACAACTTAAGAAGTTGTCAGTTCTGATATAATGTCTAAAACAAAAGAATTGCGTTAAGCCATGAAGGCAGCCATCTTGGCGATGCTGGAAGTTGGCATGAGTGAGAGACAGATAGCCCAAAAACTGGAGATTATTCAAGACAGTTGTTCCTTAAATCAAGAAAAAGCAAGCCAAACATGGTACTACCAAATTGCTAGCTGGTCAAGGCAGGAAACATCTTTGTCGCCCATGAGAGGGCCGTGCACTCATCCATCCCTGTGTCAGGAACCGGCATCAGACTTCCAAGGACCTTAAAAATGAGTGGGCGCTGTCAAGAAATGTGACTTGTTCAGCAAGGACAGTTTGAAATCGACTCCCTGATTGGTTATCCAATAAAGTACTAACTCCTGTGTGTATCATGTGACCAACAGACAGGAGAGAAAACATGGAATGCCTAAAAGCTTTGTTTTAGGCAGAACAATGCGATAGCTATTTATGAAAGAACTCAAGTGATTTTGGTTATTAGGCTACCAAGAAAACCATGGAAAATGGCTCGATATCAGCTCTTAAAATAAACTTTTATGAGCTATTTTTATCAATATATTTGTCCAAACAAATGCACTTTTAGTTGTACCACACATTAAAATGAACAAAAATTGAAGAAAACAGGGGTGACCTAATAATTTTTTCCATGACTCTATGTCTTGATACCATCTCTGTGTATCCCTTGCTTAATGCACAAAATGTTCACCCAATAGTTACAATTAATAAATACTGTTTATTAACATGACTCAACTCATCATTACCTTTGTGTATGACAGACTTAAAGGTGAGGTTGCAGCTCTGAGTGTCAAATGGGAATTTGTAAACTTGCAGCTTGCAGGTGGTGATCAGTACCATGTCGATCTTGAGTAAGGCCCGTCCATTGTAAAAAATCCTGAGGTAAGGACTCTGGGTGACCTTATTCTTCTCTGTCCTGGATAAGAACACACATACATTGAGGTTTTCTACACATTTGCTGTAACTTGTGGAAAGGAGATCTATTCACTCCTGGCATCAGTTAAGCAGCTTGATACAACATCTCTGCAGTAACACTCACAACTGTGAATATTCCTTCTCTTGTCACACCACACTATGTGGTCTAGCTATGTGGTTCTAGTACCCTCTGGTGGACATGCTTGGAACACTCTCAATCCTACACACAACATTTGCATATTTTATCTCAAGTGAAATACAACCCAGCTTCATAAAATACTCTCAGAGTAAGTAATGGGGTACAACACACTCTGCTACACCACCAAACACACAGTGTTTGGGTACAATTTTTGTATTTCTCAATGAACAATGAGCAAATGTCTGCCATTAAACCCAAAAATAAGCATCCATGGTCCTCTCAAGGATGCTGTGACTCCACAATTCTTCAGATTACACCGTCAATATATTTAATTGTTGGTAACTATTAGCCAATAAACACATTTTTTTCTGGGGTGGTTCAAACTTAAAGTTATTTTTAATAAGATTTGGTAACTGTATTTTTTATTGCTATTAAAAGAGGGTTATTTTGGATGTAAGGCTGTTCTGAGTTTCTGTGGCGGGGATTTCACACACAAGCCACCAAATGTTTGTTAACAGAAACTCCCGTTTCTCCAGAAAATCTGCAGTTACTCTTTTCAAAGTAGGCATAAACAATCAGACTTACATCTCTATAATGGCTATATCTGGTTTCCACAGCAGTTGCGTAGGCAAAGAAATATGTGTTATGTTGCAGAAATCCTCTTGCTTCCACTGGATGTACTCATCTTTCCAGTACTTCAACAAAAAATAAGAGAGGAAAATGACATTAAAACAAATAAAGTTTGTTTGAGAAGAAAAAATCAGTTCAATCTAATCTGATTTCACTTTGAAGAGTGCTCACCAGATCAATCCAGACATAAGACATAAACTTCTGCTCCTTTTCTTTCTGTCAGTAAAAAAAATTATCGGCAAATATCACTCCAAATTTGATGACTGAACCATCAGAAACAAGTTCAAAAGTCATTGACATTACATTTTAAATTCTGTTTTAACAAACACATCAGTTTGACATACTTTCAAGTAATCCTATAACATTTAATTGACAAATTGCAGTTATTATGATGGCTGGGAGGTGCAACACAAAATGACAAATTCTGAAAGACTTCAAAGTTTAGAACAAATTTACACTTTGGAAAACATTTCTGCATTTTAAAACAAAAGCTGCAGTTTGGTGATAATTGAATAGCAAATCTGTGAGACTAGTCCAGAAAACAGGACTTCAAGACACATGTATGATTATAATATTACATCAGTTTGAGTCACTTCAGGATCTTTTCTTTGTAGCATGTTTTTCACACACCCGTAATGTAGTCAGACTTTGGTGCAGTGGTATTTTGAGGGGGCTTGTATGTGGTTGACTGATGTTGGAAACTCATTCAAATCTTGCTGTTCAGCAGCCCCCAAGTTTATCACAATATGTTTGTCATTATCCATCATGCATCCAAGGGAAAGTCCAAGCAAACTTCAACATAGATCATTCACAAAACTTTGTAATAATTTTATCAAACTCACACCTGTTGGATGCAGGTTTTCTTTAATGATCTCCAAGCCTCACCCCCTCACCTCCCTCTCAGAGCCAGAAAGTATAATCACTGCATTGTTTGCATTGTTGTCTACATGTGCCTGTAACAATCACAGAAGCGAGGCTTTTCCCCTCACAGGTTTGATAAGCTATTCCTATAAAATGTGCAACTCTATAGCCTCACAAATCTATTACCTTATTTTCACAAATTTGTGACTTTAATTAAAATGATTTTTTTAAATCTTCTTAACAACATAAAGGTCCACTCACCCATTCCAAGGTTACTTGCAGGTGTTTACAGACTTGTAAAATTGTTGGTTAAAGTGTTCCACATTTTGTGAAAAAAAAATTCCAAAATGTAAATATGTTTCTGCCTTTTGGTAATGTTTTTTTACCCTTTGCAATTTTGTTTCACAGTACATAACTTTTTGTTTTGTTTGTTTATAAAATCATTTTACTAAATGTGAACTTGTTTTAAACTTTGCTAGAGTGTTTCTTACTTTTTAATTTTGTACTGAACTTCCCAGCTACCATAGTCCACTGATTGATAAGTGACAACACAAATAATATATGGTGAAAGTCAGGAGAGATAAGGCCATATTTTAATCTAAACATGGTTGACAGCCCACTTGCAAACACATTAGCATTCAGCTGTGTTCGACATAAAGCCTTAATTTAGGTTGTTTACATTGTCATCTCGTCTTTTACTTTTAGGCACACCGAAATAATTATTTTATATCAATTGCTCACCACATCCAGGATGGCATAGAGCAGCATGTCCAGCTCTACTTCTGTGGGTTCTGAGTGGTTCTTCACAGGCCGAGTCATGGCTAACAGGTCTGTTTTTTGAGTCAAGTTCAGGAAATGCAGTAGATCCCGATAGCTTCTGTCACATGGAGAGACTCCATCTGCAAGAGGAACATCAAAAGTACGAAGATTCGGAACCTAACTCAAACTATTGTCTCGAGTTTTGTTTATGATCCATCCTGGCTAGTGTTTGCAAGCTTTAAACATTTCATTCTTTCACTCAATTTGCAGTAAAATGTAATTTTTTTGGCGATCCATGACCTTGAAACACTAACACAAACTTTCATTTTTTCTTGTTTAAATGACTGTAACTCCCTCGGTCTTTGTTTTTTATTTGTTTTTAGTTTTCCTAACTCACTATTTTAGTAAAGAGGTTGAGACCTGAAATAGTCATACATCTGCCTACAGGTAACTCTAGCAAAAGAGAGCTGACACACTGATTGGTTTGATTCATTCTTTTCCCTCATGTACCTTTACGTGAATAATCGAGGTACCTAATCCAACTTCTTTGCACCCCATGCCTCAACCAGAGCTCAGACTTGTATGGTCTAATTCACTTTGAACCACGTATTTTGGAGCATGTGTGCTTAAGATTGTTGAAGCAAGGCCAATCTTTATCTCTCATCTCTGAGAGGTTTGGTATATCAGGCAACACATTAAGTTGGTTCTTTACTTTCACATTTTTAACCCAAAAGAAACTTAAAAGTAAAAGATAAAGTTGAAATTATGTATGAATTACCCACCCTGAAGAAGTTTGACTCTTTACCTACACAGTTAAATAAGTTTTTTTGAGTAGTCTAGTTTATAGGAAAGTTCAATGGCATGTTAAAAAAAAAAGTTAAAGCTTCAAATCTCCTGAATTAACAAGCAGCAGGAATAACCCTGAAGTATGAATTTACGTGACACAGAAATGCATTTGCTTACCTGTGAGGAGGAGAGTGATAAAAAAAGCTGCAAGCATCACAACTGTAAAAGTTCTGCACAGTCAGTAAGCGTTCCTGTTATGATGGAGAGTAAAAATATTTCTCCTGGTCCTTTTATATCAACGTGTTGCTCTAAGTGAAATCTCATCAGTCTAATGACAGAAACACACTTCATGTAGAGTGTTCAGGAAATCTTATCTGCCTCAACAGTTAATGGTCTGTGGGAAAATCAATTTTGCTGTCAAACCAGAGGCAGTTTACTCCTCAGCTCCATTGTGGCTGTTTAGTTTCAGAGAAAACATTAAGCACTTTAATGTAAGAGCTTTCTCGAGAACAAAGTCTCTTACCATTTCTAGCCCTCTTTTCTGCCACACATTATGTCCCTAATAATTAGCACTCAGGATCCTCTGATGCTGCCAGTAATGTTGCCCAAGCAGAAACAAATAAAAATTAAAAAGGATGTTGCTTGGTGTTTTGTTGTTTTGCTTGTTTTTTTTTTTTCCATTGCTTAAAATAGCTCTGAAAGATGATACCCATCCGCCTGAATAGCTAAAATAATGATAACAGTCAGGAACAGACCCGTTAACGCACACACACATATGGTTATAAATTTATCCTAACCTTTGACCTAAAGAGATATTTCAGTACCTCTAAGGCAAGGTTAATGAGTTAAATGTTATTTTATCAGAATAAGACAAATTACATTTGAAAGTGTTTCTTTTTGTTTGTATGTTTAAAAATGCCCTGTGTCAACAAGCAAAGCAGCTAGCACAACTCGGACTAGATAATATTCACATTTGACACAGTGATTTACTGATTTAAAATGTAATTTTCAGAGGGTTTGATCCAGTCAGCAATCGATTATCTTACAGCTTCACATGCTGCATGTTCTGAATAACCTTGTCTAATGATAACTCTGATGGTTGCATATTCCTAGACCTGATGTAATTTCTGCTGATTCATGATGCTTCTCTTTTGCATTGCTACAATGTTTTCAGGGATAGGGTTGTGTGCATGTTGTAGGACACACTTTAAAGCATAATTTAAAATATATTTTTGAAAAAATGGCATGTTTAAGATTTTACAAGATGAAGAGGGTGATTTAAACTCTCCTCCATTGCACTTTTTTTATATGTATGCTGGCCATTAGGGTGGTGGGACTAGAAAATGTACCTCTTTATCTGTGTAAATATATATTTTCATTTCTGTCCTGATTGTGCGAAATACGGTGTGTTGGATTTATTTTGTAAGGTACTTTGTGGGAAAAACTGTTTTTTTTCATGCTCCTGAAAAAGAAACGAATTTTAGAGATACATGTTTTTTCACCTCACCGATTAAGTAATTTACAGTTTATTTTCAACATTTTGTCTCATGAACTGGCATCTTGTAAGTCTAGGCAATATCCATCCATCCATCACACACACTGTTTGGGAGACAGTGGCTTAGAATAGTGGTTCTCCACCTTTTTGAAGTGGTTCTCTAACGTTTTCTTTTTTTTGCTGCAGACACCCCTTTTCAGATTTCTGGATCAAATTACTCACGATAGCAGACTACCACCTGTTGCTTCAAAAACTAGAAAACACAAAGTAGAAATTTCCCGTATAATAATATATCAACATATAAGATGTTTTTAACAAACCAAACAGCTTGGAAAGCATGTGCAACTTAAGTTATGTCAAAACTTAAGAGCATTTCTGCCTCTCTCACTGATGTAAAATTGCTGGGTCAACTTTGTAACACGTATTTGGTCTCACTCAGCCAGTCTGTTAGCCAAGTTAGACAGCTAACAAACACAAGCACATCCACAAAGACTGTCGCTTAAACAAAAATAGGCTGTCATACTAGAAATTAAAATCTTGATTGTGGTCTCAGCCTTGACAACTCGCGAAAAGCGACTCAAAGTTAACCCTTGCTCGTGCAAATAGCCGTGAAACAACTGCGCTGCATGATTACCTTCAGTCTTTTTTTCTCAAAGAAAAGCTGCAATTTCTACATATCTAAGCATCCTGACTCATAGCCACGTTTTTTAAGGTTTTAATAAACAAATTCGTTTGTAAATCCGTCAATATTTCAGCGAGTTAACAGTATCTTTCATTATGCAGATAGCTCACCTTCTGAGCGTACCAAAATGGTGTTCTGTGGTAAGATGGACGCCGGTGACGCCGCCTCGAGCCATCTAGCCTTTCTTATAAATATCTGCGCTCGTGCTCCTCTCAATAGAAGGCTCGGATAGCAACAAGCTTGCAGAAACGTCACTGTCGAGCAGCCAATCCCGTAGCAGATACTTACGTTTATCAACGTAACAACTGGCGCGAAAACAGCAGAACAATTGGTGACAGTTTTTGATTGTCACAAAGACGGCGAAGACGACGACAACTAAGGTAAGGGAAGCAATTATAGAGAAATACTAAGAGCTCTCTTACTTTGTGTCATAAATTACGTTTTTATATCGTTTAAAATTAGTTTACAGGTATTATTTGGTAATTATGTTAGCGAGTGCAAGTTTGTATTTCTATTCTCAGCGAATAACCTAAGCAGAGACCTAAGAGTTCATGCAGTCACAAGATCGGACTTCTCATTTCATGTTTTTTTAATTATTTTTTTTTACATTTTAGATTAATACTGAACATATCAAAACCATTAATAAAGTTAACCATTAATAAATATATATATATATATTAATATACACATACATACGTGTATGTATATGTGTGTATAGAAAGGGAGATAAGGATGGACAAAGGAAGATGGGAGGAGGGGTCACTGAACATGTTCAACCTTTTTGTTCCAGAATGGTACTAAGAAGCTGCTGGAATCCAGGCCAGAATCTTCCTGTTGCAGGCTACTGCCCCTCTACTCCTCAGACTCACCAAAAGTTGTGTCCTGGGATTATAACGACTCAACTGCAAGCCCAACCTCTATTAAAAACAACAAAATGGCTACCGTTATTATGGAAGATGAGAATGGCCATGGATTTTCCTTTTTTATCCACTGTTATCTTGTGTTCTTTGTCTCTTTAATCTCAACATAAAGAACATTTTCTCATGATAATGGAAATGGTGTTTTAGCTGACCTCAAAAGGATATTTTTGAAATGCCACAGCCAATGTTGTCAACAGCAAGATGGGGTTTTAATGAAAATGCTGACAGCACGCTCCACTCTGCACATTACACTTTCAGCGATTTGTGCATGGGAGCTAAATGTTACCACGTTAAAAGTGTAATGTGCATGCGCAAAATGGACCCTGCCGTCAGCGTTTTCATTGAAAACCCTGGCTTGCTGTTGACAATGGTGGCTGCGGCGTTTCAGCAATATCCCAGTCAACGCCATTTCTCTTATGAGAAAATGATCTTTAAAAAGATAAAAAGTAATTATCACGAGATAACAGTGCATGAAATAAAGAAAAACCCACAGCCGTTTTAATCTTTCGTACATTAGCAATGGTGACTCACGTACCAAAGTGCTTTTTTTGAGGCCATGGCAGAGCAAGTAATGGTAGGGGAGTCATGTTTCATGTGGGGCCACACCCTTTTTGGAAAGTTCCTTCCCTAAGAAAATAAGTGTGGTCTGTGGAACTCAGTTTTTCAGGGGCAGCAAGCTCAAAAGAACTGAAGAAGGCCCTGCTGCGCCCAACCTCGCCACTGATAAATGAGTGCTGGGGGCAGCAGGACCTGATAACAATAGAGGGAGTGGTTGTAGACATCAGTATGAGCTTCTATGATACAGCCATGTAGCTGGGCAGTAACCAAGGTGGAGGCCATGAAGGAGTCTGTGCATCTAGAAAGGATCATATTGCAGCTGCAAAAATTGCTGATATCCTTGAGTTTAAGTAAGAAAAACTCATAAAAGTCACTGAAATAACTTGAAAATGACAAAAGGCCCCTCACTAGATCATCCAATTTCTGATTTACAGTGAATTCATACCTGCATTGATTAGACTAAATCAGCTTGATTTCTGATACATTATTTATTTTGGCACCATGCATCTGCTCAGCCCCTCTGATTTAAATGAGACAAGAGTCAGTGGTATTTTTTAGTATCACATGAATTGTGACTAGAGACAATAAGGTGTTCCTTTACGTTTCATAGGACAAGCCTGCTCATACTGTCTTGTTGTGGAGGGAGGCAGCACTGGAGCCCCTCACCATTGGGGAACAGTCAAAGTTGAAAGGACTGAGTATGGGCTGCAGGTGTCCACAACAAACATTACTAAAGTTGATGTAATTTGTTGTTGTCATTGTTTTCATGTAAACACACTTTTTGAAAGACACAACTCTCTTTTGTCTCTTTACAATTGGTAGTTTACAGAAACAATAAAGGTTTAAAACAATTTAACAATTTAATTAATCAACAATTGATGTAAAGATATACACTCTGACAAAATTGTTGGCACCCTTATGTGAAGAAAGTCTGTAAAAGTGGATTTTTAAATGTAACCCCCAGAACTCTGTACTAAGCCTGGTTTCATATGTCCATCAATAGAAAACCTCAATCTGAGGAACACAGCAACACTTTTTCAAGCCCAGCAAGGACAAGTGCTGCTCTGAGCTTCTCTGTGAAAAATCAAGCTATTCAGTGTGTTTATTGAATAAGTTTGATGTTAATAAATACCACAAAAGAAGTTATATTTTCTGCTGTCTTTATTTTATACCTGTGTATGTTGTAACACATGCAATTTGAAGATGCAGTCTAACACAGATTTTACATCAGGTCTTTAAGAAGCTTCTAAACCATCGAACAAACCATTCTAACCTGATACAATAACATGCACTATGGCTTTAAAGGGACAGTAACACTAAAACTGGCGTCTTGCTAAAGTAACTGGTAAAATACAGTCAACATGTCTAGCTGTATAGATTCATAAGCACATTCATAAGGTCTAGAGATGTTAACCAGCATGCTTAGATAGCTTTGATGACGTCTGTGCGTTGAATGGAGCGCAGGAACCTGGGGAACGAGTCTTTGGCCATCAAATGAAAGATTCTCTGTTGAGCGGTGTTGAATGTGTCGGCACACAGGGAGTCCATCACACACAGCAGAGCCTCCCGGGTCTCAGCATCCAGGTTTACCTGAGGAAAAAAATGGACAATAGGAGCTTAAAATCTTGACTGCATCTATCACCAAATCTAATTTAATGTTTGTTTGTGTTGGTTCTCCACTGACCTCCTGAGGGGAGTCAGGGTTGATGAACTGGCTGTAGATGTTGCCGCCCTTGGTCTTCTGCAGGTGTGAAGGAGAAACCCTGTAGTCCTCACAGGCTAACCAGAACTCCAGGTTCTCCTCACTGAACTCTGAGCGGAGGAAACCACGAAACACCTGCAGACCAACTTTGAGAAAGAATAATTCAAGAGGTGGAGAGATGAGACGAACCAGAAAGAGCTAATATGAAAAAGTCCTGTGTGTTTTTGGGGCTGGATGATACTCCACCTATTCAGAAGTCTAACTTGAAGGCACACCAGTGTAGTTTTAAAGACAGAATTGTCTCACTATAAATAAACAAAAAAAATCAAAGAAGAATAATAAATATGTACACCAAACAACTGTACATGTCCATAAATAAATGTAGACATATGTATGTCAACAACCAGTTTGAGAAGGAAGAGAATAAAGCAAAGAGCTTATCCGGTTTTGCCCCATCCTTACGAACCAGAGCCAATTATGAATGAGAATAATAATTCATTACCAGCTGTCATTATTCATGGAAACAACATAAATACATGGATAACAGCTCCATTTTACAAACTATAGTCAATGGTCAGAAAAATAATCTCTTCAAGCACAAGCACCATTCTTCATATAAACCTTCAAGTGTACCAGTAAGCACTTAGTAAGTAAGCACTTACATAAAAAATAACGATACATTACTTAAATATACATCTACATATTATTCATACAGTATATACAGTAAACATAGGTATTTAATTTTGCATAAATGAGGTTCTATTCAGGTGTCCAGGTAAGCAGTGACAGTGTGTGAAAGTAAACCAGTATGAGGATTTGTCAACAAATTAATGAAATTGGCTCGATTTAGATATTTAAGTGAGCACCTCCAGGGGTGTCTCTGCTGTCACCTGTTCAAATGTATTTAAGAGCTGTGTTGGTAAGATAATAAATTGACCTTTTAACCAAAAGAAAAGAGAAGGGAAAGCTTTCTTCTTCTTACTTTTGTTATTAAGTAGAGTTTCCAGGTCCTGTGGAGCTTTTCCATCATGAATCCTGTGAACAGAGACAGAAAAAGAGCACTTTCAGCTTCTCTCTGATAAATGGCAGACTGTTGGATTGATTTCTTTTGTTTGATATTGTTTCAGCAGGTTTACCTTAGTTTGTGGTGTGTGTCAGCCAGGTGGCTTAACTTTACCCTCATGCCCTTTGCCCTGATGAAGACATACAGAATCACTTGAAGAAAAACTCTTGGACTAAACTTTTCAAACAACATTATCTGTAAAGAAAGCAAAACGATTCAGTCAGAAACTTACTTCTCCAGGCATGAGGAAGGCAGGGAGGAGAGTCCCTTACACATCGATGACTTATCTTCAAGAAAACCTGCAAAGAGGAAAAAGTGATTCAACTACTGTATATCAGATCTGTTTTCTCAGTCAGTCTACCTCAGTCTAAACTACCAGCAGTGTGCTGCCCTTATATAGTCTACCTGTTTACTGTCTGAGTCCTCTTTCTATTCTCCCAGACCAGCAGGTGTGAAAACAGCAGCTGGTAAGAGGTGGTGTGCGTGTGAAAAGCCATGTAGGCCTTTCAACAGGTAACTTAAAGCCAGTCTAGAATATAATAGGAAATTAACGAGAGGGAAGTTCCAGTGTGTTCATGTGTGCATACGGTTAAGGGTCACTGATAGTCCCAATAGCGAGTCATGGACACAACCTTGAACGGTCTTTACAGTGTTTATCACAAGAGAATACTGTGATGAGGGCAGGTGGGCTGAAGAGATCCATCATCTCTGAGGAGTTGTAAAGCTGCAGGGTAGAATGATTGAATGATTTTTTTTAATAGCAAAGATTTCTTATGATTACACTCTTTTTCTTCTGTATTTATCCCTCCTTTTTCTGATTCATTGTTTTTTTTGTCAGTTGCTAAAATATCCTGCATATCCTGCTACAGAAGGAAAAAACAACAGCCAGAGAAAATAACAAACTTTGCTCAACATTTTGCCAGTGTTTATTGTGTGATGTATCAAATCTCTGCAATGGGCATCTATATGATGCCTCAAATCTTACTTTCCATCCATTTTCAATAGCGAGTAGAGCAGGCCATAGGTAGAGAAAATGAGGAATGACATGTAGTAAAAAGCCACGGGTTCAAATCAAACCTTTGACGATTTACTTTTCCTTTTTGTTGTCTGTCTGCTGTTTTTTAATACTGAATAACTCCTACCTTCATGATTTCTTTTACCAATCTCCATCTCCCATAACTCACCTTCTGACCGGTTACACTTCCCTCGGCCATCTTCTGTCCATTCACAGTCCAGCTATCCCACCTGCCAGTCTTCTGAGCAGTCTCAATCAAGTTCCCCCTGTCCTCTGGTCTGCTTTAGGGTCCAGTTGGAAATTTGAAACTGTAGCATCAAAAGACTTTTAACTCTTATTGAATTTCCCTTCAATGAAGTTCTCCATCTTCTTCTTCTTCATTTATATTCCTTCATTAAGTACCCTGTTGAAAAAGGTTTTTAACCATTTCTTACCCCTGGAGACTGTTCAGTTCTTCACCTTTTTAAAAAAATTCTATCTTCACCACAAAGACTACCCTCATAGAACTTTTGAGCACTTCAGGCTGTTTTTAAAATAGTCAGCAAACTTTTATTGAGAGAGAAAGACAGAAAGAAAACATACAACACATAAGGGAAAATCAATCTTTTATTCATGACAAAAACTGTTGACCTTGAAATAAAGTCTCAGTTTAAATGAGCACAAGAAGAAAAAAGCAATCATCTTTAACACGTTTAGTCTATCATGTACATATGAGTAACAAACCCCCCAAAACTGGAACCCTGGAATCAAGTTTTTACACATAACAGGAAGTAAGATTTACTAATGTTACACAATGAAAGTAGCAACCATTATTATTAAGATTATTAAAGAAATAGCAGATATCATATCTCAGCTTCAGAAGGATATAAGTCAAGTCAATCAAGCGCTCCACTAAAAACAACAAAACAAAGAAAATCAAGGGTAAACTAATCACCTCATTGTGAATGTGTTGGTCTAATATAATCATCTCTCTGCTGATTGAGTCTCAACGTTTGTCACCAAACACCTCGATGCACCCGTGATGTGACCATGTGTGTTGTGCATCTGAGTCAATGTGATTGGTACACTGATTAACATCTGACACACTGATGTTATTGGTTCACTTCTGCAGACACTGGTTTGACCCTGCCATAAATAGGAGTTGTAATAGCATTGTTTTTCTATGGGGAAAACTATACTAATGTAGCATTCTGGGTTTAAACCTGGCCAAGGACTGTTGTGTCTTGTCACCCCTTTTCCTTATGGCCATATGGTGGTCCAAACTGCATATACTGCTTCACAACAACAGAGACAGACTGAGGGGAAAGAACAGAGTCTATATGACGTCTCTTCTTGTCAGTCAAAACTGCAGCAATGTTGGGCTGAGTGGTTCACTTATATTCACTTCATTTGATGCACATGAGAAGCTTCGGTAAACTGCAGTGAGGTACACTGCTTATATTCGACTACCAGTCTCTTTTGACCCAAACCTCTCAGAAAAAGTAACCCCTTAAACAGGTTTGTTTGAGTTAAACACAAAGTGCTTCTGGTTACTTTTCCCATGCCATTCAGAATCCCTGAAAAGGCTTAGTACGTAAAATCCTTCAAATAACAGGTTGACCTACTTCATCCTGTTGCATTTGGAAAGTGCATCATGTCAACTGAGCTGCCCAAAGAATGCACAAACGGTTCACTGACTTGCTGTGACCCAGCAAACACTTCAAAGCTCCAAAGACAATTTATAAGAAAGCAGTGCATCTGTATTGAGAGCACACTGAATGCACAGTGCATACTTTCCAGTTACCATATACTTGGCAAGAATTATACGGTGTGCAGTTGTAAATTCAACAGCTGCTTTGCTCTCTAAACGTCAGAGACTTAAACTAACTCTACCGGTCCGCAGTCTGAAAGAGTTCCCATGCAAGATTTAGAAGCATGTATTTTCCCCATTCTAAATCGAACACAAACTAATATTCAGCTGAGAGGAGTTTCCAAGTTTACCACCAGAAAGTAATCATATCATGACACATACTGATGTCAACAGATATGGAAAAAAGGTAAAATCCGTAAGCCCCAACTGTGCAGCTACCCTTAACCACAATGAGTCAAGTGTCACATCCCAAATTCCAAAAACACTCAAATGATTAAAAGATGGATATTCTTAGTAAGTGATTCACTTCTTTCTTCAGTCACACTCACAACCCTTTACAGGTTGGAAGAACACAGTCAGTGACTGATGAAGTGCCATGCAATTTTCATGAATCACCAAAAGTCATCAAACAGCCATTACTGCGCTGTGAACATTCGTGCATTTAAAACTATCTCAATAAGAGAATAGTTTTTGAATTTCACCAAAGCTTTTGATGATACTTCATTTTAACAACACAGGGCATAAGGAGAAACCTGTGGAGTTTTCAGCTGCCCTTATAGTCCGGACTAATTTCCACTTTTAGAAAAAACTTAGCGCACAAAACATGAGCCTTCACTTCATTAAGAGTCATCCAGTATGAGCGCTAATCTCGAGGTGAGCAATTAAAGAAGTGATCTCAAATCTAACATAACTTAGCAAGAAGATGCTGCATGTAGCCAATGCTGACCGACTGCATTGGCAAAAAAAATATATTAAAATGAATGCTTCAAAAATGTGTTTGCTAGGGGCTGATAACCACAATGTTTAAATGGAAATAAATGTAAACTAGTCAAAAGGCAGAAACACTAGAAAATAAAGCCCAATTTAGTTTAAATGGCTTAAAAATGGACAATACAATCTGAAGGTCAAAAACTGGTTTGCTGATTGAGTATAGCAATAGCAAAGCTAGCACTACCACTATTATATGAAGTAATGCAGACCACATTTGTTTGTCACAAGTAGTTTGGCTGCAGTCCAAACACGTAAAAAACAAGCTCTTCTGCTGTTCCTTTGCTTCTGATTTGCTGTCACATAACCAAAATGTAGATGCTGTATGTAGCTTCTAGCATCGTTATTGATACCAGCTTGGTCTATTGCCTGTATCATGCTGTTAACTTTTAACTTGTATTCTTGAGTGGTGAAAATAATCCACACTCCACCTTATACCTTTGTGCATACATGGTTTCTTTGCAGTAAATCCAAACAGTACTAATTGTCACTGTGCACACAGTAAAAGCTTTCCACTACAAAAAAGGTAAACATTGCCCAGTGGACTGTACAACTGGTCAGCCCCTGATATGCAAATGAACCTTTTTTTTTTTTAAATCATTGAGCTTTGCAAATATATCACGTGCAATGGGTAAGTTAACAGAAACCAGCAAGGGTAGGCTGGATTTCGTAAACACCCAACTACACCGCTTCACTTATTGTGCAGCGAGCGTATCAAAGCGAGTATTAGAGGAGAGGAGCGCACCCTCTTATTATCAAACCAAACCAAAGTGACGTGCCAGTTTTCCTTAATTCTCATGAAATGACATGCATGTGTTTGCTTTTTAATGAAGGGAAGCAGAAATCTAGACAGATTTGTAAGCCATCATTTATTCTGACTGGAATAAATGACTGGTCGTGTAATCAAACCCACAAAAGGTAAATACCCTCTGTTATGGTCATGATTGTTGTTTTTTGATTATAGCTGACTGTTGCATCACTTTAGTATTTCTAAAATAAACACCCTACCTTTAAATATTGGTTATTTCGGATGCGCAAAACTAGCCTCCAAAATGCAACCAGCAAACAAATTTTACTATCAGCACTGACAGAAAAAGAGCTGCCTGTGCATATTGCAGGCCTCCATGTGCTTTCTTTGTGCATATGCTCCTTATACGAGCTTGCACAAAGTGACAGAGGAGCCACTTGAGAAAATCCAGAAGGCTGGATAAACGGCTTCAGCGAAGGGGAACACAAAGGAGTGGAAGGGGTAAGCCCTTTCCGCAATATTGTAGAATGTAGCGACCCCATCCTCACAATCTAACAGCACACCTATACGCTTTGAGTTGGGATTCTCCAGCACAGTCTCACTGCTGTTGTGCCACGCTGACAGCTTGACATTAAACCACTCCACACACCAGGACTGGGCATTACGGCCGAGTCGGCTGGTGGGGCCTTTCCGTTCGATGCTCTTATAAGCCAAGCCAATGCCAATGAAGTTGTTGCTACTCATTTTGACCTCCCAGTAGTGACGCCCTCTAGAGAAACCTTTTGAGGCGAGGACCTGGGAGCAGACGGTGAAGCGCTCAGGACAGTCGGGGTAGTTTGAGGGTTCATCAGACACAGTGGCCACAGTGAGTCCCTCTTTCAGCGTAACACGTTTGTGGGCCGTCTTTGGGTCCAAAGTGAGAACGGTGCCATCTGTCAGGAAAAGAAAATAATGAATTATTCCATAATCATTCGAGCTATCAAACCTTCTAGACTCAAACACTTACATTTCAGAAGTTCACTCCTCTTTTCAGCAGATGTGATGTTGGGGGAAACATCCACAGATTCTTCTGCAGAGGAAAAACATAATCATCAGGTTCAGGAATAGTGAACAGAAGCTTTAACAATGGTTAATTTATGACAGATTTTTGGAAGTGCTGCTGCATGTGTCAACAAATAATTATGGAGTGGCTCTTGCCTTACAAACACCTGATTCAGTTTTTTAATAAGTGAGACGTATGGTGGCCCTAAAGGTCAACTGCACAAACATGAGGAAAATTACTTTTTGCGTAACATTAAAGATATTTCATCTAACACAAAAATTTCATGAGAGCAATCTGTCACATGGCATCAGAGGAAATGAAGTCCCTTTGAAAGATATAAGGCATCTGGCGTCCAAATCATCTGAATTATACTTAACAAATTTAATAAAAGAAATAAAATGAACTTATTGATCACATCAAGCAACCACAAACTCATTACCTGCTTTTTACATGGTAAGTTATGTTATTTATTAAAGTCCCAACAACAAAAGACACTGTAAGCCTGCAGTGGCATCAAATGGTGGAGTGCTCATAGGGCCTGATAGACTAAGATCCCAAATAATGAGCGTAAAATTGCGTGTTCAAACTAAAAAATTGCATGTGCTATTAGTGGGCATGTTGTGGCTGATATACTATGATTGTGTGCGCAATTGATAACAGGTGCATAAGTGGTGTGAATAGCCTTCTTTAAATAAGGATTTTGCGTGCGCTACAGGCTGTCACCATTGAGTTTGGGAGAATAGAGTGGCCATTCATGAAAAATGAAGTTTAAAGCCTCGGAGTTGCACCTGTCGTTTTGCGGACGCCAGCAACTGCATAAAAAGCCGTGTTTTGAGTAATATACTGTGTCCCCGGTGTGTGGGAACTGGATATACCTGCCCATCCTACGTGAAATCGCATTCAACACTTGGGAAAGCACAGCAGAAAAACTACACTGGGAGACGCATTAACTGCGATGGTGCGCTGTATGATGTGGTTTTGCAAAGAGTTTTCCCATAGGAGATATGGCATGGATCATTTTTGTGACTGGTTCCAAATCAGCCTTTAGGTCACCCAGCAACTCAAAAATGGCATTACTATTAGCTACTACTACTCTACTATTTTTATTTCTGACAGTCTAAATATGTTGACACTTGCACAGAAGACTGTCTCTCTCTCTCTGTCATCAATCATTGTGCCTATGCCTCCCTCTCGCCACAATGACCGTAGCCATAAGGGCCTAACGCTGAGCCAGTTTGAAGCTGCCGTCCAAACGTTCGAAATATAGACGCAAAAATGGCGACCGCAATCAGTTTAAAGTTTGATAAATCACATTGCATAATTTAAAGCTAATAATAATGGTGTCTACCTGATTTTTGTTTGGCTTCAGCTGCAGGTGTACTGTCTTTCATATCCAGCAGGTTTTCCATCGATCCGGCGCGCTTTTTGTTTTCCATTTTGCCTTCAGTAGACTGGGAACCTTTTTTTGTATTTTCTGGAAACAAAAAAAAAAAAACACGGTAAAAAGAGCGAGCAGGAATGGAGTGTATGACCTGTTAAAGGTGAAGAGATATCACACAAGTCATCAGTCATCATTTATACTCAAGAAGTTCACTGATACAAATTTAAAACCAAGACTTTTAAAGACCAAGACCAAGTGCCCATTACCACCTAGTGTAGTATTGTCATAAATGGGGTTAATTGTATAAACTGGAATTAACGGCAGAGTTTAATAGTAGAGATTGTTCAAATTTCAGAACAGTGTAAAAGTCTGTACCAACAATGCATGACAAACCCTATCACTGTCTGTCTTTAGAGTCAAATAAATGTGATAAGACTCACTTAGTTTAATAATAAATGCCACCAGAGGCATCAGAGAGAGGGGAAAAGTAGAACTGACTGCTTGGGGCTCTGGTGAGGGGACCCAGGCGCCCTTGATGAGCCAGAAATATACATACTGTTTCCCTTTTTTGTTTGCTTTTTCCCTTCGTCTACGCTGTTTCTGTTGTAGTAAAACTGAAACTGCTTCATTAAATAAACAGATACTCAAAGTTTATTTCTGGAGGTAATGTAAAGTCTCTGTCAGAGGCCCCTCTTACCCCTTCCAAATGATAATGGTTTAGCCCATCCCTGCCCTCCACCTGCCAGTTGACAGGATCGCTCTGACGGCCTTCTGTAGACTTTATTGAATGATGCTGCGGGGGGCACCATGTCTCCCCCAAAGAAAGCTAACAAGAGTTTAAAAGTGAGGATAAGGAATACAGGAGAAAGACAGATGACAGTAAAGAAAGGTGAGCAAAACTCACAGTGTAAGAACAGTCTTAGCTAACACCACCTACTTTGATTCATAACAGTCAGCCATAAGCTCTAACCATATTCAGGCAAAGTTTCATTCGCAAATGACTCAGCATCATAGGAACAATCTTACTGACCCAATATTAATAGATATTACCTTGTGGTAAAAGATAATGAACTTTGAGGCAATAATAAGTATTTAATAATTAGCACATTGAATTTCCCTTCGTGGATCAATAAAGTTCCTCATATCCAAGTTGGCTAGCAGAACACATTTGATTTTTTTATTGGATTTATTTTCCGACTTAAATGTGTTCATGACTTTCTTCTGACTTTAAAGCTGAGCCTGATAATGCTTTTAAACACAGTCTATTTAATGTTTAGTGAACTTATTCCTAATTTTACAGTGAGGCTGTTTGTTTCATGCTGAATGAGGGTTCAGCCCTTGGAACAGATGGGAAAGGAACAAAGTGTGTTGAAGGATGGAGGAATGAGGAAAACAGGAAAATGAAGGTCCCTCTGAGAAATAGGGAGAACAGAAGAAAGTGAAGAAAGTGGGAGTTGTCCATTTATGTTTCTGTCAGGAGACCTGGGTCTATGATCACCTAAGCACACCAGTCATCAGAGTCATCTGTAGTTGTCTGTATTGCACATTACGATACCAACACAGGATTTATAATCAGGTTTAACTTCTGTTACATTTGTCCATTTTGACTCTTGAGCAATCCAACCTTTGGCTTGGTGAACCTTTCACCTGATTCCTTCACCAAGTTACTGTTGGTGCACCAAAGGTTGATGGGAAGTGTCTGACCAAACACAGGTGTGTTGAGGGCAGCCAACAGAAATAAATATCAGCAGCTAGTTATGTAATAAAACTCTGAGTGGGAGAGACAGAGGTGCTCTTTTCTATCTTTGTATTTCTTCGATTTGTGCCACACTTTCAATGCTGCTTAAAATTTTCATGGTGTATTAACCTAGAGTCCCTTTTAACTGAGGTTGTTCAGATTTGGGGATTTGAAGCATTTAAATAAACTCTTAAAACTATATTTAAAGTCAAAATTCCTGAAATTATCCTTATGGGCCCTTTCAGTTGCAGAGTTCTGATGGTAAAGCTGAGATATCGCCAAGACATACTGTATCAATTAATTTCAGATAATTGTGCTCTATGATGTTGGTTTTTCTGTTAACAAATGAGCGCTTTCTTACTCTGAGCTTTCTTCTTTGGTCCTGCTTTGGTTTGAGATCCAGGGCTCAGGGGTCTGGGGGGTCTGATCCCTGGAGGCCACTGCAGCTCTGAAATGAGATTACCCACATTAGCCAAGATTTAAAAATCTCCTTGTATGTTATTTCACATTTTACTCTGCTGTAGTGTTTGATGGATAGACATGCCAGATTCTGGATAAACTCCAAGTCTCCGATATGGAAAGCCCAGTTCAATGGCTGGCATTTCACCTGAGGACATGTCAACAGGTGGTGTCATTGACTCTTTCTCTGAATAAACATAAACTTAAGTAGCTCATGCAAAAAAAAGAAAAAAAAAATCAAAGTTTAATTTTAATTTATGGGGAAGAGCAGGATCATTATTTGATTTGATTTTAATTCACTAACTTCTTACTTCCAAATATCTCACTGTTGTTGTCTGGCAACCTGTACTTTTTAAATCCCTTATTACTGAAGTCTTAGTTGTGTCTGTGCAATCAACTTTGAGGTCAAAGCCCAGCATGCTGGCCAAGCATGCACAGAACACTTCAGCCAGCCTGAGTCAGGTTTTAGCGTTCACATGGACCAGAAATTCAATTCCCAACCATATTATCGAGATATGTTTGTCCAACTCCAAGAAACCTGATTTAGTGTGATTCCAGTCCCAATAACACAAATAAATATCACTTTGAAGTCCAGATCCAGTCTTACATTGAATAGATTTTTTAACAACATGCAAAATACTCAAAAAGACTAAAATTCAATTCTTCTGTCGATGTCATACCCTTGTCAACCAGGAAGTTCTTCATTATACTTAACATGTAACTCCCTTGACTTATCACAAGGACTTGAGTTGTCTTTTTATTTCTCACTGCATCAACCTTTGAGACTGTGGGTGTGTTCTGACTCTCATCTGGCTCAGTATATTTATAAATTCATGACTTTGTATCATCACTGCACTAACTTTTTCCTGTCCTTACACAAAAGGAGAAACATTTCAAGAGCCTGTTGACCTACCATGGGACCTGTAATGCGGTAAATAATACTGTGGAGGTTGAAAACCAGCAGCTGGTTGGAGGTGGGGCTGGATAGGTGGGCGCCCTGGACTGTGGGACCTGGGCTTCCCCCTCTGCTTTTGGGGATCTGGTGGTTTACAACAGATAAACAAAGAGGACACTTTAGGCGCTTACATTTCAGTGCTGGATGTTTGCAGGGATGAACAGCTCTGTGTGTACATGCACGTGTACATCTGAGTGTGTGTATGCAAAGCCCTTGCTGTGCGTTAACAAGACATGCCTCTGGTACTTTTGATATGATGTAATGTGTACAGACACGCTAGGACACCAATATTACACTGTGTCAGGTTGCAGTGTGTAAGTAGCGCGTACTGATGGCGGAGCTCCGTTTCAGCACTGTTGCAGAGCTGAAGTGGGTAAAAGGCTTTTATATCAATTCAGCTCTCAATTTTGCTTCGAACTATCAGAGCACATGTAAAAAAAAAATTAAAAAAAAAGATGTTTGAAGATAATACAACAAATGGACACTGGCTGACTACAGAATTTCCTCAACAGGGATTTCGATACATGGTTGAAAACTGGGCAAAATCAGATCCAACACCTGACCTAGTTTTTCCACAACGTTTTAAGTGCCATTTTAAGAATCTCCTCATGAAGGAGTGCCAAGGAAAATAACTGGGCAGTTTGACTTTACCGCTCTGTTTGTAAGCCCCTAAATGCAGATGTATCTGACTGACATCAAATAGACTGAGGGGCTTCAAAAAACCTCAGAGGATTAGCTGAAAACTGGTTTCATTTAACCAACACACTCAAAGACAAATAACTCTCCACTATCTTTTCAGTCGTGGTCATGCTTTCAAAAGAAAAATGATTACTAGGTTTACCTGTGTACGTTTTTATGTGATAAATATATGAGGATATACTGTCATGTAGTGACACGTTTTCCTGTCTGTGGGTATTTTGCCAAAGTAGCACATTGGCAGAAATGATCATACCTGACTCTGAAGGTCTTGGAACTGGAGTTTCTTTTTTATCTGTGAAAAGGGAATAGACGGGATTTACTCATTCAGGCATCACAATCAAGCCTCTATTCTACCCATTCACACACACTGATAGCAGCAGGCTATAAAAGTCAAATATCTACCCAGTGTTTGTTCCTAAGGCTCATAGCATTTAAGATTCCTCTAGCCTCATGTTATCTCATATTTACCCAAGAAAAAAGAAAGAACAAAAACAGTGAAAGAGTTACATTTTTGAAAAAATAAAATAAAATACAGTACATTCAACCCTTTTGAACAAAACTTATCACCATGAACAGCACCACGGAGAACTCCTCGATTGTAAGTGGGAAAAGTTAAATAAAGGCAAGCAGGAAGGAGGTTCAAGTTGAGTCACTTTTGACGGTGATACAAATAAAATGTTTGTGACATATTGAGGGTCTGGACATGGTTGTTGGTCCATTTGTTGTTTACTTTGGCCTGTAACTCTGCATGATGAACAAAAGAAATAATCATTTGAACTAACAATTCAGATCTTAAAAATCGGGGCTAAAGTCAGCATGGACTTGACCTGGAACTAAAGGGCTCATTTGTGGAAGCCACTGTACTGGTGTTAGTGTGCCACAGCATGGTTTTACAATACTGTCGTGTATTTTGGTTTTCGTGCAAACACACTATGGCTGTTACAGCAGCATCTGTATCCCCTGACAATCAGGCATGACTGAAGCACTTCTGAGTAAGCCACTGATCCTCAACTGCACAAGGTGCATCACTACATATCCACAGGGCTCGGTTTGACTTAAGAAAATTGTATTTGTTCTCAGAGGTTAATAAAGAAGTCCCATTCTGAGCTGATTTTAGTTAGTCCACCACCACAACACACAGAATCAACATGGTTATTATTTCATTTGATTTGTATGCTTTTCCACACGTCATAAACTCACCAGATTCAACAGTGTTTTGCTCTGCAATAAATTGGACACAACTTTCTTTATGAATATTTCAAGATAAATCACTAAGTGTAAAATCACCCTCTTAAAAAACACAGTCCGTTACCTGGTTTTAATATCTGGACTCTGGCCTCGATCGGCTGTTTAAAGATCTCCGTCAGATACTGCTTCAGAGCCGAGGAAAAGGCCTGAGACGCTATCACGTTCTTGGAGTCCAGGCTGATCCGCGGGGTGTAAGGGTCAAAGTTTGCAGATTGGGGAAGGTCAAATGAGGTCTGTAAGCAGAGGAACACAGTAATGCTTCGTGAAATGAGACAAAGCTTGATTCAGGAGAAACTGAGAGACTAAAGATGTACTATTATCTACTGCAGTACATACTATGTATGAGTACACTGGAGCAAGTTAGTGCCTCTACAGACAATGCGAGTTGTAGTTTACATTCATGATTGATTACCTTATCTTTAATTTCACTGGTTTTGTGTGCGGGATTAAGAGAAATACTCTTATAGACTTTTGAACTCAGAGTAGATTTAACATGCAAAGAACAAAACAACCGGAATAGAAAGGTTGCAGAATGCGAGTTAGAGTAAATATCATGCACCCAAATCCGCTTACTGCTGTAACATTTAAGGTTTCTGTGTTTCTCTTTCGTCACACCTCCTAAGAGAACTTTTCCTGTGCAGAGCATCAAATGACATAGTCTTTTAACAAAATAGCTCACCTGCAAGAAGGCTAGAGTTTGGGGCTGACCCAGAAGACTGTGAATATCTTCTTTAGCTTTACTCAGACTGTCTACATTCTCGGTGAACTTCTTCTTGAGAACATTGAGTTTGGTCTGCCCACTCTCCAGCTCCCTGTCCACTGCAGTCAGAGCTTCACGCTCCTCTTTGGCCAACATATCCCGTATCTGCTGATACTCAGCTGTCACTGATTTCTTCCTGTTGGTTGCTGAATCCTGAAGGAAGGCAATCAGATGATCCATAGCTTATCAACACACATACAACTCAGCACAAAAAATTAAACATTAAAGGTGTGAACTTGCTTCTTGTATGGGCAATAAAATAATGAAATGAAACCTGTTACCTTGAGTTTGTTTTGAATGTCGGTCATTTGAGACAGAATTGTCTCATTCTTTGTGATCTTCCCATCAATCAGCATCATCTTGCTTCTCAGGTCAGACTACAAACCAGGAAATGTTACAAATAGAGTTTGAATATACGGAGACACAGTTTCATTCATTACAGATTCATTATTGGTCTGCTAGGAACATCGCCTTAATATTAAGAAGTATAAGTTTGGGATAGTTTTGGTCTCTGGCTTCAGATTTAGAGTTTAATCATCAAACTGGGTGGCTACACAGGTATTTATGTATAAAATCACACATTTGAGTTTTAAGATTCTGGTTCTTCCATTAAAAAGCATGCACAACTCTATTAAATGCCAACACTTGAAACTAACATTTGGTTTTTCTAATTTCGGAATGATTGCAGAAATGCATTTTCAGAAATTGCAATTTACATTTACTGTTTCTTTTTCTTCCAAAAAAAACCATTCATTTCTATGAGGTACTTATAACAACCTGCCCAGGTAGTAGGGCTGCTTGATTAGGACAAAAACCACATAACCACAATTATTTTGATTGATATTGATTATAAGATTATTACAGTTACTTGTGATTTGACATCTGCATCACACATATTAATGCAACTAAAAACCTCCTTCTTTCTTTAAAAACAAAATAAGTAAAAAAAAAAACAAAACTGTTTTTTGCACATCAGTGAACAAAGCGAGCGCAGTGATTTCCTCATCTAAGTTGTATTTTCTGACAAACATGTCATTCTGCTGACTTTTGACTGTGTATGTGTAATTTACTGCAAATGTTAGTGCAAAATGTAAAATCAGGGTTGTCACCTCTCAACTGACACCTACTCCCTCACACCAGTTTCAGGCATTAAAAATTACAAAATAAAAACTAAACATGCACCAATAGATCAGCACTTTTTCTTTCAAACACACCTCTTTCTGGTTCCTCTGCTCCTCATGAGAAATGAAGGGACAGCCTTTGTGAACCTGCTGGAGACACAAGCTGCAGATCGGTCGTCCATGTTGGCTGCAGAAGAGCTCCATCAGCTTGTTGTGGTCCGCACAGATGCGCTGCAACAGGTCGCTGACAGGCTGGCTCAGCTGGTGGAGGCGAAACACCGGGTTTTCTCGGTGTGGTCGCAGGTGGTCCTCGCAGTAAGAGGCCATGCAGGTGAGGCAGGTCTGGGACGCCTCTGCCTCCATACAGGTGTCACAGCGGATGACTTCAACTTTCTTCTCCTCTTTCTTCTCCTCCATGATCCCTTTGCTTTCATTGCACACCTGTTTACCCTCCTTTTTGTTGGACCTCTGGGTGAAGGTCTCCACCACAGTGCTGAGGACCGTGTTTTTCTTCAGCTCCGGTTTAGTGGCGAAGAGGGTCCGACACTGAGGGCAGCTGTAGGAGTCCTTCCACGTGGCGAGGAGACAGTCCTGGCAGAAGTTGTGTCCACAGGGGAGGGTGACCGGACAGTCAAAGGGACTCAGACAGATGCTGCAGGTCAGCTCGTCCTCAAGACTCATGAGCGAAAACTGACTCTCGTCCACATCGGCCATGGCTGACACTGAGGGCGGGGCTGTGACATAAGAAGAGAGAAACGAAACTTAAGAGTCCAGTCGAGGAAAACGAAACTAAAGCAGGATTTACTCAGAAAACCGGATTAAATCCTTCAACGACTGTTGTCTTCAAATTTTCTGAATTAAATGAGTAAGATATAAGTTTAGAGTAAAACTTAATAGTAATAAATAACAACAGTAAAATAGAAACAATAGCTTGAACAGCTCTAACATCCTACAAGACACCGGGGTTGATATTTACCCCTACACTGTCAGAAACATGACTAAGCAATTCGTAAGGTTAAAGCTTCGACAAATTCAGGTTAAATTTTCGACATTACCTTTTCTCCTCAGGACTAAATGCTGGACAGCTCGGTCTGATTACCTTCTCGTGGCTAACCCGATGCTGTGGCGTCAGGTGAAGTGGTCCACTATCAAGAGAATGACGATCAGCTGAGCTCTGCTCTGCCTTAAACCCTCCTCCCTCCCTCCCTCAGTAGGGGAGACCGGGGTTGGTCTTTGTCATCGCGGTTTTTACTGCTGAACGAATCATTCCAGATAATAAATCCACAGTGGTGATTTTTGGATACAAGCTTGTTGTCTTGCTTTGAAATCCACATCGCTTGTAATCTTATAGGTTAATTTAAAGGGATATTCCGGCGTAAAATTAAGTTAGGGTCAAACACACCGTAACACAGACACCTAGTCGAGAGATAAATGTTGCCGACCGCTTGCTTCTCTAGTTATACCAACGACTGCATGATAGCCACGAGCCACGCGCTCAACCAAAACGCCACTCTATAGCCACAACTAATGCTCAGAACAGCAGCTAACTTCATCAACAGTACATATAGGGTCCCAGCCACAGTACTAGCCAACAAACATCTTTTTAGCTTTGACTAATTTCTTTATCAAAGAGACTTAACACAGCTCACCTTCTCTCTTCCAGCAGCCGCTTGTTTGTACGAAGACCTCCGGGCAAGTCCATCGACTGCAGCGGAGGTGACACAGCTCAAGGAAGAACATTTATGATCATGGAGATGATAAAGTAATGATGAATCATGATGAATAATGGATTCTATATACTCACATTTAGATTATTCAATGACACTATAACCACCTAATGGCTAACAACACTAAATAAATGATTAAAATATAAACCAAACATTTCTTAACTATTTCTGTTACTTAGAGTAAAATTTACGATTCATAGTCAAGACATTCAACTCTCAAAAGTTCATGAAACAGTCTGAAAAGCTGTTGGTCTAAAGAAACTAAAGAAAGAAGAATTTATCCTGTCAGTGTGATAACTTGGCTTCTGGAGCACATAGAAAAATGGGACACATCTCATTTTAACACAGATTTCACGATTAGACAGATTAGTACATTGTTGAATGCATAAGGTGTCATGATCATTCATCTGTATTCTTTCTCCAAAGGAATGCAGTTTTTATCAGTACATGGTCAAGCAGGGTTTTACGACAGAGGTCTGGAGGTCAGCGTCCTGCTCCTCAGATCCTTCCTCAGATCCTGTGTGTTCACACACTTTAAGACAGTAAATCTCAAATGGGAGACCTGGGTTGAGGCATGAATGATTATTTAGATGGTCAGTGATGGAGTCAGTTTGAAGGGTAATAAAAACTCTGTCTCTGTTCTCTGAATTGACCAATTGTGGAGGGCCAGAGGTTTAGGTCAACCTGGGTCAGTTGGGCAATCTGAAAGTACAAACAAGTCTGCAAAGATTTATATGATCCTGTATCCTGGGACCAGATAAGGAACCTTTCCTGAGAGGAATGTGTGAGTTTCACACACAGGGTTGTCTTAGTGCTACAAGATGATTGTATGATTGAGTGATTGTAAACTGACTAATCACCTAAAAACATTTTCTAAAAGCATTAAAAAATACTTTCAGCTCTAAAAAAATCCCAAAACATCTACATGCGTCACTGTTTGATGTGACCACGATGATACATCATGTTGGCTGTGATAAGGAATGTAACAATGAACCCTTGAGACAGCCAAGTCTGCTTTACTCCTCCCTCCTCTCTCCTTTCTTCTCTTTCACTCTGTCTTAAGTGGAAATTGTAAATGAATTCACACAAAGTTAAAAACACTTAAGGTTCATTTCCATGAAGACAAACGTGGTGAGAAGTGAACCATGTTGGTTTTTTTTGTTTTTTTTAGATAATGACATAATTAGTTTATAGCAGACCTCATAAAACACTATCAGAGTGTGTATGAGGTATTTAAGTCCTCTCTGCTGACTCCCTCTGTTTATTCCTCAGTGTACTAAGGTTACCCATTGACTCAGGCCTGAACTACTTCAATACAGCATTTCTTCATATACAAACACTTTCTAGTTGCTCTATTTATCACACATTTATGAAGTCATGATAAATAAGATTTGCAACCATGATGTAATTGTACAATCATTATTTCAAAATAGCTGGAAAACTACAAAAATGTTGTTTAAAAACAGAATTAGATGAATACTCAACAATTAAAAGCTTTAATTTGGACACAAGTAGTGCAAATACAACATACTGATGCTAAAAAAAAGCTCATTGGTTGTTAAATTTATATACAAAATACAGGTAACATGTGCACAGACAGAAGAGGGAAGAGAGGTTCTGGATTATAAGGTTCTTGCTTGATGTTATCTGATTAATAAAACCATGTATATATCTCATTTTAACGACAGGACAGTGGACAGAGTAGGACACATGAATAGAAAGGGGAGTGTTGTATCAGAGAGGAGCCACAGGCCAGAAAGTAAACCAGGGTCATAACCTCTATATGGACACAAGGCCAGCAGAGCCCCATTGACAGATATATTTGATGGTAAAAAGTTGGCTGTCAGATTTTATAGACTTGTGTCAATGTGAAATCCTACCTTGTTAAGTGGTCTCACTGAACCTCCAAACTAATTCAGGAACAAAAAGTGCAACACATCCCTCTCCAAATTTGAGGAGTAGAAATATGTTGACAACTTCCATGCATCCATTTATTCAATTATTTTCTCCTGCTTACCCTGTGTCAGGCCACAGTGGTAATGGGTTAGCAAGCTGGCCCTGACCCCCTCCCAACCACAACACTTTCCACCACTTCCAGGGTAAATTTGGGGCCAGATAAAATCCCTCATATGCTCTGGGTCTTACCTAGTTGCACATACTCAGAAACTAATCACTAATCATCACAAAGAGGAACAGTTCTGCCTTAAGCTCTCTTCAGATACTCCTGGCTCTATCTCCAAGGCTGTCACTGTGATCACAAAGTATTTCATGGGCACATTATTTGGTTAAGGCGTGGCACAGAGACTGAGAAACTGTTTTTAAGAGTATATTAGTAATGGTCCCACATTACAATCAGCAACAGTGAGTTGTGCACATTATGGTTATGTTTTATTGTTAAAAAGAGGTTCACAAGTATTAAAGATCCATAAAAGATGTGATTAAGTAAAAGCTAAGAAGACACTTTTTTTACATTTCATGTTCATCTGAGTGGGAGTTCGACTATGTTCACAAAACAGATCCATTCCTGACCAGAAAAATTTATAATAGGGACTTAAGCTGGTTGTTAGATGGTTGAACTCGACAGGCTATGTATGTACAACACTCTATGCCCTGAACTTTCTCACATTTAGGGGTCAGTTGCTGTAGATTTGTGGGATTTCAGGATGCTGTGTGTTCTTTTGGTCACTGTTGTAGGCCTCACTTAGCTGGTGGAGGTCCTTTAGCAGGCCTGCAAACTGCTCTTCCTGTTTGTGCACAGAAAACAAACATTATTATGTCTTTTTTTGCTGTAACAGTGAAACGTGCAGAAATGAAACAAAAACTGCCTCTGACTTCAAAGCAATAGACCATTTTAACAGCCATATTTCACAGCAGGATTTAACATACTGGTTCAAAACAAAAGGGTTGGGCTTTCTACTGGAGTATGATAGTTAGTATGATAGAAGATAGTTAAGGGGCGCAGCAGATTTGATAGGCACAAAACTACAACCTTTTTGTTGGTTTCTTTAGCTGTCATTATAAGAAGTCTGAATGTCTGTCACAATGACTACATCCATGTTTTAAACAGTCTGAAGTCATTTACTTTACCACAAGGGTAACTAAACTTCACTCATGTAGTTTCTTGAATTTGAATATCATCTTATTTTAAGAAAATTGACAAGCACGTTTGGTGTATCTCATTGGCAGATATTTTAGTCATTACAAGAAATTCAGGTCTCACTCTGTGCTTGTTTGTCTTTAAAAAAAAGGTGGTTTATCTATGATGGGTCACACCCTGCCCTCAGCGGCGGGCCACCCACACAAAAAACGCTGTAGCATCAGTTTGCTAGCATTGTAAAAGCTGCATGATGATTTTTCAGTTTGATAAAGTTGCAAATTTGGATTATTTTCATAAAAAGAACCAAAAAGGTCTCAAGATTTATGAATGTCTTAGTTAGGGAAGTTTCTGTGAATGTGTTTAAGTGGGTGGGCATGTTGATATGTTCATGTTTGGACTGATGGCTGGGGGCTCCTTGTTTTAATATGACATATTCATTTTCATCACGTACACTGAAAAAGAGTAGTAATGATTTTAAAAAGCTGTGAAATATTAGCATCAGGGTACAGAGCGTTTGTATGTTTCTTACCAGTATGTTCATTCGGTCAGCAGCTGCAGTGGCAACCCCCAGTTTCCTCTCATCTTCCTCCCTCTCCTCCTCAATCACACCCAGCCTGGGACACACAAAGAAAAGAGATTCTCATAGTAAACTTTCTTCTTAGTGTGAACTAAGTAAACCTGTACCTGCTCTCAGCTGGAGCACAGTGCTGTTTTATATCATATCTTACCTGAAGGTGGCACTAGCAAGCTGCTCATCTCGCACTGCCAGCAGGTTACGGAGCTCATTCACCTCAGCCTGCAGCATTGCATTCTGGTCCTGGCTTTGGATTATGAAGTCCTCCAAGCGCTTCGCCATGTCCAGCTCCCGCTCCGTGACCTGCTCGATCCCCAGTCGCAACTCTGACAGCTCTTGTGCATGCTGGTATTTGGAGTGCAAATGAGCTTGTTAGTAAATGTAATCATGAAATCACACAGCTGAGCTTTGGTTCTATCATTTCAGGGTGTGAGGATGTCAGACATACCCTGTCCAGTAAGCTGAAATGCTCACTCTCAGTCTTCATCTCTCTGGGCTCCCTGTTGTTGTCTTTGATCCAGGGAACTGGTTCAGGTTGGCGTTTGATACTTGCACTCTGCAACAGCATTAAGTATTTTCAGCATCATCCTCTCTGACATACAAAATTAGGAGTTTTTGATGAAGACATGCAACACTTCGAGGAATGCCACTAAGAAAAGTGAAGCAGTGACTGCAGCATGATTATTTAGACCTAAACAGACGACTAAAAACAGGCACTTCCCCATTCTCACTTACAGTATTTGGTGATGTGATACATGGCTGGTTGGTCTCTGCCTCTTCTTTATGGTCTGCTGTTGGCAGATTTTCAGAGCTTGTCTGCCTCTTCAGAGCATGTTTCATGTAAGCAGGAGGTCTGTGTGGAGCACTGCAAGTTCTTTTTACTGGCTTTCCCCCTCGCATACTCTTTCTGATCTCCCTGCTGAATAAATAAACAAAGAAATGTATTCACAATGTAGCTAACATGTATCATTATACAATTATCATTATCAGCAGTTTATACAATACTGATCATGAGGGAATGTGAATGAATATATCCTGAACTTAATTATATATACTTGCCAATCGCTGACCATCAATCTTAGACTTTCCTACTACAGAGCCGTGCTGTTATTGTATGTGCAGGATGTATTTTTATAATATATATATTTCCCTTAAATGTGTACATTTTTCAGCATTAACAGAGCCTCCCCACATGTATTCGCTTGCTATGGGCATCTATGCATCCTTGTACGATCACAGATGTTGGCTCGCAGACTGCATGTGAGTTTCATGGAGGAAGCAGCCTCCATAGTTTCTAAAATTAATGTCAAAGTCCATTTAAAGTTGCCAGCATTTGATCATGTTTGTATATAGTTTTCTCATAAGATGGCACAGTTTTAACCTGCATTTGTAGTTGCAGGCAGGGATGAACAGTTTACACACAATGGTTTTTGGAAGTGATTTGAAGCCCATGCAGAGATTTCCTTGATGAGGATCAAGGATCATGACCATCCAGTTTTGGCATTATCTAAATCATTATTGACATTAATTACCTTTAACAATGACATCCCCAAATTTCTTAAGATTGTATGCAGTGCAATTACACCATTCCAACATTTACTATGTTAGTTTTGCAATATTCAATTAAATATAGTCTTTAAAGTCCATCAAAATCTGTTGACATATGACATAGTGTCCCAATTTTTGGGGGGGGGGTTGTATGCCACACACATTTTTCTGTAATGAGCCTGACCTCAGGCTCATTACAGATATAGAGGACTTGAAAACAAGATTCTGTATTTTGAGGGGCTATCCCTGAATAAATTCTTTGGACATGAAGCAAAATAGTCTAAATGTGTTTATGACTTCATGCACCATCTGGGACGAAAACTAAAATCTTAAAGTGTCAGCCCCAGGGTTTCCACAGTTTCAATCCAGGGATAGATCAAACATGTCATACCTTTCTTGGCCTTTGGAGTCTGCAGGGAGCTGCTGGAATGACGACTTGTGGGGGCTGTACTTGTCCAAGTATTTGGGAGGAACATACTCCGGCTTACTGCATGGAAATTTCTCCATGAATAACAAGCAACACCAATATTCCCAAGTTCAAAGTCTCTGATATGTTTGACGAGTCAGATAAAATTCCTCAAACAAACCTGTTAACCATGATTCGAGGGGCTTCAGGGCCAAGTGACTCTGATATCTGGTTCAGAATTGAAGGCAGAGGGTGCAGCTTGTCGATTGTGTCCTACAGTAGATATAAAATGCATGTTAGGTCAATTACAATGTCCTCGTTGTCCATTTTTTTGCACCATGTAACCAGTTTAGGACTTTCCCAGATTTTATCCACTTGCAATAATTTGAAGGCTTGTGAGTCATTGACCCTGCAATAAAGGTTTGTCGGATGAAAATTCCAGATTTAAATCTTATTTCTAAAAATTACAAGGCAAAAAAAGGCTGTAGTCTCTTTCAGTGAGTCAGATGAAATGTGCCAATAGGAAGAGAAAAATGTATCTGCTGAGTTCCTCAAAACAATGGTTCAATTTCTCAAAAGATGAATTCATTTTCATTTAAGAAACTTTTGAGGTCTTACTTTTGGTTTTTACCACCTTGAATTAAGGTGTTTGTCTGTGTTTGTCAGCTGAGTATGGCTTTTTTTTAGTCTAATAAAACATTTCATCAGAATTAGACAGATATACTGGCTGAAGTTTTACTTTTTGTTTTTCACAAATGATAAAAGAGCTTTTATTAAACTGGACTCAAAGGTTTTTCCATCCTACCTGGTCTTTCTGGTAGATGATGTCCACCAGCAGGCCGTGCAGCACAGCCAAGCGCAGGGGTAGGTCCACATAACCATCAAAGGAAGACATGAGGATGTCAGGGTCCAAGCTGGAAACTGTTTGCAAGAAACCTCTCATTCCATCCCAGTGCTGCTGCAGGAATTCATTCATAAAGAGCATGTACTCCTCCTTCTCTCCAAACCTAAATCAGACCAAAATACATTTATTCACCCAAGCCGTTGAAGTAAATTTTTTGTTTTCGGGCAGTTTTGTCTTTCACATGCTACTCACAGGGTAAAGTTGGCCAGATTCTGGATGACTTTGGCTGTCAGGGTGAGAGTCCGAAGAGTGTTTGGCTCTGGATAAGGCTGTGTCAGCCCAAAAAGAGATGGACTCAAGATCGCTGAGCACAAGAAACGAAGGAAGAGGGAAGCAGAGATGAGACGCTGACCAATCTCTGGTCGTCCCTGGTCTTCACACAGCTCCACCCAGCTGGAGAAGATCTTGTGTAGCTCCTCAGGAAAAGGTCTGACACCAAAAAGAGAAGAAAAATGTCAAGCATCCGCTAAGCTAACTTCACTCTTTTATTAACATGTTGTCTATTCACCCACCCATGGATGCCTATAATCTTCTGTACCACCTCCTGACAGGTATCCATCAAGTGCTTCTGGTTGTTTGCCAGCTCAGACGCTGGACATTTACGAGGGTCTACTTCACAGTTCTCCCCTGAGGCGTAGAGACAGTTGATGAAGTCCCCTGCATTGAAAAGAAAAAGGATAAAGAGATTAAACCACAAGCTGGTGCTAATAAAATAAAACCACTCTGATATCTAAACTGGTCTACCTAGTGTGTCGATGAGGTACTTCTGACCGACCAGCTTCATATAATCATCAATGGCTTTAGTAGCAAGTGTGTTCTCTCTGAAGATCAGGGCCTCCTTCTCTCCAAGACGCTTCACCTCCTCACCTCCCAGATCAATGAGGAACTCCTGAAACACAAGATGCAATAAATAAAAAAACGTTTGTTCTTGTATCTTCTAATGATTTGTTTAAAAGGTGAATTTTGTATGATCTTTCTGGCAGAGTATCCTACCTTTGCCTTGCCAATACTCTGCAGCACATGGACCAGAGCTCCTGCCAGCTCCTCTTTCTCCTTCACATTTAGAAGTGGCTCCAAGCTTCTGCACATTTCCACATAATCCACTGTCACATACTCAGCGAACTCTTTGTATTTCTCCATTGGCAGCACCTGCAAATTCTGGAAACGGGCCTTGATGCGCAGTGAAGCTTGTGGGCCCAGTAGTTCTTTGCCTCCTGCTGTTCCAGAGGCCTTGTACGGTGTGATGGGATACCATTTTTCTTGGTAGGTCCTCCCCCGGATCTCAGCCAGAGGAATGGCCACGCTGCCCAGAGGATGAAGGCAGGACTCATCTCGGGAATGACGCTTTTTCTTAGGGTCCTCCTCACGAAAGAGATGCAATGTGATTTGAGAGACGCAGGGCAGGTTGTCGAGCTCAAAGACCTCACCCCAGAATAACTGACACCCTCCAGCCACACCTCCGCTGGACCCGAGGGCTCCTAAAGAGCTGGTAGAGCTTTCTCCTCCAAGGCTGGTCCGGTTAGAGGGCTTACCCACAGCTCTGCTGCTGGTTCGGGCAAACAGGGTCCCATCCAGGTGTACCTCACAGTAATATCGTCGTTTGGGGGTCAGATCTTTTGCTTCATTCACCCACAGACTGATGGAGTTCTCTGTGCGCTCGATGTTATCCTAAACACAGTGAAGCATTCAGCTTTTTTACAGTTTTACTTTTTATTTTTGGATGACTTGTTCTTTGAGAGGAGATGGTTAATGTCTGACCTTATTGGGCTGAGCAGCTCTCCTCAGATCTTCAATCCAACGGTCTCGCTCAGCAGCAGACGTGCATCCAAAGCAGTGGGTGTTCTCAGAGTTTATCACCTTTAGGTTGAAACCATAGAGTATGAGTTTGCCAAACTAGGGCAAGAAGTGTCTTACAGGAAACAATATAGGGCAAGTATGATTGGCTATTTTTCTATGTCAGAGGCAGGCTATTTGAGCTGAATTGCAACAGGCTGTTTACCATATTTGTAGCTACGATTAAAACATTTTCTTTGGTAAACTGTAAAAACAACACTGCGTAATTATAATTATAAATATATGTTGATTACTCTTCTTTCCATGATGAAGATGGGACAATAAGGAGCTTTAACAAAATAATCTGTGACTGTAATAAAATTATATTTGAAAAAATTACAAACAAATAGATATTAAAACATAATCAGGACATAGAGGTGTCATGTCCTCCCTGCTGTGTGATATGATTAAGACATGGTTGCAATATCTAATGAAATCTGTCTGATGACCCCGATGACTCAAATCAATTTTTTTTCCATGAATAAGGTATTTAAGAACTCTGTAAGCCAGGCTTTAAAACTTGGGGATAGACCTTTGTTCCAGGCTTTAAGAAAAAATTTCTTTCTTGTGTGATGATCTATCAAATGCCTTGTGTCATTTTTAGTCGTTTATTTCTGATTATCTCACTTTCCCAGGCTTTAGAATTTTTACAGACAGCTTTTAATACAACTTAGGTTCTCTGACAATCTCTGAAATTGGTTTTAAATGCAGAGAAAACTAAAATCATGTTATTTTCATAGAATCATGAAATAACAGAGCCTGTCAAGACTATAACAACGCCCAAGGTAAACAAAGCTGGTCACAAGTTACAAGTATCTTGGTTTTCTGTTTGACTAGGAGCTCTCCTCACATCGCCAATCTGGTCTGTAAATGTTTAATTTCACTTAAGAAACTCTAGTTCTTACTGAATCTTTAAAAAACAAGATAGAAACTATGCCAGTTACCCTAATAGAGTTTACTACACCAAAAAGTCACTTTTTTCAGTGCAGGAAGGACCAATGAAGGATTTTCTTTCAGCTGTGTGTGTGTAGACTGCAAGAGTCAAAGTTCACCTCAAAGCAGTACTTCTCCCCCAGGATGGAGCTGTGGACCGGCCTAATGATGGTGCTGGTGTCAGCACTGAGATCCAGACTCCCGACTGCACTGACGGGGATCGAAACTGACTCCTTGGAGCCATAGTGCCTTAGAAAGAAAAAAAAAAGACTCAAAAATGAACATTATGTGTCATTTACATTTCACTTCAACATCCCAGGAAACTTTACCTGCTCCCTTTGTTTGTTTGGTTCAGCGGGGTGCTGTTGTTCTTTTTGGCCCTATTCTCCAGATGTTTCTTGATCCGGGCCTGTGGGTCGAAAAGGGAAGCTTAGTGTATATGTCTGCCGTCAACAGGAAATGCAAGGGCAGCAGAGAGATGGATATCAGTTACATGCAACACTCACCCTCACACCACCGTCCTGGCTCCTTGGTCGAGGGCCTACATGGTCAGGGCTACACTCTGTATTGGCAAGAATAAGTGCACACAATGAAATTTTAAATAAATCGAAAACATTGTTTAGTTTTCAGTACCCAAACTTACATGTGAGAATATTTGGTAGCTCTTTACTTGGAAATTTAGGGTTAAATGTATATTTTTTTTGTCCTGACTCAATGCTTTTCTCAAAGTTTACAGTCCAAAGTCAGCGTCATCGTTTTGGTTTGAACACCACTTATTTCTAAACAGTGTCAGACTACAGTGGCAAAACAGTCAGCGCTGTAAAATCTGCAAATACATCTAGATTAGGACATAGAGGATGTGGTTTTACACTGGAACTGCAGCAGTCTACGTAAAGTTTACCAATACGTGTACTTCTCTAGCAAACGTTCTTATTATGTCAAGCCCACTAAACATCAAATCATTCTGTTGTCTTGATAGTGTTACCTGTTTTGACCATTTCAGACACAAGGTAAGGATTTAAAGGTGTAAGAGTTTGAAACAGAGAGCTTACAATAGCTTTTCTTAAATTTTGCTTACCTAAAGCCCCGCCACAAACAATCCAACGTCTAAATCCCATCATTTAGCCTCTTTCCTCATTAACATGCATGGACAACTACACCAAGAAAATCCAGTCTGTCAGAGTCTAAACCCTGAGGGTGCAGCCTCTGAGCTTCTTCTGAGTCTGACAGCAGAGTTGAATGGAGGAAAAAGCTGACTTTATCCTCTCTCTCTCTCTCTCTCTCTCTCTCTCTTACTCACTCCTGTTACAGAAGTTAGAGCACCCAGGCTTGATGTTATCTCCTCCAAGAACGTAGAGGAAGCAATTTGATAGTCACTCGCACGCATAAACATTCAGCCATTTCCTCTGTGACGCTCTGCAGAGTCATACTGAGTGATATCACTTTATGTTACTCTTGTAATGGTTGTCAAAATTTGGCTGCTTTTGATTATTTTGCTGCATTTTCATTACATGTTTTCGTGTGTGTGTGTGTGTGTGTGTGTGTGTGTGTGTGTGTGTGTGTGTGTGTGTGTGTGTGTGTGTGTGTGTGTGTGTGTGTGTGTGTTTGTGGTATTAACCTGTGTCGATATCTACGAGGTTCTGCATGCTGAGGTTAGACAGGCAGCTGCTGACTCGGTTTCGTGTCCAGAATGTAGGCTGAGAAAGAAAACACAGACGCACTGATTTTTGATACACTTTAAAATATTTCTTACTTTGGAAAGTGCGTTAAATGTTTAAATGTTTGATACTACAGGTGTTTCTACAGGTGTTTTGGACTTTTCACAAACTAAACCAGTTGCTGATTGATGGCATTGTGCTGGTTTTACCTCTTCTTCTGGGGAAATGATGATTTGTCCATCTTCCAGCATGCAGTTGGTAATGTCCCATAGGGGGACCTCCTGAGGTGGGTCCCATTGCAGTCTCGGAAGGGCACAGGCAGTGGGTACTGGTGGCGCTGATTCGTCCAACTCTGTAACACAAACACACTTGAATATTTGTTTCTACTCAGCCCATATGGCATTTACACTGTCGGTCAGCTTGTTCTCACCAAACAGTAACTTTTGGACAAATATGTAAAATGTAGCAGGTATAACAACCCCTATCTTGAAAAAAAAAAAAAAAACAACAACCACTATCGTCATATAAACCCTGTAGAGTATAATTACAGGCACATGCCAGCTCTTTTTTTTTATTCGTAATTACAGCTTCATTATCTCCCTCAGCTCTTGGCCACTCCTATTAGTCGAGTTCTGGTGCTCCTGATGCTATCACCCTCTCTTCATGACGCACCAGGATGAGTCGTGCACATCCTGTGAATCTCTGTATTTTTTTTCCTGATGTTAAAGCTTTACAAGACGTACAGTATTTGCATGGTTCTGTACATTCACTTTGTCCCGATTGTAATTACTTTAATTGGTATGACGCTTCACATGTTGAGGCCCAACAACTTCTCAGATTTAGGATAACAAACTTGAAATAACATTAAAAAAAAAAAAAAAAAACTACAGTAGAAGTGAGGTACTAGTAAACTGTGGAGGCATGAAGAACAGATGAATACATTTGCAACAGCTGACAAATAAAGTGGCATTTTCTTCCTGTTAAAACTCTTTTCATTTTTAGGATACTTTTTTTTTGCATCTGTGTTACACTTTTACACTCTTCAGTGTATGATGAATGAAACCGTAATTGTAAGCCGAGATCATTCCAACTGTGATCTACTGATGCCGACAGTGACAAAGGTGCAATGCAGGAATTGCGGTAGCGATTGCGTGGTGGCAGGGCAGAACAGCACCATGCCTGTGTGTGTGCATGTGAAGCTTCCTCTGTGTGTTAACAAGCTGGGCCTCTTGAAATTTGTAACACCATGATGCAATCTGAAGTCACACACTGGGACACCAACATCACACAGCTGCAGGATCAGCAGGGATTACTTTGTGCTAGATGTTAGTGCTTAAAAATCTGAAACCTGCTGTTTTATATTCAAGATCCTAGAGTATTTAACTGATAAATTCAGCAATAGACTGAATGAAAAAAGAGGATTTGTCCTCACGGTATGGAAAGTCAAACCATTGTGTAAGTACCTGTGTGTTTTCAAATAGCCAGCAGGAAGTAAATGACAGAACTTATGACAAAAACAACTGAGCAGATGAAAGCTTACTTCACTGACATCAACTCTTTCCTTGACGAACTGATCATCTTATTGTTGTTTCGGGTCAACATTAAAACATCCTGATTTGAGTTTGGACACTGAGGGGACAGCTGACATCTTTTTTAATAAATAAGCCTATCATTTTCTTTTTTACTCCTGGAACTAAAAGTCAGTGTGTACCATATTCAGCAACCACATTTGCATCAGTATCGGCTCGTCATAACTCTCCATCATCTGTGGCTCCACCCTTTCATTCATATTGAATCGAGCTGTGTCAGCTCTTTGTTTAAAGTAAAAGGGTGTGACATCCTTCCAAAGGTACAGTGTGTAGTAATGTGAATATTTAGCTGAGTGTAGCAGTCAGATTCTTGGTATTTAAATGTATAGCTATTTCACTGTTTCTTTTTGTAGATGCACAGTTGATGCACTTTTTGTCTGAAAAAGCACAAAATATATAATTCTGACAATTATGATCCTTAATAAGGTATGATTCTCCCTCTGTCAGGGTTTTACCATCTAAAACTATCACTACACCTGTTGTACCTTTTGTACACAGCAACATCATTTTCCTCCTCTTTTTCTTTCCACTGTAACATATTGTGCAGCCACACATCAAATGCAAAAATCTGTGTTACTGTATAGTGGTGCATGATGGCGGCAGAGGTGGAACTTGCTCATATATAGAACAAGGCTTATTCAAAGTTTACAAACTAATATTAAACTCAGTTGGTCTGTTCTGCTAAATGCTGCCAAATATCGCATACTGTACCTTTAAAATTTGTTCTTTTTGGGCTCATAATGATAACTCAAAACACTACAATACAACTCTTTTTGGTCTTCATTTGACATTGTTAGGACAAATATAACTCATACGTTTAAAAGTGAGAAAACTACAGTGTTTTATCTTCTAAACCTGCAGCAACAAGTTCTTCTACACTGTGGCAATCGTTAAGATTTGCTCAGATTGCTGTGCGATTCACACAGCCACATCAAATAGACGCACTTTTTCATCCTCACTTTAACATTTTTGATAAATAAGCCATCACTAGATTTGAGTCGAGGTATTTCAAGCATTTCAAAAGCAGTGTTTAGAGCATGTATGCGACTCACCTCCTATGAGAACATACGTCTCACCGTTACAGAAATTTACATTAAAAATTCAAATTTAAAACAGCGACATTTAAGTTTCTTTACATTCCTCTCTGTTATTACATGAAGTTTGTTGAGACTCTCTAAAGTTTGGCCTGAGAGGCCTGTGTCAATTTTGGCACCCCCTGCGAACAAAAGCAATGTTTTAACTCTTTGCTGATCTTCCCCTGTACACGTGAAAGTCATGTCCTCGACAAAAATCTCGTCCTGCTTTCTTCAAGTAATCAGAAGTGCCACCTATCATGTAAAATTCGCACTAGAAAACGTAGTGAAAGGGGTTTTCCCTCAGCATTTTGCATATCAGCATGTCTGGCACCTATCCCACCTCTCACCCCCAGGTAATAAAGAATTTCAACAAGACTGTAAATGGTTTTTCTTTGTTTTTTCCCGGTGCTTTTGCAGATCTTGAGAAGGCGTTTTTTATTTAGTCTGTCACATAACTGGTTAAAAACTCCTTACAAGAGCTTTAATAGGTGTTACAGTGAAGAAAGTCACAAATACCCCACCTACTGAAGTGTGAGTTAATGCTCATGTGAACCAAATGTGAGAACTGTTCTGTAACAAGTTTCTGAGTTAGTTTTTGATGTTTTTGTTGTTTTTATGTGATCTTGCTTGAAAAATGTTTTTTTTCAATCTAACCTCTGTGATCATCTCCGACATGTTTAAGACGTAGAACATATCTAGAGGAATTGCATTGTTTCAGATTACAAGATGTTACCTGGCACTAAGTTGGGCGTGCTGCTCCGACTCTGCAGCTTGGGCCTCTTGAGCTTCTGGGACACAGATCTCAGGTACTTCTTGAAGAGTGCGCCTCCACTCCCCCTCTGCGCAGGGTCTGTGGAGGAGCCTCCTGAGGCCTCTGCAGCGGCTGAAGATGTGGCCACCTGAGCGGAGCCTGCAGAGCTGGAGGAAGGGGACAGGGTTGCGAACAGTGACCCAGGAGGCTCGGATAGAGCTCTCCTGAAGGGGTTCTTCCTGGTTCCTCCTGTGCCTTTCTCTGGCTTGGTTCCTTCTCCTCCTCTCCCGTTGGTTGAATGCTTCTCTCCTGTGTCCTCGCTCAGGGCTTTTCGCCAGTTTTGCATCTTGTTCCATTTGCTTGCAGATGCCTTCTGAATTCTTTCAATTGTGGACGTGGATGAAGCTGGAGCTCCCTCAGTGTCTTCTCTCACCTCATTGAGTGCTCCTTTAGAACCTGTTTGCCACTTGTACGTGGTGAGGGGGTCAGTGGTGTCTGCAGAATCTACAGGAGACTCCTTCTCCTTCTCTGATGATTCCTGCTCCTTTGCTGGTTGTTGAGCTACAGGCTCTAGATCTTTCTCCTCGGTGCCCATCTTGTGGACGTGTGACTGCAGTTTTGTTCTTCTGTTAATGCATCCAAGTGAATCCTATAACCTTCACAGGAGACCTCTCCAGCCTTCACCCAGATTTACCTCTATTGTTGAGACCGCTGTGGTGCAAAAGGATGACAGAGTAGTCCGTGTCTTCTCTGGTTCTGTCTCACCGCGTCTCTCGTTTCCTGTCTTGCAAAACGTCATCCGGCAAAAACATGCCACCAACTGCCCTGACTGGTTGCTTTTCTGTAGCTCCCATCTTCTCGTATGGGTTGCTTTCTTCCTCATTCAACAGCTCACAGAAGTTCACCTATTTACAGAAGTTGTTCTGTTTTTTCATGCCGTGTAACTTTATTCTCTCCTTCTTCCTCATCTGCTTTTATGTCATCAGGTTTTCCTCTTGATAAAACTCATTAAAGCTTACGCAGCCAAACTCCAATAAATGCACATGCACGTTTGTTTGAAGTGTAATTTGGTAGCAGCTTACTCCAGATATTCATCAGCTCAATCTTCACCTCAAATGAAACCTGCGTCTCTGTCAGTTTTTGAGTCACAGTCACAGTTTGAGTATGAAACGTCTGGTCTCAAACTTTAAGTGCATTTTAATATCTTTGACAAGGAAGAATGCAGCTTCAGTTTTTGTCTTTATTCATACTTTTTAAGAACATTCATGCAGACTCCTTATATTGAAATAAAAGACAACATCCACTTGTTATCAGCTACCTGTGGGTGTATGGACTGTTGACTGTTAAGTTCAGTTTCCTGTCAAAGCGAGACTGCGTTTCCGTGAGATCAGTTTGACAGACTCAGAAAACCAGAAAACCACTTCCTGTGTTCTGTTACTCTCTGCAGATACACACCTGCAGGATACCTCTGTGTTCCAGTGGGGCAAAGATGATACCATTAATGTCAGCTGTTGCCTGGTGGTGTAAAAAGGACTTCAGGTTTCTGATGTCACCGCAGCTTTTTATCTGAATCTGTAAGACTGGAGCACTCAAACTTGAAAACATGAATGTTTACTTTACCTTTAAAACTACTGTTTGCACCATATTTTGTTCACCTTTTCAGTAATCATCCCAGATATCTTAGACGATAGATAGCTGGTTGGGACCTGCTGGATGTTATATGTTTTAACAAGTGCCCTCTTGTGGTTTTGTTTTGACGATAAAAATGTTGCTGACTGACTGCAATGGCAACAGGAACTCTCTCTCTCTCTCTCTCCCTCTCTCTCTCTCTCTCTCTCGGGTCATTTTCTAAACAAAATTGCCTTTTTAATCTTTTTTCTTAAATTTGGGACCAGAGATCCTTACCTAAATCTTTAAGATAAGGTAAGATAATCAGAATTACTTTATTTACCCCGCTGGGGAAATTCAATAAATGTATATATACGATATTAATTAATATTGTCTAATAGCCTATTTTATAGTCAAAGCTTAAGGCTATACATGAAAATGTGAAAATCAATTGCAGATGATTAAAAGCAGAAACTGTTTCTGCTGTTATCACTAAAAGAAGATTGATTGTATCACCAAACTACGGTAAATGACAAGCACAGTCAGCCTGCAACTGCCTGTATGATCTTCATCAGGAGAAATGAGCAGCATATGCAGAAATCTGAAAAGTTTAAATGAATACTAGAGTGGAAATGTGATTTAAATGAAATAAGAAAAAGTGTGGCAAAAGCTGAAACCACTGCATTATTACTAAACAACTGCAAATATATGATTAATGTAAAGCAAAAATGCACACATAGCAACAAAAGAGACCAAAACTGAAGTAATATTTTTCCACAGAAGTGCTCTGTTGGCCTGTGCGACCCTGAGTGCATTATGCTTTTGTGCATTTTTGCTTTTATCAGTTGTACATTTGCAGCATTTTTAGTGTTAGTGCAGTTGTTTCAGCCTTTGTGAATTTTCCATTGCATTTATTTTTGACCTTTGCATGCATTTTTGACTTGTGTCTACATTTGCAGCACATTTCCCCCACATGTGGATGGTTTGGACTATTGCAGGTCATCTGCCCTTGTCAGCCACTGTAGCAAATAACAGCAACATCGAGCTGTACAGTCAGATAAAGACAGACTTATTCCCCTTTTGAATTGTTTCAAGACAAAATATCACACAATGTATATATTTTAAGTTTTATCTGCCTTCTTTGTCTATATTTGTTGTTTCTTTCAATCAACATTTTTGACTCGATCAGTCAATAAAGATACTCTGACACCTTGGATCATTGTTACACTGGTTGCTCCAAGAGGATCTTGCAAGAACTGGGATTTCTTAAAGTTTTGAGACAACAAGTTCAGTCTTTTAAGGCATCTAAATTTTACATTAACACAGTCATTTCTAAAATTCCACCAAACAGATCCCGTTTGTACTTAATGAAAATATAAGAGATGACCAAAGTTATTACAGTGCATCCTCAGAGGAATATAGAAGTCAGTGTTTGATGATGTGACAGCCATGAGAGCAGAGATGGGAGTCTTAGGTTTGATCAGTATTCACTTATTGATACACTACAGTGCCTGTAGTACTACTTACAGTATATCCTAGTATAACACTGTTATTTTAAATCAATTCCAATAACTACAAGTATTTTTAACAATACTTTTCTTCATTATGTGGCGCAAAACAATAAAGGTGAGCCATAGATAGATATCAAAATATTCAACATTTTACAACTTTAGTTATTTCTTTGAGAACCATGTGTTGTTGATCTGATGAGATGTGTTTCATCAGTTTGTTCCTGGCATTACTCTTAATACTTAGAAGCTATTACAATAACAGTCATAGGCTTTTGACCAATCAGGGTCAGGTGTTAAAACAGCCAGGGGATTAGGAATAAGACTGTCTGACATATTTATTTAGTTAATGACTTCCTCTCTGTCTGTTGTTTATTTGTCAAAACATTAACTCCTTCAGAAGAAAACAGACATGGAGCAACCACAAACAGCTAAGCAGTATGGGTTTTAGCAGTGTTGCACGACCGGTTGAGTGAGGAGAAAATGCAAACAGCAAAGTTACAGGGAAGACGACATTATACAATGTTTAAATCCTCTTTAAATCAATACTTAGTGTCAACTTCTCTGCTGACAGCTGGATGAAAAGCAGAATACTGTACAGGGAAAATGGCAGCAGAAACCCCTGTTAGTGAGTAAAATTCACTTACATTAAAGAGAGTATCATCTTTTACTTGATAAGGTTGCCTTTAATGCACTCTTTGAACAGTCTGAATAACCTCATAATTCTGATGCAACAAGATTAACCCTGCAGGATTTCAGCCCTAGATCTAGATTAGTCTATAATGCACCCTGTGATGAGACAGTCTGGACAATTGTTTGCTAGTCCATCCAGTAAACTAAGCATTACCCCCCAAAAAAGTTTTTTAAAAAAGAAGAAAAAAATGATCAGCTTGTGGCAAAAAAGAAAAATCAAAAGCACAATTTCAGGCTGTTTTATGATCCCCAATGCAATATGCGATTGTATCCCTGTAGAAGTTAGTAAGACACTTCAGTTTGGATCAAAATGTTTGGTCAGCCAGCAGTCTTTGTCTCCTACAAACCATGAGGCTGAAAACTGTATTTAAGCTGTCATTTTGATTATTTGTCAATTATGATAAATGACAGCATGCTCAGAGTTTTTTCTTTTCACTCTGTAGAAAAATCAGTGAATTATTGTATTTGCCTTTATTGTCCCCTAGAGGGCACTGCTTACTAATTATACACACTACAGAGTCACAGAGGCTTACTCCTTTCGATTATGGTGATTAATGTAAGAAATATGTCTTCTTGATTAAACTCTGTGTGGCTAATCAGACAAATTAAACAAAAAATGTATGTGTTTATTTTTTTTTCTCCAAGTTATTTTAAGATGTAAACATTTCTCCATCTGTTAGTGTAAAACTATTGTCTTTGTGTTTCAACCCTGGCCATGATAGGCCTCCATCTCACGTCTTTGTACACCCAGACACACTGATGATGACGCCCAGCATAGACTTAACATGCTTTAACTTTTACCACATCAAGATTTTCTTCTGTCTGCCTTTATTGGGCTGCTGAGAGAGCAGCGTGTGATGAAAGGATGTCAGGCTGGAATTTCTCAGTCTCATAGCATTTCCCAAGAACCCTCTGTGCACCACACTTTATAGTGTGTCTGTTCTGTTTTTTTTGTTTGTTTTTTTTTGCCTGCCAGCATAACAATGTACCCTCCCTGACCCGCAGAGTACAACGCAACATGATGACCATTTGCAATGACTGTGATTTCATCAGAGCCAAATCTGTGATATGTCCCGCCACATCCTGTTTTCAGTAAGACTTTGTTTTCACAACGGAGCACAGACATTATGTAACCGTAAAATAACATGGTTTTGCTTTTTTAAATGTAGCTGCCGTTGTTCTTTAACATTTGCTGTGGTGGTAGACCTTGATATGAGCTGTGCACACTTAACCAGCCTGCCCCATGAAACACAATCGCCTTAATGCTATCATCCACTGACATCGCTGCTAAACCTCTTACATAATTAGGAAGTGAGTGTATTTAACTCTGAGAACTAAACACAGGCTTAGAGGCCAGGGCAAAGACTAGACATATTTATACATCAACAGAGCAAAGAAGATCTCTGATTACCACTATTTAAAATCTGGTGGAAAACTACTCAATAAGAATGCTGATGCTCCAAATGAGTTTTAATGGTTGTGTTGGTCTTTTATCTAAATCTCTGTGTTTACATTTTTAATTTAGTTAAATTTTTGGTTGTAATCTACTTAAGTTGTTCTTTTTTTTCTTTTATTGACTTAGTAGTTTTCATTTGTGTTATTTATATAGTTCATATATCAGTACCCCTTCACACAGCTCTTTTCATGTGTCAGTGACACTGTAACTATCAGATTCCAACACCCATACTGATGACCTGTAGCCCAACACTGTCTTCATTTACAAAAGATGGTTCAGCAGCTTGCCAAGGTTACTCATGTGTTGTGATTTCCAGAATAGATGAAACCAAAGACAGTTATCTGGGATATATAAACCACTTTCTCTCATCTATGATGATCAGAGTGTGTGTCATTGGTGTCATCCATTGTTTTCCATGATCTAATTTGTATTTAAAAGTCAAGGCCCATAAAGGTACAGCTTTTAGAAAAACTGTGGCACATTTGGCAAATATTTAGATTTTGCATATGAGTAAACATTTTCAAAATGGACTGAAAAACGATCTGTTTGTTTGAAAAAAGACTGGCACTACTTTTACAATTTACACTTACCAGGCAAAATTGTTTTGATTCTAGTCAAAACACCCATCACACTTAATTTAAGATACACTAACATGACAAGTCTGAATAAAAATCACACATTTTCCTTATGAGTTCCTAATAATAAATCTTGTACATCTTGTTTCAAGGAGGGAAACCTTTCCGCCACATTTACAGCCACTACATAAAGGTAAGTTACAATTTTTGGCCTGCAACTAACTATGACAAAGTATGCAGGAAGCATATATAAGGTGGGATACAGCGAAAAGATGCTGCAAAAATAATGTACATAAGTTAATTTCTTCCTTCAAAGGGGCACAGTCAATTCTTTAAATATTTTTATTATAGTTTATTTTGGAATGATGCAAATAACAATTTTAGTCTGTTATAAACAAGCTGTCCTAACTGATATTTTGCATATAGAGATGATTGGGGTTGCATTTTTCAAAGTCCTGACCCAGAGTAGGCTTTTAGTTAATCAAAAGAAACAAGAGAATAAAGACAACATAAAATAACATATATGAGTTTTGCTGGTATTTAAAAAAAATATTTAAGGTATTCAAATTTTAAAAGAGCAACATGGCAAATAAATGATACTACTTCAGTAGGCGGCAGTGACGCCATCTCTTGCGTTAAGATCACACACTAATGCAGTCATATTACAACAAGTGTAGCTGTTGTAATTTGACAATAGTTATTGCCATTTAAGTAACTTCTAGTGGTACTTTTACTTGAGATGAATATTTGTGTACTCTTCAGCTGGGCCACCCCAGCCAGTGAAGTCTGGACACGCCCCTGCTGTAAACTGAATGAAGATGTTTACTCTGCCTTTCTATGACTAACCCAATGACAGGTCATTCATAATTGTGCCTGTAAAACAACATATGTAGTTGGTGATCACTATTTGGGAATGAAACTGCAGATTTTCTAAATACTGACTGCATTTAAGACCTTTTTTTGAAATCGATCAATTGATCAATCAAATCAAATTTTATTATATAGCACCAATTCACAACAGTTGTCATCCCAAGACGATTTTCAAAGAACAAGAGCAGGTCTAGACCACGCTCATTGTTTGATGAATTATCAGGACCCAACCTAAAATGGGATTTGGCCAATCTTATCCTATGGCCAATCCTATGAGTGACAGTGGCAAGGAAAAACTTCCTTTTAACAGGCAGAAACCTTGGGAAGGACCAGACTCATGACAGCCACCAGGCCCCTGCTGGGTTGGGGAGGAATACAGAGAGATAGGGAGGGAGAGAGAGAAAGAAGTTGAGAGAGGGCAGGGGGAGAGAAAGAAAACAATACAGAGGGAAGGAGAGAGAGAATAGGTAAGAGAGAAGGAGGGAGAGAGAATAGAGAACAAGGGTGAGAGAGAGACAGGGTACAACAGCAACATTAAAACAACAACAGCAACAGCTCATGCAAAGTTGTGTTTGCAGAGCAAGTAATGATGAAACAATATGAATTCAGTTTATAGGATAAGGATATAAGTAATTATGGACTATGTTAAATGAATTTAATATGATGACAGTCAGCAGGCCTAATAGTACTTAGCTCTGGCTTTATGTTATTAATTTTATAAAGCTCTAATGTTGAGGACCAAGATGGGTATTATTGCTATTATGCTAATGCATTATTTGCTTTACTCGACGATGACTGTGTTATAGTTTTTTTTTTTTAATTATTATTATTTTTTTTGTTTTGTCTATTTGAACAGCTACAGATGTGTTCCTCTGAAGGCTGCACTGTGCAGAGGTGGAAAAAAACCGAGCTTACGAACGGGGAGGAGCGACGGCATGATCACAGGCATGACTGAGGGAGGAGGAGGAGGAGGAGAGGACTGACTGATATTGACCTCCGGAGCCGACTCTACATCTCTTTAGGCGTGTGTCAGCAGCGGTGGACCGTCTCAGAACTTCGTGAACCGCTCTCATCCTGGTCGTTTTCACAGGAATCCGAGGGTTCCGGCGGTTTGGTCCTCAGCTCGAGCTACATGGCTCGCTAGCACAACAAAGCTAACCACTGTTAGCCAGCGGCTTCATTCACTGCCTGGACCCGGCGAAGTGAGGGACCGAGGAGGAGGGGAATGGCAAGAGTTAACTCGGATATCCCCTTCAGAAGAAACAGCCACTGAGATATTTAAAGCGGTTTCGATTTATTCATTTATTTGTATCAACGGTAAGCACATTTTTTTCTCTACAGTAAGACATCAATGAATTAACATTGGTTTGTAAAGTTAGCTCTAGCTAACGGCTAGTCTCGGTTAGCCAGGACTGTTGTGTAACATCCAGCTAACGTTAAGCAGTCATCGTGGCAAATATTAATCACTATAGTGGTTACGTTTAAATAAAGGTCTGGTTATATTATACATTTTTATTAAACCTAGCAGAAATATATAGTGACTGTAAACTGTACAGTTTGCACGGTGTTTGTCTGTTGAATCATCATTCAGCATCTATCTTCATATATCTCAACGTACCATGGCACCCGTCCACAACAAGTTATCTTAAGACACTTGACAAAAAAAGCAGGACTTGGCTGAACTACTCATATTGTTGACAGAGCAACAACTTAAATCCACCATGAGCAAACACTTACACACAAAATAGCAATAAACACCGGCGAGGGGAAATGTCCTTTCCACGGATAGCAACCCTGACCAGAACCAGATACTCGGGTTAAAGAGCCATCTGCCGCCACTGTGTTTGGCTTAGACAGAGAGGGACAGAGGCAAATAAACAACATCAGATAAAACAGATTTATGGATTCATTTAGCAAGCTGGTGGAAGAAAAACAAAAAGGAAACAAACTAAACATGACACAGAAAGCTTTCAGCTGTTGTCTCAGGAGGATTTTATCAGAGAGTGGGGTGAACAGATCCAATATCTGGAGGTTTGTTTCTTTACAGATGTCCCTATCAGCGTTTTGCCCTCAATCCCTGACAGATTTTTTTTTTTATATCGAGTATCTGCCTACACTAAATCCTGATCAGGCACTTGTATTTGTACAGAGTATCTGTTATTCCAGCAGTATTTTTTTAACATTATTTTGTTTGCTTATTTGTAGAGCACCTCCTTGATGGTCTGTTTTATGTTCTGATGTGCATATAAAACTTTACACTTCAACTCTTAACTAGAGGATTCAATGCAGTGTGTGGAGGGGCTTAGCAGAGAAACGGGACGAACGACTGTCAGTGCTTCAAGTGTCTCATGTAAAACTAACCAGTCATACTATATTTGCCGTACAGGATTGGCAAGGTAGTGTCAGCAATGTAGAGACAAAACAACAGGACTCTTTGATCCAAAATGCTGCCTCTCACACTGCTCATTTTATGACTGCTGATCTGAATTAACTTGTTGAGATTATCAGCTTGAATTGCTGATGTAGTTTAAAGAACGGCTGAGATAAGCATTGATTTGATTGTTTAGAAAGGATCAGGACATCCCTTGTAAGAAAGTTTAAGTTAATAAGCATTTCATACTGTTTCATGTTATCCTTTTCTTTCATTTACGGCTGTTCACTCTGTTATTGCACGATGTACTTTTGACTGTGTGACATTCTCTTGATTATCTCTGTCACTGAAGAAGTTGTCTTATTTGATGTGTCTCTAAAGTTGCTGACAGATCCTGAACCATGACGGTAATTACCTACTGTAGCAAACAGTGTAATGTTTAGAGCTCTATACTGTGGCAACCTGTGAGTTTTGCTGTTTGTTGTGGTTGCTATTAGTCTGCCTCCCTTGATCCTTCGATAAGTAGGTAGTGCTGGAACGTCAACTCACTCCCTTCCTTGCAGCCAAGTTCCCATCACTGCATACCAGGAGTTACAGACATGTATGAGCATGCTGCGCAAACACAGGACATAATGTTCCAGACGCATTTGGCACCTCTTTCAAATTGTTGTAGCTGTGGTCCGTATCTTTACACCACATGTTGTAGAGTGCAGCTATTGTGCCCTGTCTAAAAGACGAATAGGTTTCTTTTTATTAGAGTGTGTTTTACCCCATTCTTAGCCCCTACCCTTTAACCTAGGCTAGTGAAATGTGCTGCTTACACTAGAAAGAATAAAATGCACTTTCCACTTTGTCCTCATTATGCACTGTAGTGTGTAGTTGTGGGTAGAGGTTTGCGGAGACAGATAGTGGACATAGCCCTGTCCCTCCCCAATAGAAAGCCACTGGAGTGTTAGAGCCTCTGCTTGACAAATGAGCTGGAAATGCTGCATCCATTGATCAGTGAGATCTCTGGTCACACCTCAAGAGAGTTCCCTTCTGCAGCCCATCACTATATAGGACTTCTAGTTCACAGGGCTGCTTGCCAATGTACAAACCCGTGCACAAATACTCCCACACTCCCCTGTCATGGTTTTAAGCAGTCAGACATAACTCACTATTGCTCTAATAGATGCAGAGTCTCTTATTGTGAAGCCAAATGCAGCTTCACTCTTTTCATTTTGATACTAAGCACACAGATACAATGAGTAAATGAAGCGCAGGGCCACATCTTAGATCTTGGACTGTTGCTTTGTTTTGTTCTCTCTTAACTTATTCATTCTTTTTGTTCAGGTTGTTGGTGTTACTGTAATCCCCATCATGGTGCAGAAGTACCAGTCACCTGTGCGGGTGTACAAGCATCCCTTTGAACTTGTGATGGCGGTAAGTCTCTCTACCTTTTATTCACAGTCCGTTCTGTGTCCACATAAATATTACATCTCAATGAGGCAGAGTTATGTAATGCTGGCAGGGCGCTCCGAGGGCACTCTCAGAAAGTAGTCATTATGTTACACACCTTGCATGTGATTGGCTGACAGTTCCACAATACAGATTCTCTGGGCGGTTCGTGTTGACGTAATCTAATATCTTTGTTAAATTTCACGTGGCTAGTCAGCTATGTGCTATGTGCTCTGTTGCGGCTGTCTTGGTCTTCTGCCACCAAAACACTCGAAAAAGGAATGACTGATAAACTTTCCCAACATAAGCCGACAGAAATGTTCCTTATTCTAATGAAACAAACATCCTTGACTGCTTTAACAGTCATTGAGCGTCTTCTTTTTGGTTTAGGTATAAACATATTACTGGTAGAAGCAAACAGGCGAGTGATATCCACCGAGGATCTATGCTGTAGATAAATCTTGGTTTCGGTTCAGGTAGCCTGTGCAGAGGTCTTCCAAAATCATAATTGTACATGAAAACAATGAAGCCAGCATGCCCTGTGGTTTGTCTACAGAGTAGCATAGTTGTAGCGTTGTATTTGCAGCTTTCAAAACATCAACTACACTGAAAGACATCATTCAGCATAGACATCACCAGTGTTGTCTTCGTTGATGAAAATGTTTCATCAACACCCCTTTTTTTTCACAACGAAGACATGACGTTGATGAGCTAAACATAAGTCTTAGATGACTAAAATGTGACGAATGTGCGTTTACGTTGACGAGACGAGACTAGACAAAAACGCTAGTGGTGGACGACGAACAGAGTTGCAAAATTCATGAGCATTTCATCAGTCGGACGCTGAACATATATTCTGCAGTGTTGTTTTCGCTGAAGATGACGTTGACGAAATATTTTCGTCATCGTCAACGAAAACAACACTGGACTTCACATTGCCACCTAGCATACAGAGGGAGTATTACAGAGTGACAGGAACACTTCAGCGCAGACTTCTCACACCACCATTAATTCAAGCTTTTGTTTTAAACAAGCATATTTTATCTGTTTTATTCCTTACTAATTTTGTTTGAAAGTCCCTAAATCAAATGTGTGAAATAAAATGGAGGAGTTGTGCTCTGGAGTGTTCAAACTGAAACGAAGATTAATGGAAATAATTGGGAAGATTAAGCCGGTCACAAATTGCCACAAATACTTTGACCTATTTCTAAAAGAAAACAAACTAGCAGCCATGACTTGTGGCAGTTAACTAAACACGGATGACTAATTAGGGATGCTCCCAACCTTGCTGTTTGTGCTAGCTGCTTCTGTGTTTTCATTTTCATGGGTTATGTTATTTCTGCTGACTTGGAAGGAGGAAAGGCTTTTGTTGAGGTGATTACTGTGCCAAGCAGCATAATCAGGTCTAAATGGAGCGCTGCTGTTTGCAGTGAAAGAACTAGTGCATATTATGGGTGCCCCTGTTTGGACCAAAGTGTAGACGCCCAGAGTACTCAAAGGGTCATATGATTTGCATTGTTGATGGTTTTAGTTTGGATGGAGATTAGTTCTGGAATATTTCTTTGATGCTTACTTGTACGAAGATCACTGGATCCAAAAAGTAGTGAGGGTATCTCCTTCTATCACACAAACTGCTAGAATTACTTTTTGTTTCACAGTGTGTACTGTTCACTTCAAGCTTTACAACCTGTACATTTTATACTGAACTGTTGAGCTGTTGTGCTGTACAACTACACCCTTAGAGTCAGAATGTACAGTACAGCTGTGCTGTTATGTCAGACAGTGGTTCCACCACATACTCAGCGGGGGAAGTCCATTTGATGTGTAAAAAATTCAGTGCCTTGCTTTCCTTTCAGTAGCTACATCGCTGCATGTGTTAATTCATTCCTGTGCTGTTGAGTGCAGAAAGTGTCTGTAAAAATGTCTCCTTCATTACAGTTCGCTCTTCAAAAAACCTGTCCACAAGTTCTGTTCTTTTAGAAAACACCAGCTTACAGTATGATGTCCTGTATTATTTCAGGGTTTGTGACAAAAGTGCTCCTGTACGATAATAAGCTGCTAGGTTTCCAGGATTGTACAGTCACCAAATTGATGCTTTGGAGATGGATACTTTCCCAGTGGTGTTTTGATCCCATGTGCTCTTTGTGGTTGTGCAGTCACATAACATTACTTAGTCCTCGCATTATACGACCGTCCATTTTACCCGGCATTAGAGGTGTTATGGCCATGCTATATATAAGAGGAATTCATCACACTTTCTATTTTTAATAGCATTGAATTCAGATCAGCAGGAAATGAGTAAAGATCAAATTTCTTTTTCATTCTGTAACAAGACGGGAGCTCTGCGGGTCCCAGACAGGTGCTGTTTCCTTCAACTGGGAATCAGCTTGTACTCCAGCAACAAACAGGATACAGGAAGAGTAAATCTTCTTAGCACAGAATGGATTGAGCACAGGGGGAACAGGTTGCTATAAATAGAGGGTCGGTACCTATACACAAGTTGACACATGCAGTAGAAACAGAGTATAGTGATAGTAACATCGCAGATTTAACATGAATTGTGAATCTCTTTTTGGGATTTTGTTGAGTAAAGCTAACTTTACTATGTGTTGTTAAACTAAGCGAGCAACCAACAAGGTTTGCTTTAAATGTTGATGACAAAAAAATTTTTTTGTGTGTGTTTGATGCAACAACTGTTACATCAAAAGGGAGAGGTGGTCATAGTTTTTAATGCAGTTAGACTCTTTTTGCTCCCTTTGACTGTTCCCTGCAGTGAGTATTTTTGCAGACACTGCAGAGCAGACTTCATGGTGCGTCACAACACTTACAACACTTACTCGCTCTCTAAGCTGGAACGCAGTGAAATCTTTCCCCTTTCACTTCCTCTTTAGCTGTTTTGCCATTGCGGCAAGGGAGTGTAAAAACATCCTGCATTTGTGGGAAATGATCAGAGAGTATTGACACTCTCTCTATGGTGTTAGGAACAAATCAGCTTCTTGATTTCAAGACCACTTCCACTCTTAAAGTTGCAGACAGCGAATGTGTGGCGCTGGAGTGCAGGCAGAGTACTTCAACATAATAGGCAAATGACTATTTTGGTTTTATCTATAACCTTGTTGTTCCTCGCTTCAGTTCCTGTGTCAGAGGCATCTGTAGGGGGATTATATTTGATGTTGTGCTTTGAGGAATTTAGTGATCTCTCTCCACTTGACACTGTTGTTTGGGCACTGTCAGTTTTTCCAAATAGTCATTTACTCCACTGGGGTTAAAAAGCAAGGCTCTACATTCCTCCGTGCTTTAAACGCATTCTTTAAGCCTCTGTGAGATAAAACCTGTCTTGACTTGGCCTCGAGGAGCCAGGCAACAGGCTGACAGGTGCTATAAAAGTTTTTCAACCTCTGCCGTACACGACTGTGTTAGAATCCGCTGTTGCATAAGTCAGACTTGGATCACTGATGCCCTTCAGATGTTTTTGTTCTGCGATGTTACCCTGCTTTGAACCTGGTAGGCTCAGCATTCCCAGTGAGGACACCTTTTTTATTGAGTGGGTTCAACACAGTGCTGAAAGAACAACCAGATGAGTTTTTGAAATGTTTCACTTTTCTTCTTACTGATCTGTCTTAACAAGTAATCAAGTTAATTTATCTGAATCACGTTACTTGTTTGTTGCCAACATTGTGAACACCTTAAAAAAAGCTAATTGACTTGGTTTTACAGACAGGTCCTAACACAGATTCTGGCAGTTTGGAGTTTTGAAAGGGTTCCTCCCATGCTCTGTGGCAGCCTGGCTAAGTCCACACAGATACAAAAACAATTTTTCTTTCTTCTTCCATCTTGAAAATAATCTGTCCACACCCGAGAAATAATTGAACATTAAAGCCCAGAAACAGTAAGAAACACTGTTTTGACTGTGAGACAATTCGTATTATCGTGTCAATCCCACAGCTGATCTGTCAAAATGAAATCCATGTGAGTAAAATATAACATGTATATATTGATTAGGGCTGGGACAATATGCTTTTTCTCAATTTGATTCTTCTACGATTTTTTTGGATGCCTATTCCGTTTAAATTGCGATTCTATGATATTGTCAATTTTCTCAATATTCAGTCTGCATTTTTGACACCAGTGAAACGGTTGAATGATTATGATTGTCTACTGACTATTCCAGGAACCATATTTCCCCCAAAAATACACATCACATGTAAAAAAAAAAAAAAAAGTGAGATTAATTCTTAAATTTGAAAAAAAAACAACAATTTTTTTGTTCAAAAATCGATTTTTTTTTAAATTGTAAAACAAAAAACCACGATACTTATGTGAATCAATTTTTTCTCCCACCCCTAATATTTATGTACTCTGCTGTCATGTATGGATTTTTTTAGCCTCTGTGCAGGGACAGTAAAGATATAATGAATGCATGAACACATAAACAAGGGATATCCCGACATCGATATCGGATATCTGTCCGATATTTGCAAAAATATGAACATATTATATTGGCCTGCATCTAAAATCATCAATTGCTGAAATAAGTTGTATGCATTAAGGACAGATTTTACCGCAGAGACTTATAAGGTTGAGCAGCAGGCGGGTTTTGCATTCATTGAGCATATCATAAAAGTGTTGAGTAATTTAAATGTTATTTTTGCAAGTCACTCACACCACCAGGATTAAAGCCGCTGAATAAGGCCACGATACCTCAGGCCAGGTAACTGAGATGCAGAAGCCTTAATCAGACCTGCTCATAAGTGGGTCAACAAAAAGCGGGACAGGATATTAACCTGGCTGAACTGCTCCGTGCTTAGCCAGGATAGATGGAACACCCGGATTAGTCAAGTTCAGCTTAGCAATAAACAAGCATAAGAGAATTTGTCTGACACACGCCAAAACGTGCCATAAGTGATCCACATACAGGTATTAGGGCACAAGGAGAGCACAGTAACCCACGGCTTCAAGTTTGAGCTTTTAATACAACAGGAAAGAACAAAACTGGCCAAAAAAATAATCTTTCATTTAAACGTGTTTTTCTTCAAGCATGAAACGTGAGCTCTGCTGCACAAAAGCAGTTTCAGTGATTTTATCTCAGCAAACAGGCAAAACAGACACACATTTACAGGAAGCATGAGTTGAATATTTGATTTTGCATGAGTGACGCTCAAATTAATTTTTAACATTTTCTGTTATCAGCTCTGATCTGATGGAAAGGACACAGCATCAATAAAACACAGTCAAACACAGTTTCAGTGATGAGGGCTGTCAGGTTCAATTTGTGTTCAAGATTCTCGTTCAAACACTTCACTGTTTCACAACTGGTCCCATTTCCATCTCTCAATAAAAATCCCCACACATATAAAGCAACCGAACTGTGACGTTAATAAGCGCATGCGACCCTGGATTACAGAAAACAATCATTTTCTGTATTAGACTGGTGGCCTCATTAACAAGCCTTTGGCAGCAGCTCGATCTGGAGCAAACAACAAGTTCCAGACTGTCTGAGAGGGAGGCCCTGTTGTGTTCACCTCAGTGGAACGTAATGCACAGGCCCCATAGAAAGAAAAACACAAAAATTCAGTGAATCTGGAATTTTACCATTGTCGCCCAGAGGCTACTGTACTGGCAGCCTCAGCTAAGCCTCGTAAGTGGCTAATGCAGTCTAGGTCACTTGCGCTCTCTCCCTTTCATTGCCTTCTGTTTTGTCTCTCCTCTTGGTTTCATCATCTTATAGCCTTAATCTGTTAAATGTTTAAAATGATGAAGCCTCTTGGTCCAATATTCAACCGCCGAAGGTTCAGTTGACTGATGAAATGACTCCTGATTTCTATTCGGAGACATCCACTTTACATTGCAATACTCTAATGACCTGAAAACATTCAGGATCTCTGGCATATTTGATAAACGCTGCTGCCATTAATAAAAAAAGAAAAAAAAAAGGTTAAGCCACTAAGAAGGAAATGTCCCTTGTCACTAATGGTGCCAACAAGTCCAGCAGGCATTAAGCTATTAGGGCACATCCTGTTCCTTCGCCTGTAGAAAGTCTAGTGGAACAGGGCAGGACCAAAGCGTTTTGTCCTCATGGATTAGCCACACACCCATACATTTCCATGGGGCAGGTCAGGCTAGGGTAGGCTTTGCATCTCTTAATACCGTCTCTCTGCAGCATGCGTACTAATCTGGGGCTTCAGGAATAGTCATTGTCTTTAAGGCTAGACCACAACAGGCAGTAGTGAGTTGGCTGTTATTTACTATTCTAGGAGGAGGCCGTTTTTTTAGTTTTCTCATGGCTACCGGAGTCATTCTTCTTCTGTGGATTTGTTACAGAGGCAACTGTCCCTTCAGGCCCCGAAATAACAGCGAGAGGGTTATTGTGTCGTGCGTTTGGCATTCCTCTGTGACTCCCTGAGGACACACTGGAGGCTCTGAAGCTAGACTGCTGCGATAATGGCAGCAGCAACGCTTCCTGTTATTGAGATGCAGCAGCACACTCGAGGGACGCCTGTGGCCGAGGGTGATTAAAAAAAAAAAAGAACAAGCTGCTGTACTTCCTTAGTTTAGTGACATACACGCCCCTCAACAACAACAGAAAAAGGTCAGCGTTCTGGAGTGATTAGAAGGTTATGAAAGTCAATACCACACCAGTGGCTTTCTGTGTTTCTGGGCCGCTCAAACACACCCAGTTGACATTTGATGCAACACATGCATTTGTGACCAAAAACTATGGTTGACCAAGTTAGCTTCATCTGTAAGAGAGGTTCAGTTTCCAGTTAGGTTACAAACTGAAAGTGCTGCGGTGTGTTTTTCACTCTGGCGGCACGATTCTATTCTTGTCCGCTCCTGTAAGAGCTTTTCTCTCTGGTGACATGCGATCCTCCACATCAGGCACTAAATCACTTAGTGGAGTAATTCAGTGCCATCTTAATTAAGTACCTCATGTAACTCTGCAAAATCTCTCTGTCAGGCTTGTGATCACTGTGTCAATCTCAAAGCGCCTCACAAGCCACAATGAAAACAACACCTCCTAAATGCAACACCATCCAACGGCACAAGAACTATGACTGGAGCTCCGGCCAACAAAGAATTTAATTGTAAAATCAAATTCAGCTGTTCAATATTAATGTTTGTTCCTTCTTAAATACTTTGTGGTACACCAAATTTCCTAATCAATCTACAGCGGCCCTCAAAAATGTGATCGAGCTCAGACTTAAAACTGCGTGAATGAAAGAAGTCAACTGAATTCGAATCAAGGATTATCAATGCAAAGATGAAAATCAATCAATTCATTCAAAAGTCGAAACTTGAGCATATGTAGATGTCATTCTTAGTGAGGAACAAATGAAAAAGAAGGTTGTAGAGAGCCAACTGTCGCATCCTTGAGGGCAGCTAAAAGACCCTCAATAAGGATGCACACAAAGTTCTTCTGTGGAGTTTGGTCTCACACGTTATTGCCATCCACTGATATGGAGTGTTTATGGAAGGGGTGTCCCGATACAACTTTTTATTTCATGTACGATTCCGATATTGTTGCCTTCAGTATTGGCCAATACTGATATCGATCCAATATAGCACAAACTTGTGCACGACAAGTTTTGCACTCAGCTGCAACATCTTTTTCAGACTTTAACGAAAATTACTGCCACACGGCCAGCATCACTCCTACTGCTTGCTACTTTGTTAGAAGGGCTGCAGCTATAGAATATTTTAGTAATCAAGTAATCTACCGAATATTCCATCGATTAATCGGCTAAAACATAATTTTTTAAAATTAAAGTGCAATTATTAATATACCAGAAAAAATAAGATATGTAACCTAATAATAAACAATCATTTTCCTTTTTTAGAAACAAGGAACGCAGAAAAAGTGTGTGTGGTAGCAGATTGAAATGTTCGTAATAAAGCTAATTATGATATTATCTTTCATCATGCTCCTAAAGACATTAGTGTCTGAGAGCTGAATAGCTCCTATGTTACCTGCTTCTGCTACCACACCGCTAATGTTAGGCTGCAAGCTAGCATGAAGAGAAGTGTGCAGAGCAGCGCTGTCTCTGCCTACGACTCTGAGGTGAATTGCTAATGCGCTACGTGAGCTTTGCAGACGACAAGCCTGCTCTCTTCTTTCATGTTTCCCGCTCCGCAAAACCAAAACAGCGCATACTCCTCCTTCTACCGTGGTGACGTAAGCAAATTGTGTCACCTTGAAAATAATCTGAGCGAAACCGTGACGATTTGAGTTTATAAATGAGTGCTTGAGGCAGAGAAAATTCATTTTTTGTAATCGAGGTACTCAAGGTACTCGAGGAACGATTTCGGCCTTATTTGTTAGTATCACTGTTGTTGTGATTACGTGGGCTTTGCATGCTGGATCTGGCCGCTGCTAGATAAGGGTGCCGGAGCGGAGTCTGGAACTGGACTGCTCAACCTTATAAGTCTCTGCGGCAAAATCTGTCCTTACTGCACAGGACTTATTTCAGCAATCAATGTGCGAAGGCTTTGATCAGAAACATCTAAATTAGGTATATCTGTTTACTACAATGTCTCACAGTTCAATAGAATCAGAAGAAAAAGCACTTCAGCTACCAACAGCTACACTCAAACCTTGAAAAATAATATCTGCCTTTTCATATTTGGAGGGGGGTTTGGATGGAGAAGCATATCAGTACATACATTACCTGCTGTATTGGCTGATAACATACTGTTTCCTCATTTACTGTCTGCAGCATTGCACCTGCCTGTTTTGGTTCAGAGAATTTCCATCCACTCTCTGAATGAATCTGTCAGAGCTCTGCCCGCAGTGTGTAATTCACTTACTCGGCAAGATGCTGTTCGCCAAAACCAGTGAAGAGTTATTGGCTGCCTTGGGAATGGGTGGGGGTGGGGGTGGGGGTTTATCATCCCATTTGCTGCGGGAAACAGCATTGATAAAGAACTGCACCATCTTCACGTGACTCTGGCAGCCTATGAGAATATTCTGGAGCCGATTTCATTCACCGATCACTAAGACACTCATTCACCCTCTTTTCCTGCTGCAAGGTCGAGATGCTGCTCCCTTCCCCCCATTCTGTCAGACGAAGATGAATGTGTGCGCACATACCCTTACACAATGACCCTGTACCGTAGTTTACACTGCATATAATGAAGTGTGGCCATGAGGCAGTGACTCACATCTATGCGGCAGCTTTGTGGCAGTAATTTAATATGTGCGGTGTGATTTAACAACTTGTGTGTCTGCTGACTGTTTCTCTTTTATTCTATTTTGTAAAAAGCTGTAATAATCCACATACTGCTTTAAAATTACGTCTTGTTGTTCTTCAGATTTGTATGCCTTTTCACATGCCCCTCTGTGCAGAGAAATCCAGTCATCTCTTAAGCGATGAGGCATCAACCGTCAGTGCCTTCCTCCCTTACTGTCACCTTTTTCGACCATTTCACTGCTTTTACCTCAACCTTAACCGGGAAAAGCTGAGACGCCTGGGAATCTCGGGCATCATTGACAGAAAGCACAAAAAAAAAAGGTTGCCATGGCAGATGAAGTAACTGAATGTTGCAATAGTGGTGGCAGAACAGGCTGCGATAAATATGAATTACCAGCACTTCTCTTTCCTTTACTGTAAAGCAGGATGTCAGCAACTTACTGTAACACTCTCCTGAGGAATTCTCAGACTCAGCATCTATTCAGTAGTTGGTGCTGCAAGGATAACAGTGAAACTGTCAAGTGTGGCTGTACATCAATGTACTGAGTTGATCATATTGACTGTTAGATTGATTGATAAGAGTGCTCATACTCTGGTCCGTAAAACCCATTCCAGTTTTCTGTTAGTACATGAGGAACAGCATAGATCTTGTCAAAGGAAAAGGCTGTTTTTACAGGATGTAGCCTTATTCAGAAAGTGACGTCTAAAGTCCTTTTTACCTGTAAGTTTTCTTAGGCTGAGCATTAAGTGTATAATTTTCTAAATGTCAGGGTAGGGAGTGAACTCGGTGTAGGAGTGAATAATTTATGACGCACGCTGTAGCTTATGTTATTTTTGCGAGCACAGTATGTACCAATTGTCAAGCACAGCTTGAATGTTCACACTCGATGGGTAAAATCTCGATAAAGCTTGGACATTCTGTAACACTTTCCCTCATTAGAGCATCTTGCTGAAAAATTAAAGGAAGAGTGCATGACTTCAACATTATCTGTTATGCACAACAATCAGCTTTCTGAATTTTCAACAAAAACTGGGAAAGTAAGCACTGACGGTAGAGCCATGTTATTGGATTGCATTAGTTTGTTCAGGTGACCATTATGTTTTGACCAGTAGGTGTGTCGGTGTACATTTCAGTTGACCACGACAGAGAGTAGAGTAGAATACAGGGATGCACCGAACCGATATTTGGATTGGATAATCGGCTCTGATATTGACAAATTAACTGGATATCAGATGATCCAGCGTTCTGATCCACTCTTTTTTTTTTCTTTTAATTAATTTTTCTTTCAATACATGGAAGTCTTACTTCTTCTTGTCGTGTGCAAATTGTTATTTGTTAATAAATAATATTAAGTAAATTTATATTAATTTGTTACCTTTGTTTAACAAAGCTAATGTCCAACCTGATGCCTTCTCTCACAGGGCAAGGTATACAGCTTATTTATTCAATAGTAGTATTGGATTGGTATCGGTTATCGGCCGATATGCTCAGCCCAGGTATCAGTATCAGATTGGACTGGAAAAACTGGATTGGTGCATCTCTAGTAGAATACGAGTCTTTGTCTTGACTTCAGTAATAGTTTCATTAGTAAGCTCTCCAGTATGTGGCTCATTTTGTTATTTTCATCCCTGTAAGGGTAACGGTAGGTAAATTAGGAAATGTTTTTCGGGTGTTGCCACCTTGTGACAGACAAATTGCAACCTCAGCTACTTGTCAGGACAGGACAGAGATTTAATAACCTAGTCAACCAAATATGTCTGGCCTCCAAAAATCAAGTGAAGGTGGCAAAAAATTATGAAATGTAGTGGCGACATATTCAAACGTCAAGTCTGTGTGCGAGACCATGCGGGCAGTTTTGAGAGATATTATCTAAAAAGATATCGTTGATCACACACAGTGTTTAGTTCCAGCTTGATGGATGGAGGAGCTCTGTGGATGTGATAAGTGCCACTGAAAGGTTGTTTTGTTATCGTAAGCAAATTCCATACGCAAATCAAATCATGTCTCAGCTCATAACCTTGATTTTAATGAACTCCCCGTTCAGTGTACTTTGACAGTTTTGTCTTCGTAAGCTTTACAACAGCTAAAATGTATACAGTTCAGCTTTTTGTTTTACTGTGATGGCGTTTTGATAGCCAACAGATGGCTATCCTGCTGTCTCTCCTAACACACATCAAACCATGCTTGCATAACCCAGCACCACAGTTCAGCATATTGCATGAATCACCAAATATTCAGATCCTTACGTTTATACAAGGGCTGTGGACTTGGCAGATTGTCCCCCGCCTCTGTTCTTCGAGTTGGTAGTCCCATGCAGTTCTGCCATTACAATGTGCTGTGTAGCAGTGAGAACACCAGAAGGAGAGAGGTGGGTGGTATGGCATGCAGAGACCAAGGCCTCTATTGTTGCATCTGCTCAATCAGGAGCTTGTTCACTCCTACAGTGCATCCAGCTAACACCTACGCTCATACACCGTTGGACTTGACGGGTGGAAGATTTTTTGATTTTCCCTTTCTCTTAGCGGGGCCGCGGCTACTACCAATGACAGGCTGTGCCACCGTTCACCTACATTCTCATTTCTTTGTCTTTTGTTTTGACAGCAATCCAAGTATTACATAACTTAAAAGCTTTGGAAATAACAAAGCACTGTACTGATGGATTGTGAGATGTTATGTGTTCGGCTGTTTGGCAAAGCAACAGGGAACTGTACGTCTGGAAGATCTTTATATGGAACTTTTCCTATGAGTGTTTTCATTTGCTCAGACCCACATGAGCAGCTCCCTATTCAAATCCTTCATCTGTACACAAAAAGTAACATGAGTCATCGTGAAAGCAGTCCTGCTGGAAAGCTAAATGGACCAGACTGCCATTGTTCAAGATTGTAAGGATGGTGGGAACAGCCGTGAATGTTGCTGTGGAATCGTTTTTCAAAGTCCCACTCCGATCGTTTTTTTTTTTTTTTAATTATTTCAAGTGTTTTCAGTGGTCGTTAAATTGTGATTATAAAGTTTTTAGCCAAAATCACGTTACCTGTGTCATTTTCAAGGGCTTTTCATCTGCAGAGCTCTAGTAGATCATGACCAATTCACCTCTGAGTCGTGGGTGGAGACAACACTAGTTTGCAGCTTAACATTGCTGGTGTAGTAGAAGTGTCAGGTGATTTATGAGCTATTCAGCTCTCGGACACTAATGTCTTTGAGGGGATGATGAAAGCTAATATCATATTTAGCTTTCTTTCGAGTAATTGCAATCTGCAAACGCACATGCTTGTTCCGCGATCGTCCTCTCTACTTCTCCAAGTCTGGCCCATTAAGCGACATGCAATTTTGTACCTACTTTGGGTACAAATTGCAGGAAAGGTTTCTCATTCTCTCTCTGGTCACCTTTAAAGGTGTGACCTTCTCCATCTTTGTACCCTGACAAACCGGTACAGCCTATCTGGTGTGTAACCTGCAAATCTGCATGCATTGAGAAATCTCCCATTAGCATTTTACAGCAGAGCCTCCTTAAAGTTTTTTATACTTCCTCGTCTTGCATTTTAGTCACACGCTGAATTTCCAAGCTGCCTGCTCAGTAACTTTCCTCCTGCTCTCCCCCTTCATCATCCATGACCTAGTTTGAAATTTATAGCTGCTCTCTGAAATAAAAACCAGGAGGCCTTTTCCTCTCCAAATGCCCCTCTCTATATCTCATCTCATGTTCTCTAACCTGTTCACCTTAAACTGTGTAAACAGACGCCTGACAGAGCATCTGCGTCAAGACCATTATTTACAGAAGTCGGATGTGTGTCTAAGACAACCTGTCTCCTGAATAAACCGGAATGTATCTCTCCTTCGACAGCAAACCAATGCGGGAGAGGACGCTCATCTGTAGTCTAGGTCTTGGAGACTAATGTGTCCACCAGAGAACATCCGACTGTCCTCTTTAGAAAGCAACTTTGAACTCATAACTAAGTCACTCTAATGAAGTATTGGCATGCAGACAATGCCCCGACATAAACCAGTCATGTAGCCAAGCTCATGTTTGATTTCCAGCTTCTGTAGTGACGTCCTCGTCACGTCCAGGATTGCCTTGGGTGATGGGCGGGAACTCATAATGATTTTACCGTGAAACGTGGCTGAATGATGTCATAGGCTTGGCTGCAGCGGCTCACTCAAAGCCGGGTTTGTTGGTATCATGACGTCATGTGGGTGGTGTTTGCGCATTTGTTATACAATATGTGTTGGGTCTTTTTCATTAAGTATTTGAAAGCAGCTTAAGAGAGAGCCTCTCTGATGGAAGAAAAAACATCCTGTTGTCTGACAGTGAGGCTCACTTATTTGTTCAACTGCAGGTACTGGAACAATTCAGAGGAAGTTTTGTGTTTCAGGAAGCTTGGCATTTCTGAATGGATTGTAAACAGATTGCTCTTAAAGAGCATTTTTTTCTAGTCTGACTAATCAAAATCCTTTCTACACTTTCATTCACAGACGAGGGGGTTCTTGCATTTGACTTTAGAGAAATATATCAATTGTTTGGTGGAAGTTTGATGTATGTCAACCTGCCATCACACACCCCAAACGTTGGAAAAGGAGAGGATTAGTGTACCTCATTTTACCTGAAGACAACGCAGGATCCATCAGCCAAAAGCTAGCCAAAAACCTCATTAACAACCTCAGTAAATAAACAGAGCAGTGAATGGCAAATATGAAGACTGCATAACAGTGACAGTGAAACAATGACACCCCTCAACTACACTTAAAGAAACAAATTACTGCCCCAAAAAAGTACTGGAGGACCCTCAGCGAGCGTGACTCATGGAAGTGAACCTCCTTTGCAGCAGACTTTAATTTCAGTGCCCCAAAAAATCTAGTTTTTTCATTTTTTGATTACATTTTTTGGATGTTTAAAAACTTTTTGGCTATTTTGCAGTTTAATTTGACGTAACCTTCGAGTCATCCTTGTTAAATATGTTAGTCTTAGCCGCTGCCCGACTGTAATGTTCTCGCTTTCCTGCCAGCTGATAAAAATAGCAGAGGTTGACCTCTGGGCGGCTGCTGTCTCTATTACATAGCCGTTTTCATAATCTCCAGAGCTTTTTTTTTTTTTTCAGTCCAAGAAAATTTCCTCTTAACCATAGACCGCCCCACATTCCTCTTTGACAATTGACATAATAAGACATTGCATAAAACAATATTCATCAAACCCAGAAGGTCTGGAGCTACAGGATAATTGGTTGATTCTCACAAAAGTGTGTTTGCGGTCTTTTGTTGCAGTCGTTGACACTGTCGTTGATATTAAACGATTTAACTTGGAAACTTCTCCTCCCAAAAACATGCACCGTCATGCTCAGTTCATGTCTTCTGTATCTTGCTGTAGTTCCAGTGAAAAGCCGCACACTGATCGAAAAAGTTGCATCAGATTTCTGTTATGTTGCAACAGCTCTTTCTTGAGCTGAGGGTGTTCCTCTCTGAAACAAGTCCAGCTATGTTGTTGTTCCATACTGCAACACATAGCTTCTCTAACTGCTGACACATTCCTTCTCAGGTTCTTTTAGTGTTGAGTGACATAAAGGTCTACTTATAGAGTGAGGAAATTGTATAGTTTTGAACTATCACTTTTTTGTGCCGTAAATATCAGTTCATTCCTTACGTGCCTACAGTTCTCTGGGATAGTCTGTTGCTGCTGTAGCCACTAGACTCTTTACCTAATCTCTATATCACAGTAATGAACAGATTGAATTCTATGATTACAACCCATTCAGTTTATCATTAACAACTTTTTTTTCCTTTAAACTGAGTCACATTTAAAAGAAAATTTGCTCCTTTGCAATTTTTCAGAGACCTAAAATGAGTCCATTAATTGTTTGAGCGACTTATTCTGTAGCTGCGCTTTATTTGTCAGGTGCCGTATTTGCCTCGAGTTAAGTTGAGATGACAGTTTAGTTACGGTACTGGAGTTTTTGTTAATAAGATTACTGAATAATCACTCTGACCTCTTTTTCTTACCTGTTTCTTTGTGGGATTGTGCACATTTTTTTTCTGACTTTTCTTAAATGCCAAAGAAAATCGTTGGACAGCCTGCCAGCTCTCTTGTTTTCTTGCCCAGTAGAACAAGTACAGGCACCAGCCACCCCTTGAAGACTTGGGATGTAATATGCGCCGCCTCAGAGTCTCTGGATTTTCTGAAACACCCTCTCTGAATTAAATAGGACATGTTTCTTTATTCACGTAACCGTTTATCCATATGGAAAATGTGTTCAGTGTAAGCAGGAAAGGACTGAGTCACCATGTATTGTTTTGATTGTTTTCTCCGGCACTTGAAGTCCCTAGCCACATTCCAGGAACTAATACTCAATGTTCAGTCATTTCAAGTGTTTCTCGACATATCCGGTCACCATAGAGACTGTAGAGCAACATTTTAGCCATCTTTCAAACACATGTAACACAGCTGTCTCATCTAGGCTGGAAACTTTCAGAGGTTATGTATTATTGTATTATTCACTGCTTTACTTTCCGGAGCGTTGGGGTGGGAAAGGTGAATATTTACTTTGATGGAGTTTGGTTACCATGTCTATTTTGGGTTGATGAGGCACCCGTGTCTGGTCTTTACTTCACAGACAAAAATCAAGGCTGCTTTTGATGTTTAATGAAACGAATAAAGCATACAGCGAATGTCTGTGGAGCTTTACCATCGCAGTTTAATGTGAGTCTGAAACTATCATCTGTGCTAGAAACCACTAGATTTATCGCCTGTGTTTTCTTCTCGGAAATTATTTTAACATAGTGCCTCAACACAACATTCCAAGTTCTGCTCTCTTCCAACACTGTTTGCTAACGTCACACTTTATCAATATAGACCTGAGTAAATGCCAAATGACCTGGATATTGACTCTGTGGTGTTATTTTATTGCGAGTAGTGAGTCAGGTGATCCTTTTTAACACGACTCGTGACTGAGAGGGAGTGTTTAGTGGAGTGCCAGCGGAGGTGAATACAGACAATATCCTGTTAAAGGTTAGTTTATTGTTCAAGAGGAACTGTTATGTTGAAGTGCGTTGACTTGAACCGGTTTTTGTATAAACAGCGCCAAACCGAAAGTGAGACGATACCGGTGAACCAGTGTGTCATACGGAGAATTAAAGTTGTTAGTGAGGTGCAGAGAGCGATGTGTCACAAGTTTCTTTGTTTGAAATTTGGATGAAACAAGATCCTGGAAAAAAAAACAGAGACATAACTTTATCGCTGTCTTCAAATCCACAGAGATCTCAGTGTTCCTGTGTTCTGTGTTGATGTTCTTATAAATGCACAGACTGAGCACTCTGATGTAGACCACGGCTGAACAGCACATCTGCCACACCAGATGAAATCACTGCATGATCAAACTGAACAAGCTTACATACTTTTCCAAAGTTTTCCAGAGAATTGGAGAAAAAAAAAACACTTGCCTTTGTATCCCGGAAAAAACCTTACTCATATCAACAGTTTTTTTTCTTACTCTGTTAAGATTATGTTTAAAAGCTTAGTTTTGTCAGACATGAATCATACTGAAAGTGATCCAAGAGAGAGCTGATGAAGCTACTACAACAGATTAAGCCTGTGTGGACTTCATGGAAATGTAGAAGTTTGGGTTCAGGTGTGATTAGTTCATGAGTTCAGTTCAGGTAAAGTATGTTGACACTGTAACTTGCAATGAAAGGGAAGTTACACCACTTCCTTTTTATAGGATAGTATCATTAGATTACCATGCCACTGATAGTGATTATGGAGCATGATCTAAGCATGATACCTGTAAAAAAAAAAAAATTAAAAAAAAAGTTTTTTTGGAAAAGTATATGCAGTTTGATACAATAGCAACAAAAAGCATCTCCCAAAATAGTCTTGTTTATCATTTTTAATTTCCAACCAGCCCACAGTTCAGTGTTGTGTGGAGAAAGTCACAGAGATCAACAAAGACATACCGTAAATTAGATCATTGTTATATTGGATACTTGTTTGAAGTTGATCTTTTCGCACAAAGACTGCTTCAGCACATGATACCAAAGACTACACAGGCCAAAATGCTCACTCTGATTTCATCTAAAAGGTACTTGAGCTTAAGTGGTATTCTGTAAAACTTGAGTTGCACTGGTTATGAATTTTCTGTGACAGAGATTTGATTTTCCTGTCTCAACAGATAAACCCTGTGTTTTGTATGGTATGGAGGATGTCAGTAGAAAGCAGCAGTGATTCTTTCTGACCAGGCATAGTATTTGTGGTTGAGTTTGTTGTTGATGAGCAGTTGTTTGTGTGGGTGAAACTGATGTTTTAGAGCCAGTGATGCTGATGGCAGTACAAAGCCTTGCGTCCAGTGTTCCAGATCAGCAGGGCAGAAAAACAGAGCTCAGCATTCACTCAGTCAGTGGACACTGGGCAGCTGAGTGGCTCGGTAGCGCAGGCAGTGGAATGCCAGGAGCTGCTGATCGTTCACACACAAACAAGCTCAAACTGGCAGAATTACCCGGCAAATCAAATCAGGAGGAAAACCTTCTTCCAGAGAGTTGGGACATTATGATTGTTGGTTTGCAGATTATTTAAACCCTATATTCAATGAAAGATATTGCAAAGACAACATATCTGAAAGACGGAAGATAGAGGTGTGACCCTTGATTTAGTTTTTTTTTTTTTTTTCCCTGATTTTCTGTCAGATGGAGATGCACCACATGTGGTCTCATTACATTCAGTTTAGGGCTGGGCAAGCAGTTTGAGCAGTTTACCTCGATAACGATAAATGGACGATAACTACTCCACAAGCTGCGAGATTTAGAGATTTAGATGTAGTGCCTTTGGTGTCCAAAACAATGTCACATTTTGATCCATGTGGCGATGGAACAATTTTCCACTTCATCTGAGTTACCCTTTGTTAATAAGGACTCACTTCTGAATAAATGATTATCACTGGAAGTTTTTCGCCGAAGGAGCAAACTGCACATATCATTAGCTTTGGTTAGAATATCGGGCTGCATCTCTCTCTGTTGTGCTTTGGGAATTTCTGTTCTCTTGCTGCTCACTGTAGCTCCAAGACAAATAGGCAGTCGTATGCTCGGGAGAACACAGCTCCTTTATTAGCGAGGCTCAGCTGACACCAACTGGGCTGACCCCAAAAAGTCTTGTGAGCAGCACTCACCTTTTTAGTAGATCTGGAACAGTTTGTCCCCATGCTCATCTGTTAGAGACACTGCATATTTTCAGCCTGTGCCTCACCTCTGACTGAGATTTGTAATTGATAGGCCGGCTCTGCTACCTCCATCTTTAAGCCAGACACGGCTTACAGTCTCTCTTTTCCTCTCTTGTCCCAATTCAAATATTAAAAGTACATAACTGCTTTGATTTACGGTGTTACGATTGTTTCATTGCTGGTCAAAACTGAGGTTGCTTTTGCAGCGATCCCCACAAGCTCAGCATCGTGCCTCATTTCATAATATCATGACCATCCGTCAGTTTGCTGTCGACTCACCAGTCTGGTTTCATGTTTGGACTTTCTTGTTTTGTAACGATGCCATTCGAGTCATGGATGAGAGAAATCTAGCGATAAAGAGAAGGAAGGAGCGGGTGCTGCTTGTTGTGCTGGCCGTGGCCCAGTTACATAACAGCTGGCCGGCCTTTGCATAAGCGCTGAGCTTGTCTGTGTTTTGCATACATGAGAACTGATCATTTGCAGACGCATTGCTCCTGGACACAGTGACACGTGTTGCGTGCTGAGAGTCCTTTTTTTTTTTGTTAAAAAAATTAAAGGACTCTGAGTCAGGATCAAATTGAGAAGTTGCTCAGCTGAAGTGAGGCCTTTTAAAAAGATGCGAAGTTGAAGGTGAAGTTTTTGTTTGCAGAAACAGTTGTCTTGGGTTCGCTGCAGTTCTCAGAGGGATGACACTGAATCTGTCAAAACTTAATTTCCTTTTTTCCAGCTGGTTTGACTCAAGTAAAACCTAAAACGTCAATGATTTCCAGGTTAGAAAGCTCTTCACTGATACACCGATTTTGTTCCCCCTTTCCTCTTAGGCCTATGAGCGCCGCTTCCCCACTTGTCACCTTATCCCCATGTTTGTGGCCAGTGATGTGGTGAGCGAGGAGACCAACGAGGATGGTTCCTCCCAGAAGATCGAGCGCCGCTGTGCCCTGGACGTCGACGCCCCGCGGCTGCTCAAAAGGGTATATTGCATTTGTTCAGTACCATGTACAGAAACTTTTAAAGTTGTCGTGCATCACTTCGTGACTTTTAACACAAGATATTCTCTCTCTCTGTCTCTCTTTTACTCTGTTTCTCTCACTCCCTCTCTCTTTCTTTCTCTCTCTGTCTGTCCCTCTCTCTCTCTCTCTCTTTGTGTTTGTGGTTTGCAGATTGCTGGTGTGGACTATGTCTACTTCATCCAGAAGAACACGCTGAACAGGAAGGAGAGGACGCTTCACATCGAGTCCCATAATGAGACCTTCTCCAACAGGGTGATCATCCATGAGACCTGCTGCTATTCGGTTAGTAGTACGCATGCTTGTGTTGTGGAGTGCGTGCTGTTAACCTAAAACAGCTCTGAACACACGTGTCTATGTTTGTAGTATCACCCTTTCAAGCCGGTGAATTAAACCGAGCTAAACAAATAAGCGAACAGACAGATGAGCAAACACTCGTCCTGTTAAGCTGCTGCTCTAAAGCTGAAGGGCGAGCTGCCACCAGCACACTCATGTTAGTGTTTTTTCTCCCTCTAATCTCCTCCCTGCTTCCCTGCAGAGAAAGCCATGTTGAGAGTAGAATTTAGCATGTAGCTATCTCTGCTTATCACTGCCTGTGAATTATTCAGCACCATCACATGTGGCTGAATGCTCTCAAATGCCGATCTGATCCCACCTTCCCTTTCTTTCCTCCCTTCTTCACCGGTGCATGCTGCATGCTTGACTCTGTCTCCAGATCTGCATGTACAAGATTGGATGTGCCCCGAGTTAATGAGGTCAAGCACATTGTGTTAGCCTCCAACCAACTAGAGCGCTAATTTTAGGTCGGGGCTGCATTGAGGTTCTTACTGCATGATTTAGCGTACTGTGCTAACAGTGACCGGGATGGACAGCTCAATTAGATGGGGCTAATGGATCGACTCAGGCTGAAATATTTTGGTGGTCAAGGGTAATGAAGCTGTGCTATCAAAACGCATTAAACGCTTCACTTGATCTCACAGCCCAAGATGCTCATTTTTGAATCAGAAATATTTATGTAGAGTTGAAAATGTTTTTAAAAAAGGATCCTGAAAACATTTTTTTTTTGTTATACCATCCAAACATGGTTGTAAATTACTTAAATGCTGGTGAAGTATATGAACTGAGTAACGTTTGAATTACCGGGCAGTTTGTTACAGGTGAAAATTTGTTGAGCATTTGGATTTCAAGGATCCAAATGTTCAATACAAGGATTGTTTTGAGTCTGACATTGAAAGTTACAGTTTTCAAAACAAAACAAATAATTTTAATCCTGTTAACCGGAAACTGCCCATAAAAGTAAAACAATGTGAATCTGTAACATCTGCGTTGTTAAAGTGGATCAAGAGACCTTATCTCAGATCAAAATGTGTCTGTTTGCTGATGCCAGTCACATGCTTGATTCGTGCAGTCATCAAGTTACACCACTTAATGACATTAAATACTGATGACATTAAATACTGATGGCAAACAATCTGCTGCTAGAGTTTTTATTTTAACAGGTGAGGGTGACAATCAGCTTGGGCTGTAAACTGAGAGGCCGCTGCTTTAATATTTTCTATGCTGCTCTTTGCTAATAATACAGGAGAGATAACAGACACTGATGAGTTCAGCAAACTAGTGAGTTTTGATAAACTAATAAAGTCAGAACACTGTCAGGAACATTCAGATTTGCACGCTGCAGTCATTGTCAACATATGGTAAAGATGCTCGCGGTGCAGAGCCCAGCTGTCATGAAGACGAATGGAGCAAAGACTTGCTGATTAAGACAAAAAGACCATTGAGTTAGAAAGTAAGAAAAGGAAAAGCTTCTTAATTTTAGCCGATACTGATCTACTATGATATGTTGTGTCACTGATCTTCTTGATATGCTTAGTTCATCTATTTTCAATTTAAGTTGAGCACACAAAGAATGAATAAACCTTATTTTTCGGGCGATAAGGCCCACCAGATTATATGGCACACAGTGAATTAACGTGTCTATGTTCACACATGAGGCACACCGGATTGTAAGGCGCATTAAGCATCTATTGGTTTATTGTTGATAGCACATACTCCGGGCCCAGGCTGCCTTGCATGAATGCATTCTAGTATAGTCATTACAGTCTTGTAGACTGCTCAGGGGTCCTGTTACGGGGCTGATCAGGTAGTGACACAGTGTACCATTATGCTCCGAATATCCATGAAGCGGAGTGGCTTTGTTGCTTAGCAAAGTTGAACTTACACATTTCGACAGATTTTTGAGCGCATTGTTCCACATAAAATCGGTCAGTAAGCACAACAAGTAATCACACTTAAGGTGCGCTGTCAATTTTTGAGAAAATTAAAGGATTTTAAGTGCCCCTTATAGTCTGAATAATACGGTATTCGAGTGTTTATATATTAAGTCCCCACTTTGTCTCCTACAGTCCACCTAAAATTTGCCATAATCAGGTGAAAGATCGATAACTCTGTTTCACTCTTGTCCAGATATTTTAGTTTTGTCTAAAAGAGACTCTGTTTTTTGCACATCACCTCTTATAACCTTTACATCACACATCAGAGACAAAAGTGCTCTTGTCTCCTCGTGCTCTGTTCTTTTGAGCTCCTAACAGTTCTGGTTGAAACAGTCCTGGCGAATTTTATATGGACAGACTGGCACACACACTCCTGCTCACAGCGCACAGTGTGAACATTTCCCTCTGTGTGCGTCACCATCAAGTGGAGCTGGGTGTGTAGTAACCATAGCAACCTTGCTCTTCATTTTTGGATGTGAATACAGTACAATATACAGTACATGTTGGTGTTGTCTTTGCAGGTTCACCCAGAGAATGAGGACTGGACGTGCTTTGAGCAGACGGCTAGCCTGGACATCAAGTCTTTCTTTGGCTTTGAGAGCACCGTGGAAAAGATTGCTATGAAGCAGTATGCCAGCAGTATCAAAAAGGTGTGTGTCTGTCAGTACATCACATCATTACACACACACATTTTTTATACTCTCTTTGTTTGAGACACAAACCTTAATTTTCATAGCATGAATAGTTGCCAAAAAAGGCTTAATGAGAGTCGTAGGTGTTCTGCAGGATTGACAGCGACCTCTTTCAACAGGTCTTTAGATGTAGTCAGTCTGTATTTGCATAAATAAGCTTACATAACGTCTTTGAGTGGACAGGGGTCCTCTACTGTGCACTCAATGAGTCACCAGCTTTCATTTTGGGTGAATGTGGGAAACGATGAATCCACTCCAGTTATTCTCTCTCTCTCTCTTCATTTCTATAACTAGACACTTCACTTAGTAATATTTGATTAATGCAGACCTGTGTGGGTGCGAATAAAATGCAAAGATCCATTTATTGAAAATAGTTGATGTGTGTCTTGTGTCCTTGAATTCATTCGCTTTTTGTCTGCTTTTGTCCAATTTCTAACACATCTTTACTCAACTTTTGTTCTTGCAGGGAAAAGAAATCATAGAGTTCTACTTGAAAGAGCTGGAAGATGAGGGGATCACCCGTGTGCCACGATGGACTCCCTGCTCTCTTCCCATGCCTCTCCCCAGGCCTACCAGCCTGTCCACCAGCCCACAGATCATCCCCAAACTTGCGATCACACCCTCTGTGTCTGTCCCAACACCTGTCGATGCCAAGGACAGCGCCTCCCAGGACACCAAGCAGGACAACAGCACACCTCAGACTGACAGCCTAACAGAGATCCTGGCTGGTACACCTGACGGTATGTTCCTACACATAATTCAATGTGATAAAGAACATCTTAGTGCTACTGACTGCCTTGATGAACCTTGCTATACCTAAAATATGTTAATCATAGTTTTCATCTCCTCTATTTCCAGATAAGTTGGATGCAGACTATATCAAACGTTACTTGGGCGACTTGACCCCTCTGCAGGAGAGCTGTCTGATCAGACTTCGCAAGTGGCTGCAGGAGACACACAAAGGAAAGGTGTGGATTCAAACGAATTGATATGATGGACCTAAAGTGTTTTTTTTCCATCACAATAAAGATCTTAATCAGGGGCGTCTGTAAGAGGCTCTAGTGGTTGTAATTAGTTATATTAAACTTCCAGCTACTTTTGACATGGTATGATGTGTTATCATTGGTTAATTCAAATTCTGATTTTACTGATGGGATTTAACACAAACTGAGCACATTCTCCCTTCATTTTGCAGATCCCTAAGGATGAGCACATACTGCGTTTCCTGCGTGCCAGAGACTTTAACATAGACAAGGCCAGAGAGATCCTTTGCCAGTCACTGACCTGGAGGAAGCAGCACCAGGTGGACTACCTGCTGGAGACCTGGAGCTCACCACAGGTCCTTCAGGACTTCTACACTGGAGGCTGGCACCACCATGATAGAGGTAGGTGGTGTGTGCATTAAATTTGAAGCAGAGCTTTGTTCTTTGTGAACATGGGCCCTGTAAAACCTTTTACTGCTAGTAAACAGCATGATGTTCGTAAGCTCAGCTGGAGGCGAAGCAATCCTCTCAACATGCTAGCCAGTCCTAGCTGGCAAACCAAACTGGAGCAGATTTGCCAACTTGTGTGTATAGTGGATGAATGTGCCTGATTTAGTTGGTGTTTTAGAGAAATTCAGAATTCCTCTTATCGCCTCCAAAGTTTCTGATTGGAGGGTAATTATGATCTTTCATACAAAAAATGCTATCATCCCTTTATGGTAGTAAAATGCTATATGAAGTGTAATCTCCACACTATTCTGGCACCCTACAGCTCATTCCATTTTTGTTTCACTCCTGTTTTGCTTGGTTTTCCCTCAAGCATTAGGTTGTCTCCAGTAACATTTTGTCACACTAAGATCCTTTTTTAACTGGAACCATATATTTACGACATCACTACACTGGAGTTGCTGGTGTACCAGTTAGTTAGTAGGTTTGATTTTTTTTTTTTTACAGTTTAAGTTTTGATCCAACATGAAGACCAGCAAATAATTTTTTTTTCGAGGGGTGAAACTTTTAAGTTCAAGGTTTCGTATCGAATGATAAACCTTTAATAAAGAAAAAAAAATGATGGGATAAATTCTGGCACATGATCATTTTCAGGAACAGTTAAACAGTTTAAATATAATACAGGGTCACCTGTTCAAACATACCAATACCCCATACCTCTGATTAATTTTGGCAGCATCTGAGCTGGCTAAAATTTACCACACGCTGATGAAGGTCTCAGATCTTCAGTTTCATCCACTCTGAAGTTACCCACACGCACGCACGTGTGCGCACGCGCGTGCGGCACGTGTAATTCATAGCCACTCAGAGTCTCTGGTTATGCTTGTGAATTAAATATGAGGCTAATTTGTCAGCAGTATTTGGTTACCCGAATAGAGTACACGTGCACACAGTCTTTCCTCATTCTGCTGCAGCCTGTTGATTCCTTGTTTGCAGCATAATAAATGAATCAAAATCTTAATGAGTCATTATAAATAAATGGATTTCGAATGACTGTTATGTTCCCACATCAGTGAATAGATTGTCCCTGCAGATTAATCTTTCAGCTGTATGCGTATGTAGTCAACAGTAATGAAACCTGAGAGCAGCTCTCTGGGTTCATAGTCACTTACTGTCCTACGCAACAGAATGAAAGACAAACTATGTAAACTTTTGCATGTAACATGAAGCCTTGTAGTATTAAAATAAGACTAATGGATTATGTAAATATGTGTTTTCCTCCCCCAGATGGCCGTCCTTTGTATATCCTGCGGTTGGGCCAGATGGACACCAAAGGACTGGTGCGCGCTCTGGGCGAGGAGTCACTGCTCAGACATGTATGTAACACAAGCAGGAGCACACTTTGAGTTTGCCTGTGTTGGTGTAGGTTGATTTGTTTGCAGGTCAAGCAGATAGTTGGATTACAGCATTCATTTACACCACCATGCCCTGACAAGTGCATTAACTCCAGGATGAATAGAGGACAGTACATTTAAAAATAGCCAGCCTGTTTATAATGTTGCCTTGAATGAATGTAAGCTGTTCTTGTATGAGAGCCAAACGCTGAACTGTACGATCACTTGAGACCCCTGAATCCCTGATGTCTCATTTTAGGTGCTGTCCATTAATGAAGAGGGTTTGCGAAGATGTGAAGAAAACACCAAGGTGTTTGGTCGACCCATCAGGTATTCACTCAGTACACACTAATGCGAAGCCAAAACAGTCAAATGTTTATCAGCTGTTTTTATAATTGATTTTCAGATTGTTGAGTGAAATACACTCAATTTTGAGACAGCGTCCAAAAATTAGAAATCTATTTCTCTTTCCCTTTATTTCTTATATTTAAAAAAAACAAAAGGCACAACTGAAGTTTGAACAATTATTGATAATTGTTAGAATAGCAAGTCAGAGTAGTTGGGCTCCAGAGGGAGGAAGTAACCAGGCTCATCTCCAAGTGCATTCATTCATCCAGATGGTGCCGTAGAGAGAGAGGGAGAGAGAGTGGAGATGGTATCTGTTATCTGTCAGCTCTTCAACAGGAGGAGGTGGCTAAAGTAAGAACCACGCAGGAAGGCATGTGAGCTATGAATGGCTGCAACGTCACAGCTCTCAGTCAGAGGAGATAGAGGGGAAAAGGGGGATGTGAAAGGAGGCTGAGAAGGAGGGGGAAGGCTCCGGAATTAGCAGGCAATGCTATCACCACTTAAGCCTCACTTCAGGATGACAGGTGCTAAGTGGTTAGAGAGAGGCTGTTGCACAGTTGTGTGTGCATGTGCGTGTGTTTGTGGCATGCATGTATCAACACTAATCCCCCTCCCTGCCTCTTCTGTAGTTGTTGGACGTGTCTGGTGGATCTGGAGGGGCTGAACATGCGTCATCTGTGGCGACCAGGAGTCAAAGCCCTGCTGAGGATCATCGAGGTTGTGGAAGCAAATTATCCAGAGACTCTGGGGCGTCTTCTTATCCTGAGAGCTCCCAGAGTGTTCCCTGTCCTCTGGACACTGGTGAGAGCTTACAGCTGAGGCAATCTGCAACAGCATCTTCACAGAACCAGTGTGAAAACAAGTGACCGGCTCACTTTACCTTTTACGTTTGTGACAATAGAAACATCATCCAACACATCTTTAAAGCAGGGATACCACAAGTTCTCTTTTTTTACCACCCATTGTGTTATTTTTTTTACTTTGTTTAAATTATCTTCAGAGCCTCAGGAAAGTGAGTCGAGTTCAGGGCTAAAAGGATGATATCAGTAACATTATGAACAGCCACACTACAATCATTTTTATTTGTTTGTGTTATCAAGCTATGATGCCTTTAAGGCAATTTATAATGCACAAGATATTCCAGAAAAAAGATCAAAAGTCTCAGGATAAAGGAAAAAGAAACATATGTAAGGGATGTTTCAAAATGATCAAAATGCACCATTAAATAACTGAAACAGAAACCAAGTGAAATAACAATCCAAAAACTTAAGTTGAAAAGTGACTTGCTTTACCTTTAAATGGATTTAATTAGATGTACTAAAACAGCCCTAAAAAAACAGAAAGGTAGTATAAAAGAGGAGCTAAGTTACTCAGTACAGCAGATACTTTACAATTCCTCTCATTCTGCTCTGCTGCGATTTTGTTTGAAATATGTACATTTTTGCAGTGGTCTGGTTTGTTATATGATTTGTTGACACATATCCATGTCCGCCTCTGTCTTTAGGTGAGTCCGTTCATAGATGAAAACACCAGGAAGAAGTTCCTCATCTATGCAGGCAATGATTACCAGGGCCCTGGAGGCCTGGTGGACTACATAGACAAGGAGATCATCCCGGATTTCCTCGGAGGGGAGTGCATGGTGGGTGTCTGATGAAGACAGAAACTCTGACACACCCTCTTAAAGATATGATTCAGTTGAATATGAACTTGTTAAGGCAGCTATGCAGTTCTTATTTTCTATATGTGCTCATGCATGCTCGTTCCTCTGCAGTGTGAGGTACCAGAAGGAGGTCTGGTTCCTAAGTCGATGTACCGCACAGCTGAGGAGCTCGAGAACGAGGATGTTCGCCTGTGGACTGAGACGATCTATCAGAGCGCCAGCGTCTTTAAGGGGGCTCCACATGAGGTGAGACTTAATGTTGATCCCCAGAATGAGAAGAAAAGCTGGAACGCCTGTGATGCTGCTTGAAATGAGTATCTGGGCCATGTTAACAGTGAGCTCCATGTTGTCTGTGATGAAAAGGAAAAGGTGAAGGTCTGCCCTCTACTGGCTGAAAGTGGTAGATCGACTCTGTGCTGATTTTGAATTTAGATGTGGAACAAACGCAGCATGGCTTTGAAACATAATCCGTCTGTAGCAACATGCATTAAATCGCATTGCATAATTGATACCAAAGGGAAAAGCATCATCATGCATAATCAGCTCTTTGGAAATGGTTTTAATTTCATTTTAATGAGCCCATAAGCTCTAAAACACATGTTCACATTTGTCTCCCACTGCTTTTTGTCCTTGCTGCTGTCTTTATTTTAATAGACTTAGCTGTTGCTTAAAGATGTAGCAACATAAAAAGGATTCAGATTATCAAACATAATGTCAAAACTTCCAAGACGAAATGTTTGCTTGTACTTATGTTCTCTTGTTCCTCTCCTGAAACACAGTGTCAGGTCAATCTTTTCATGTTTACCCTCCCTCCTCTCTTTCACAGCTTCTGATTGAGATCATAGACGCCTCCTCTGTCATCACCTGGGACTTTGACATATGCAAAGGCGACGTGGTTTTCAACATTTACCACTCAAAGCGGGCCCCTCAGCTTCCACGCAAAGACCCCCTGGGAGCTCATGGCATCACGTCCCCAGGAGGAAACAACGTTCAGCTCATTGATAAGTCTTGGACGCTGGGGCAGGATTACAGCATGGTGGAGTCCCCGCTCACCTGCAAGGAAGGCGAGAGTGTACAGGTGATGACCCCCTCTTAAACATCCTGAACACAAACAACACAACGTTATACATTAAATGAACAAAGCACCTTTTTGATTACTGAAGTGTGCCTCTCATCTGCTTCAACTTGCTCACTTTTCCAAACAGTGGTGATTGATGCAAGTTGAAGTGTGATCTGTTTGGGGGCAGGAGCACAGCACATGCTCTACTGTAAAGAAAGGGAGCGTATGGATGGATGGCAGGGGACACAGCTGCTGTTTAATCTCAATTATCTTCATGTTATGACAGAGAAAGGCCAAACTGACAAATCAAATTAAAATTTGATCTCCCAGCCCAGATTTTCTACAAGGCAGGACAGAAATAGCTGGGCTGCTCCAATCAGCTGTTAAACCCCAGAGTGTTGAAAATGTGATCTAGAGGTTCTGATCTTCATAGATATTCTTCAGCATGAGGCTTGGCATAAAGGTGTCGGTTTGTTTTGTAATTTTCAAATTATATTATTCGTACCTTTTTAAGTAGAAATGATACACTTTAATAGGAGCTATTAAACAACAGTGAAATGAATTTGATTGATTCTTAATGAGTTTTTTAATTGACACCTTCTGCGCTGTGAATCCATCCTTCCCTCAGGGCTCACACATTACCAGGTGGCCAGGTTTCTACATCCTTCAGTGGAGGTTTCACAGCATGCCAGCCTGCTCAGCCACCAACCTGCCCCGAGTGGATGATGTGCTGGCCACCCTGCAGGTCTCCTCCCACAAGTGTAAAGTCATGTACTACACCGAGGTGCTGGGATCTGAGGACTTCAGGTTAGTAGCTCAGTGTGTGTGGAGGAAAAAATATATATTAGAGCCATTTGACACGAGTGAAGTTTGTTTTTATTTGTCCATATTTTACCGTTAAAAGAGTGTGTATCGTGACGTTTGATAGATTTGATTTTAAACATTACTCTTACATGACTGCTCATTTTTTCACTCCTGCTTTCTCTCAGCTTCCCCCCTCTACAGTCTACAGCTTAGCACCACGTGTGACTTCAAATATTGATTGATTGATTTTCATCTGTAATGTTGCTAAAATGGTACTCTGAGAGAGCTTGGGTGCACCATGAGGCGGGGAAGCCCACAGTTATTGTAACAAGGATACCTCCTTCCTTTAAAGACTGCTTTAATCCAGCTCTTTCTGTCCAATCCACTCCTGTTCTATTGCTCACAATCCCCTCTACTTCCTCTCCCTGCTCTGTCTTCCTGTGAAGAACGGCTTGCTATGATGTGCAGAGTTTGTAAGTGGCTCAGTTTTGCCCCCCTTTTACTTTAGCACTAGCTCATTGTCATTTCTGCTTATTGAAACAAACCTCTCATGGCAGTCACGCTTCTAATACAGTGAAGAGATGCTTGTTTGCATCTGTTTTTGCTTACTGCTAAGAGGAAGCTGTTTCTTTCGCTCACTATGAAGAAAGAGTCTGTGCACTGAGCCGGCGGTCTAACCCTCCACTTGCTGACTTCAGTCACCCTGCTTGCATGATTAACAACAAAAGAAACCTTAGAGTGGGTTAACCTCAGCACAGTAGGGCTCAGCTGCTGTTTATCCAGGTTTGCACATGTACAACATACTCTGACATGTGCATCAAGAGACATCACCTGGTATTTGTAGTTTTTTTTCTTGTTTTTTTTCTGTCATCCATTTTACTTCTAACTTACTGAATCTCACCTTGTTTTAAGAGCACATGCAGTTTCATCTCTATAGATTTAAAATGAACAGTTTACAGTTAAGAAACTGGAACTAATATTGATGCCTCTTTACAACCTACAAAAGCAAACAAGACCATTGAAGTGAAAAAATTCCTGTATTATGATTTTAAGTGCCTATTACTATTTGTAAGGGGTGGGTTTACTGTAGGGTTGGGTGGTATCCAAATTTTGATACAATCATACCGTCTCCACATTTTACCGCGGTATACAGTATGACTTTGACCAATTAAAAATTATGACTTCAGGTTCAGACAGCATCACCAAACTGTTGGCTTGTGCCTACATCGTTCAGAAACTGAATACCAAACACTAATAATGAAACAATAACAACATAATGTGCACAGTATTAACAACTTTTATTAGAAACAGCATAAAAGTGCACAACAGTCAAACAATGAAATTAACATAACCATCCGGAACAGTTTTGCTTCTTTTCTACTGTCTGGAAAGAGACCGTTTCATTCGCCAAGTATTTTGTCACTGCATCAGTGCAGGTTTTCCAACGGACACAGTCCCTTTTGTACGGACAAACTTTGACGGAGTTACGGTAATAACACTCCAGGCATACAAAACATAGCACCAGCTGTTGGTATTGAAACTGATACTGTCACTTTTGAAAACACCGCAGGCATGCCTTATTACCTTATTACCGCCCAACCCTAGTTTGCAGCATAGTTAAGAAAACCCTGTTGTGTCAACCTCCACATTAACTTATCTGATGAGTGATTGTTGAAAAGAGCAGGGTGTCAGAAAATACAACTCGCACATTTACACAACCAAATCATCAAAAATTTCAGAGATATCATTTAGTCCACAGGGGGCGCCAAAGTCAACACAAATAGAAAGTTCCCCATGGATGCTTTAGGTGCCCTCACGTGAAACAGATACGTAAAGTTGATGGAAATAAACAGATATAGTGGTCAGTGAAGATCTCTCATGTCATGATGGTTGAACCTTTTTTTGTTGCTTTAAGCTTGGTAATGTCAGGTGTCATAGAGAGAGAGTTAGAGCTCGACTTTGCTTCAATGTGCAAGTGCCATTTTTTCTTCAGGATTTCACAGTTGTCAAAAGCTTATTTGTCAAGTTGCCTGATGGGAAAACAAAAAGTTCTGCAAAATTCAATATAGGTGTGTTTTCCCCCATTCTTCAGTCCACTTCAAATTACTGTAGGAGAGGCAGCGAATGAACACAGATGAAATGTTTCAATGCAAACATGTAACCCTTGTATTGATGTTATTGTATGCCCAGAATCCCAGGATGGGATAGTATTTGAATGGCATCATGTGTCAAAATAAAGCATAGTTATTCAGATATTGTATAATGAAGTATACAGGCCATATCGTCCACCTTCTAATTTGTGTAGAAAAACATCCTAACACATCCTCACACCAAACAGCCCTAATACACTGATTAAACACATCAAGGCTCTTGTTATTCATCATGTACAAATGAATGAAAAAGTTGATAAGAATAAGAAAATGCTTCATGCTTTGCCACAGGCAGCTAAGCCTTTAAACATGCAAGACAGCTTTCACACCAAAGGAAGCTGTTACACCAAAAAGCTCTTTCTGCTTTTGCATGGGAGACCAAGGATATGCTTTTGCCATGAACAAAACAACCTAAGCACAATCTCTTTATTTGAATACTCTGACAGTTATATTAAAAAGACTAAAATAAGCAACAAAGTCATCATATTGGTGTGAACTGTTTCCTCCCTGACACACTGTTGGTTATTGCAGCCTGTGGCAGAGCTGGAGTGTTGTGTGCCACACAGAGTGAATAAACCTCCTGCTGCTCCTGGTCTGATCTGGCTGCATGGTTCTGCATCGTGAGCACGAGTTGTGCACGCAGAATGCATTCAGTTAGTCACTAGCAGATTGTGGTTGCTCTAGTGTGGGGTGATGCACACATAAGAAAACCACTGCAGAGTGGGAAATGAGTGTTTGCTCACATGTCTGTGCATTTCTGTCTCTTACCTCAGGGGTTCCATGACCAGCCTGGAGTCGAGCCACAGCGGCTTCTCTCAGCTCAGCGCTGCCACCACCTCCTCCAGCCAATCGCAGTCCAGCTCCATGATTTCCAGGTAGAAGATGGAAGCTCCGACTTCAGTCGTGCCCCACCCTACCCCACCCCACCCCCCCCACCCCCTTAACTGCCCAGACCATCAACACAGAAGCCAACTCCCATCCATGGACTCTGTTCCTTTTTGCACAGCCAGTCTTTATGGAACTGACGCATGCTTGCACAAACAGAAGACAAAGAATTAATCTGAGGCAAAAAAACAAAACAAAAACTGAGACTGTGTGTACAGTTTAAGGGCTGATTTTTGCACAAAGGTCATACACATATATATAAATATATTTTGTGCCTGGCATCTCCGCTGGGCAACAGTTTGAAATAAAACATTAGCAGAATGTTTGCTTGCTTCGTGTCTTGTGCAGGGTGGAAAGATTAAAGGTCAGGAGGTGAATTGTGGCGCTTTAGTGGCACTTAAAGAAGAAAGAAGCAATATTTTCACCCTGGGCACCACAGGACCGGACAGAGACACTGGAAGAGCTGTTACATATATGCATTAACATTTACTACCACATGGACACATGACAGAAACGACGCATACCTCAGTCATGTGCGTTGGATGAAAACTGGATGTACTGTTACATACATACACTGTTTGACATGCAAAAATTTACTAAGTTTGCCATAATACCAGAGGGTTTTGATGAATCTTGTGAAATGTTTATAGGTCATGTGTGTGGGCGGGGTAAACTCTTAACTGGACCCAGGTTGAAATTGTTCTGTATCAAATTAGTTTTTCATAACAGCGTGGAGTTATGGAACGGGTGGAGCTTGCTGAATAACAACAACAAATGATGTCAGTAAAGCGGCGCATTGTGGGGAAAATAACAGCGGCTCAGAGATCCAAAGGTGTTGAATGTTGTACCTGATAACCATGTGGCATATGCTAAACCCTGGTGACTGTGTATCTATGTCACCGGCCACTAGACTAGACCAAAGTGCTAGTCCTTTCAGTCACATGTCACCGGTATGCCACTAATACTGTAATGTATATATGAGATAGCAGTTTATCGGTTATCGATTACTCTGACTGGCCAAGGCTAAATAACTTTTCATCATAATTGAGATACCCAACAGCTGTACCTACAACATACGTAAAAGACATACAAGAGAGAAGAAACATGCACTCCTTTAATTACATAAATTGTCAGTAAAAACAAAAAAACGGCAGTGGCATCCCTTCGGCCTATCAGATGGGGTCCGGCACTCCACGTCTTTTAGCTGCAGAACGGCGGGCACAAGCCTCAGTCACTATGAAAGCATGTTGGCGGCCACTTTTTGGATGTAAACATGTCTGAATAGTATTTCACACAGACACTTTTCCACAGCTGGGCGAGTTTTCTGTCAGTGATGTTGTCGCCTTATTCAGTAAACTCCACCTGTCCGTCTCATGAGGGCTTTATCATACCATGAAAAACAGTTGGACGTTTAACCTGGGTCTCACTCTTAGCGAAGTGACTCGCTACAAGCAATAACATGAATTTGACTTTTTACTGTGTGAAATATTTCTATTTATCTTAAAGATATGTGAGGAGGATCATGGGTGCTGATTTCAGATTCACTTTTACTTGTATCTTGTGTACAGATGGACAGACAAGCAAACTGAGCCAGAAAACCGCTAAACTCTGTGGCACCAACTTTGTCACTTCTTGTATCACAGTTTCCGTTCTGTTAGGAGAGGAAAGAAAAACAAGAACTTGTCACATTTTCTCCAGGACTTGTTCGGTTCCCTTGGAATGACCACAGCTAGTTAGTTAGTTCGCTTTCTGTCCACCCTGTGCACGATTTAATGGAACTCAATCCGAATCAATCGTAACGGACATGCCTTGTCACTGATTTGTGAATGTGCTACTGATTGGCTCATGCTCCCCAACCAATGAAATGCCTGAACTTGGAGGGTTGGGTCTTACTTGAGCAGGACTGCCATTATTCTCTAGTTTGTTTTCAGTGTGGTGTAGATTTGTGTGCATTAGGGGTGAATGTTTGTGATAATCATTTGTTGGTGCACCAGTAGACAACATATTGAGACTGTACATGTTTCTAGAGTTGATTGGAGTTTGTTACTGTTTTTTTTTTCTTCTTTGGAGACGAGTACTTGACAGAGTGAAGCGGTGTGGCTTCACACTGCATGCTAGTGGTGATTGGGTTTACAGATCTATAGTCTAAAGACAAAGATTTAGCCATTTTAAGAGTCATGTGTCAATAAATACCATTTTAGCCTTTATAATCACCACTTAGATAAGAACCTGCTTTTTTAAGGTCATCACCGCAATAGATGAGCAATTATGACCTGAGTGAACATTTCTAAATGCAACACTTCCATGCAAGAGTTTTCTAATACAGTTTATTCAGTTAATGACTTCATGATCTGACTCTATGTAAAGGGCAGGAACCTGGTTACACGGTGCAGCTGATAGAAAAAAAAAAAGCCACATGAATAAGTCAGAGAGTCCAGCCTCTGAAAAGATTGACCCAGCAGCTTGTTTTTGATACGTAAACCGGCTTGTTTTTAATCTTCTGGTGAAAGGTCATAAAAGGGTTAAATTGTGGTAACCGTGTGTCATTAATGGCAATAGCATGAAATGCATTACTGAGAAAAAGGACCTGTTCAGATTGTGTGTATTATGGTGTAACAGAGTGAATGCTTGAAACAGTGGGATCAAACAACTGCCTGTAAACGTGTGAAAGCTCTCCCTCCCCTCCTTCCTCGCCCCTCTCAGCAGGTGTGCTCCTCCACTTTCTCTTCTCACTTTCTAAAACAGGTGGCAACACACAGCTGACCTTCCTTCACCTGCAGGAGAGCTTCTTCCATTTCTATAGTCATGGAACAACTTATACTCTCAGACTGACCTACGCTTTCCCTTTGACCTTAGTTCTCTTTGTCATTCAGACACTCCAGATTTGCTGTTTCGCTTTCAAACACTTCTCATTGTGTATATCATAGAAAGCTGAGTGGACCTTGATTGAAGCCATAGGAGAGAAAGCAGTGTGTACTCAGACCAGTGATGTTGTTTTATAGGCTTACATTAAGTGTTACAAACACCAGAAATCTCCTGTAGTCTGCTGACCCCTGCCTCTCAGACTTTAGCTCTTACAGTTGTGTACATCTCTCATCAAGATCTCATTGACAAAGGAGGGCTATAACCGTCTGTCTTGATTGTTGAACACATTTGTCGTTTTCTCCTTTGCATAAATCATTGCATATCTTTACCTTGATGTGAGGACTAATGTAAAATTATGTTTGGATTAATAAGAATATGTCGCCTTTACATTTTTTGAAAACATTAAACTTGAATTATGAGCAAATGCTGTTTAGTGTCACATTCATTGAACTGTGTTTGAAAGTTTATCTTATGTTTGGTTTGTTGTGCTTCCCTGTTAGTTGTTTATCTTCCTGTCAGTTTTCCATTAGCATGAGACCCTCTTTAGCTGAACGTCCCCTTGTAAGGGGTAAGGGGGTTTTCAGACTTTATAAAACATATGATGTTGCACTTGTTGATTAAGCAGCTTGACTCTTCAGCAAAATACTGTAACTTCTTAAATAGATAAAATCCTTAATCGTTTTTCATTCAAAGACTTTTTGAAATATCAGTTTCTGGAAAAATCAAGTTTAAAAAAAAAGGAAAAGATTATTTCAGTTTACGGCAAGCAAAAATGTACTTCTTCACTAATAAAATGAATACATTTATAAATGTCAAATCTACATAGAAAGGTATACATATAAGGTCTCACAAATGAGTTCCATAAAGACTAAAACAGTAGCTCAATAAATATTCAACAGAATGTTTCAACAGTAGAAAGAAAGAAAGAAAGAAAGAAAGAAAAAGAAAGAAAGAAAGAAGAGACAACTTTTTCACAGTGAAGAGAAACAAAAAATGAATACAAAAGCTTATCTTGGGATGGAAAAAAAGAAGCTATAAAAAAGGAAAACGATCATTTTCATGTTATTGTAATTTACCTTAAAGGCCACTAGATGGCACTATTTGCTCACTTGAATTGAAACTGTCTCACAACGCAAGCTCCAACCATAAAACTGACATTAATACACTACAGCATAACAAGAACATGTTTATTTCTGTGACACTCTGTCCACCTCTGTCAATATTTTTTCTCATTAAAAACTTTAAAATGGTTTTAAAAAAAGAAATGGTCCAGCAGTGGGAGGTCAGAGTGATGTTCTTTCAAATTTATAAACCCAAATAACTCAGAGGATGAAAACAGCAACAGTTCATTCATTTCTCTACAAGTTTTCTTCAACACTGAAGCTTTCTGCTGTCACTAATTTAACAGAGCTCTGTGTTGTGTAGATAGATGTCAGCATTACACCTATTGTGTTTGGTTTACTCTATGTCAGCAGATGAGAGGTTTGCACAGAGGCAAATAATGAAGTCAATACAGATGTTATTTAGAAAACAGTCTGCAGGTTTAAATTTCATGCCTTTGTATGATTAAAAAAAAACACTTTGTTTGGTAACACAAAATAAGACACCTGCAATGTCAGCTGTCTGACACCTGGAATAGGAGCTGAGAATGAACTCTAAAAATCAAAGCAGCCAAAGAAGCTGCATTTAACCGACTAGTCTGAGTTTTACGGTTAATTAAATATTGGCTGACAACACGCAGCAGATATTTGCATTCAAGTTTTTTAAGTTTGTAGGTCAGAGACTAAAATAAGGGGCACAACAATAGCTGTTCAAAAGGATGTCAAGATAAATCAGAACTCACATTATTAGATTGATGCTTTAACTCACATTTTTGAATTAGGGAACAAATCAGCTATTGTATACCGTTAACTAAAGTATGTTTAATGTGATTTTGTTTGATTTTTGTCAGATAGAATAAGCTCTGTCACATTTTGCTCTTAGAATTTACATTAAGTACTGTTGGTATTTACACTGCAAGTGCTTTGTAAATTCTGTGATACTTTTTATGACCTACTTTGAGATTAAAGCCATGACCAACCAGCCACCGCCACTCAAGAGAGCCACCAACCAAACTATGAGACTCTGGGGCAGATGGGACACTGATGGAAAAGTCACTGAGTCCCTCTAAGAACATCAGGAAAAGTTTGTTCATGCATTTATTCTTAGTAGGTTAGATTATTGCTATGGTGTCTTTACAGGTCTCAGTAAAAAATCTGTCAAGCAGCTGCAGCTCATCCAGAATGCTGCTGCCAGGGTCCTGACCAACAGCAGGAAAATGGACCATATAGCACCTGTCCTTAAACCCATGCACTGGCTCCCTGTGAGTCAAAGGACAGAGTTTATAATCCTGTTACTGGTCTACAAATCACTGAATGGTCTTGGGCCTAAATACAGGTCGTCAGGGACAGGTTTACCCATTGTCCCGACCCTTTTTGGGTTTCGCAAAAGCATAAATCAACACTTGTGGTACAGATATGGGAGTCGCCACCGTCTCTGATAAGGAGAATGTGAAGCAACAATCTGTCCTGCAATCCAGGCAACAGCGGCAGAGCTGCTGAGTGCATCTCTAATTTGCTGGTCACTGTTTAGTTATCTTTAGCAAGAGTAATGATAGCAGCAATGCAAACATGGTGTGACATTTGCCTCATTCACGTTGAAAGGTGCTCTTTGTACACTATTCCAAACAACGGTTAGGCTTTATACCAAAGTCCTCTAACCCCAAGAAAAGTAGCATGCTAAGCCCATAGCAACACAGCCAAAAAAAAATCACAGCTGGATGTAAGTCATGTTTGACTCCTCAAAGTATGGTCACATGATGAAAAAAGTGCAGAGTTGCCTAGAAACAGAAGGTGAATCCAAGTTTCAGCTTTTTGGTGGCCTTTCTCTCTGAAGACCAGATATGAAGCCACAACTACACTGCTCAATCACTTAAATTGCATTACATTGTTTATAACATAACAACGCAACACAGCATTTCTGCAAAACAAACAAATTAAGAGCAACATAAAACATGTCCTCCATGTAGTTTATCAAGACTGAAACTAACTCTTAATCATGGTGTCAATAGAAAGAGATGAAATCTTTACCAAACAAACTTCATCCAACTTTGCCCTCAGTTTTCTGTCAGACCTGAAGACCAAACAGCTGAATCAGTAATTCACCAAATCTTCATAGAAGTTTATCTAATTCGAACCCATTCAAAAACAAACCAAACACCTTCTGCTGCGAGACAAAAATGGCAATACAGCTTCAGAGAGGACAAAAGGAGGGGATTGAGGAAACAGACATGTAGAGGAGAGAGGGGTGCAAAGATGAGAGGAACCAACGGAGCTGAGATTGGAGAACCGACAACATCTTCTGCCTTTAGACTGTTTGTAAAACGTTACATAATGTGTGTGTGTGTGTGTGTGTGTGTGTGTGTGTGTGTGTGTGTGTGTGTGTGTGTGTGTGTGTGTGTGTGTGTGTGTGTGTGTGTGTGTGTGTGTGTGTGTGTGTGTGTGTGTGTGTGTGTGTGTGTGTGTGTGTGTGTGTGTGTGTGTGTCTTTATTTATTTGACTTTTTTTTTTTTAAATCAAGACCTCCCAGTGAGGTTGTTAGACTTTTGGACCAGGCAGCAAAGTCTGCAGGGGAATGAAGTCTGAAAGGCCACACAGTCAGGGGTCCACATTTATAGTATCTGCATAGCACTGTCTCTCCCTCTCTGTCTCTCTCCCTCTCTCTCTCACTGTTACACTCTTCCGTTGTCTCTTTCTTCTCTGCCTTCTTCTCTTTACTCAGCTTTTTTTTCACTTGTCTCACCTTATTGTCCACAAAACCAAAGTATAAAAAGTCCTCAGTCATTTAGTGAGAAGCATCAGTGAGGCCGACGCTGAAGAGACGCGCCAATTATATCTGATGAAATATTTACGAGTACCATGACACCTGTAGATCTCTCATTCTTACACACATTCCCACACAAACCTGTTCCTGCAGGATTCTTCATGTTTAACACCTTTTACATATATTAATGAGCATTTCAGGCGGTTAAGCCCCACATGCCAAGAAGATGCTGTTAACAAGCTGGTCCTTATATTTACGCTGATTTTATTCCTTTGCTACAAGGCTGCATTGTCCTCCTATACCTGTGCATATCCAGCACCCTTTCACTGCAATATAAGGGAACTTTTTCAGGATGGGCAAAATTTGTTTTTAAAAGTTATCCATCTGACAGCTTCTGTGACTGACAGGTGCAAATACACTGCAATGACTCTCAAAAAAAATGTTTTTGGAGGAGTAGTTTGCCATTTTTTCTCCTACAATATATATCAAAAATCAGACACATCCTGTCTGAGAACAAGGCAGAAAAAGTGGTCTATGCATTTGTCATCTCTAGTTTAGATTACTGTAATTCTCTTTCACTTGTATTACATCTTAGGAAACAATATCTAACAACTCAGAGTAAAGGGCCAGGAGAATTGTGGACTTATTCACAGCTGCACAGTTTATTAACTTTTTCTCTAAATTTTGATGATGGGGCTTGTGTTTGTTTTGTGTTTCCTCAGATCTCAGCTGATTGTCTCATGTAAGGCATAAGTAAAGATATGCAGACATTTTTTAATCAGCAGAGACTCAGCCTCGTAAAAAATACTAACAGATCATGTATGTGGCTTCCAACAGAGTTAAAGACCTGTGGTTACTCCTGAAGCTCTTTCAGTTTTTAAAAAGTGGGTTGTTGTGACTTCAGGAATCCTCTGAATCCAGTTCAAAATCCTCCTGTATACCTTCAAAGCCATCCACAACCTCGCCCCTCCTTACCTATCTGACCTCCTCCACATCGCCCCCCGACTCTGGAACTCTTTACCATCACACATCCGCAACATAGACTCCCTCCCCCTCTTCAAGTCCAAACTCAAAACACACCTGTTTAAACTGGCCTATCCCTCCCACCACCCCTAACCCACTTTTTTAAATTAAATTTAAATTGGTATTATTAATTTCTTTATTTATTCCTTTGCTGTTGTTCATGTTTAATGTTGCTTTGTTGATTTTAACTGTTTGATGATTAATGATTTTAATTGTTAATAGTGTTTTATTATTGTTTTTATATGTTCTGTAAAGTGTCCTTGAGTGACGTGAAAGGCGCTTCAAATAAAATGTATTATTATTATTATTATTCAGCATCAAAGATTAAAGGGATAATCCGTATTTTTGAAGTGGGTTGTGTCAGACACTTAGGCCCCAACTACACGAAAGCGGATATACTTCAAACCGCACATATTTATGTCCGATTAGGCCTCCCTACCACACCAAAACGGGAGTTTGGAACACTCAAACCGGATAAATCTGAATCCGAAAAAACAAGTGGAGAAATAAAAAAATATCTGTATAAGTGGATTCGTGTGGT